AGATTAAAGAACCGTTGACTTTAGCTATGTGCAATTAATATGTGTTTATAATTAGCATAACAGCCTATGTAGCCACATGGATTCACCAGCTGCTGTAGTTGTTTTGTTGGCCCATGTATGGCTTTTAAAAGGCAAAGAAGGACATCCTAGAGGTAGACCTGCTGTGGAACTCCCCATGGAAGAGCACAGAAAGTATAAATAGATGCATATATGTAAGAAATATTTACATATTTCCACATGTATCAATTCTCTGGTTTTGACAATACTTGCACCACTTTTAAGCTCCTCACAAGCCAAACATGTTTTACTTACAATTCTTTACACAAAACTATCTTATTAATGTTTCATACAGTCCTGTCTGGTAAAGTATCTAGAGACACACTTTAAATACACAACACTCCCATGCTGCCTTCTTGTTTATCTTATGTATCTGTTCTTTCATTTCACATAGAATAGTATGTGATATTTAACAGTTACCACCATTGCTGTGTGAATAGCAATACTTTTAATAACTAATAAATACTTCCTTCTTTAATTAGAATTGTTTTTTGTAAGGATTTGTAGTTTTTGCTGCTTCCTTACAAACAATGTAAACAAAAATTTCATTTAGAAATTTATTTTTGCTGTATTTTTTGTTTCTTTGCTACATACTCAATCTGATTCTTTCACTCTGTGGTCCAAGCTCTTGCCCCCTCCCTTGTAGTGTAATGGGAGAGTCGAAATCAATAGCACATTAGTCTGGCCGGAAACTCCTGTGGAATTAAATATGAATGACTGAGGAGGCTGCTCTACCTGCTGCTGTGATAGATGACTCTTGGGGATGTATACAGTTTTTATATTATTTCTTCCTTCGCACTGTTCAGGCCATTTCGGTGATGTTTTCCCCCTAGCTTACCGGATCACTGTTTGGTCAGACGTCAGCGTTGTGATATGATTTGCCAGAGGTTTCATTTTCTTCTAGGCCTCAGAACAGTTACCAGGCCTGATAGCACAAATGCGATATAGCAAATAGGATATTGAACGTTGCAAGGCCTGTCAGCTCAGAAGCAAAACAACAAAGCCACACCCATCCCCTTCAACACCAGCACTATTTGAATTGGAAAGATATTATCAGCACATCACATCTGACTTTTTCACAATTTCCATCAAAATGCAATATGTGGGTTTCTCCTTTATGAAGCTTTATATAGTCGCTCTTATACACGCTGGAACTTTTGTATATGCAAATGCTGTACTTGCTTCCATTTTCATTAAGTGGCATGAATTCTTTTAACATGCTGTTTGGCTTAAAAGCATAATTTACAAGGTGGTTGCAGAGTGCGGGCGCAGTGGTGGGTGGTAATATGAGACAAAAAGCCACTGCGTATAGTTCTGGGAATTGGCAGAGGCATTGGCACTGGTAAGCTAATACATTGATGATATGGAGGTAGATGTAGATGTAAGCTATATTTCATCCCATAAGAGAAGAAACGGTTTGTGACAGATGGAGTGATATTGTTCCCCTGTACTGCTGGTGAGTGCAGCCCCTCCTGCTCTCCCTCCCTGACAGATGTAGGGGGAGGACCACGGTGCACTCTTCTTTCTTTTCAATTGATTTGGGTGCTCGAACCCTCAGGGACTGGAGGGTGGTGGTGGTGGTGGGCTGTGGGGGGAGCAGTAATGGTGGCTGGGGGTCCTGTCATTTCCTGCAACACAGAAGCTGCTAAAACTCTGACTGAAGTGCCATGAAGAAATCATAAATATATAGTAGAGTATGCATAGATCTGCATATGTTCAAAGATGCTAATAGCAGTGTGTGGTTTGTGACTGACAGTATAACATGCACTCATCCATGTAATGAAAGCAATGGAAAATTTGTGGCTGCCTGCTGGTGGATGGGCCTGATGTGTAGCTGTCCACTATTCATTCAGTCAGTTTTTTGCAATTTATTACTAAACATACATTTTATTTTTGTTGTTGTGCTTTGTAATAGCTTTATATATGGTTATGTGACAGCAGGAAAGAGATTCACCATAGGATGTCAAGTATTTCTATTTTTAAATATGTTTAAGATTGTAATACAAATTTTGACAAAGCAAAACAAAACAAAACAAAAACAAGTTAATCAGTTATATCCCTGTAAAGTCCCTGCACTTACTACTCATCTATACTAGCCATGCAGAACTCAAGAAAGAAACAGACTGTTAAGGATGCTGGCTAATACTTGTATTTTTTCCCAGATGTAGAAGGACCATAACAGCATTTAAATACAATAATCTAGCCATATTGATATTTGCATCACACTGTGCAGCTGTATAGTTTTAAGCTTGACAGGGATGCTTGGGATGCTGCTGGAGTAATTAAGCAGATTTGGTGTAATTTACCTATTAAATACTTTTAGCCTCCACTTTCAACCCACCCCTCTCTGTAGCACAAACATTCATGGAGTTAACAGCTGTCTTGTGGCAGATGTGTCTTGTTGCTTTACTTCACTCCATCCCTCGAGGGTAAAGGTCATGACAGGGTTGGAGGTCAGAGGAGAGAACCTCCTGAAGATGTTACATGTGGATGTGCATCTGCCTGTCCCTTTGCTACTGAAAGGAGATTCGAATTAGCATTATTGATTACAGTGCTCAGTCTGGTGAACACTGATTCCTCCATCTATCCTTGGAGGCAGCTGAAAAAGCCAAGAATCAAAGCATGTGTTACTATTACAATTCAAGTTGTGATAAACTTCCTCAGAAAAAAAGATTATTTTCCAAATTTTCCATATTTTTGGTTTTTTACCCAACTAATGATTTTTTTTTTTTTTTTTTTGCTTGTCATTTTCTGAGATAATGATGTTAGTTTTTATATTATTTTTTTTTTACTGCTGCTTGTAATGTCCTGGAAGCACATCTCAGTAAAAAGTGGTTAATGATTTTAATGGGGCTCTACGAGGTGGAGTGTAGGATTTGGGGTGTGAGGGGAGAGGGACTGTGTCCTGGCCGTGGGCGCGTGGCGACTGAGCAGGTGGATGACGGGCAGCTGAGTAGTGGTCTCCAGGGGGGCAGGGGGCCTCCATTTTGAAGGACTCTTGGGGTTGAGAGAAGCCCTGAAAAAAGGCAACCCCATCTGGAACTGAGGTGGGGGCCCTGGTGTGAAAGAGATCTAGTGGGTGGTGTCTGACACTCTCTCTTTTGTTCTTCGGTAACACAGCAGTGGTGGTAGTAGAGGTGGGGGCACACTCAGCGGTGGGGGCTGGGCGTTCAAACAATGGTACAGATCTAGGAATTGAAAGCTTTCGATGAACAGAAAAGCAAATAAGCAGACAGGAAAGGTGCAGACAGACGGGTGAAGAATGCATGAGGACTGCCACGTGGCATAAGTATAGGAAACCTGCAGAAAATATATGGATGTTACACACATATACATTTACATTTGACAGTATTTTCTAGTTAAGGATGAAAAGTGGTAAATTAAACACATCTGTTTTTGTGTATGCAGGATTTCAAAAAGGTTTAGCTCAACTGAAGATTAACATTTCTTTTTCTACACTGGGGTGAAAGCGTGACCGAGTGGCTGCTTCAAAGGGAAACGCAGTGCCTCATTTAGTTTTGTTAGCTTTCTTTTATGAGACAGACTAGTGCCTGCTGTGAGCCTGATGCTGCAGCTCTGCCTCTCCATACATAAACATATATCCCCAAGATGTCTGTCCCTGCTCTGCATCAGCCAATCTACTGTCACACAAGGTTAATTTGGACTGTGCTCTTTCATTTTTCATATCCCTTCTTTCCAATTCATGCCATTCATTGAGGACAGCTCGGCTACCTGCAGCCGCTCTCCAGGGTGCTGAAAGAACTACTGCGGGATACAGGCACTGACTGAGCGGTGGGGGGAGGGCTACAAAAACAGCAGCAGCAGTAGCACTACTAATACTTCATAGTACAATGTAAAGAGAACATAGTAGTAGTATATGTTTTGGATATTTAGGCTAGTAATAATATTCTGTCTAAGTCGAAATTGCACTTTTACAGGGTAATGTATTGTTTAGCTTACACTATTATATGGTTTAGTGAAGTGAAGCCTTCAAGACATGGTTGGTTTATTTACCTAACATTTATTAATGCTGACATTTATAGCCAAGTAATTAAACCCAAATTATTGTATAAGACCAGGGACATTAATTCAGCACTTAGCCACACTCGATAAACCAACAAATGCAGCTACATATGTGTCATCTTGTAGAGGTCACATTTGAGGACTGAATCTTAAACAATCACACTTGGGGCATGGCTTTCTTTCTTTACCTTTTATGGTAAACGGCCCCACCTGCTGGTGAAGTGGTTTCAGGACAGTAAGTTCCTTCACTGGTAATTGTACCACCTGATGTCGCTACGACTGGCTGTAATGCACAATAGAGCTTAATTATATTAGGAACATAGATCACACCTTATGCAGCAATGCATGATCAGTAAACGTCCAGGAGGCTGGTTTGAATGGACTGGCTCAGTAGCTTTGATTCAAAGTTATAATTTTACAAAACAACTAGAATTTGAGCTGAGACATACTACTTTGTAAATGTCAGTGAACTGAAACGCTTGTAACCCTAAACTGTGAGTCTGAGCGCTTGTCTTCAGTGGCTGTAAACCGGTCAGGTGAGGTCTCTGTGCGTAAAGTTGTGAAGTACCGGAAGTCTTGACCAGGAGAGAATCGACATTTGAGCACAATGGTGAACACATAACAGAAACGGAACATGTCAGATATGATTTTGTTATTCCTCAGATTTATTGTGGAAACTCAAAAAATAAATAAAAATAAAATAAAAATCAAAAACTCAAAAACATGAATGGACGAAAGGACGATGATATTCTTTATGACTCCAATCCAAGCCAACTGCTTAAACTGATGATAAAAGTCAATAGATCCATGATAAAAGATAAAAGTGCACATTTATTCTGAAGTCTCGGCGGATGAGGCGGAGTTTACAGTAATGTTCGCTGCTTTGCCAAACATGTTCGCGGAGTGGTTGCATGTGCAGCTCCCAGCCACTAGGAGCAACAAGGAGGGAGCCTTGCCCGGGTCCCAGCGTGGAGGAGGAAGCGTTCCCAAGTCCCAAGCCCACAACACAGACGGGACAGCCAAGAAACCGCGGGGAGTAGTAATTTCACTCTACTTTTAGACTTTCTTCACATGGGGAAAAGAAATGACTTCAACAGCGAGCGAAAGAAGGGCGTTTGCTCATAAAATCAACCGGTAAATGACAAAAGTTATTGTTTACAGCCTCTCTGGAGATAGTGACCCACTGGACACAGTGCGCGTAGCCTTTAAGCTAGGATTTGTTGTATTGCTTATCCTAAAGCTATTTACACTGCTGCATCTGATTTCCAATAACCCACACAATCTCTTAATCTGCTGAGACTACAGATTTATTAGCCACTCATAACACTTGTGTGTGGAAAGGACTGTGCGTTATCATTAACTACGTGCTTTGCGTTATAACTGGACAGATAATCTCCATGTAAAAGTGAGAAGTGTGATTATACACAGTGGTAAAGAGGAAGCTTGTTTGGTATCGGATTAAATGTTGTTCGGTTCAAGTGTGAGAACACCTTGCAGCAAGAGAACTACTGCCTGTTTCCACATGTTGTAAACAGGTTCTTCTTCTTTCCATGTTAAGGTGGCATCACTTGTATGGACTGTAAACATGGATGGATTGATGATCTATAGGCTGTGCTTATTTGTGCAAAGCATGCCCTATTTTATTATGCTGTTATACTTTCTTCCCAATTTCTTCTTCTTATGTATGCAGAAAACAAAAGAGTGAAAGTGTTCCTTTTTATTCTCAGTTGTTTTAGCTTACTTGTTTTTAGTTGATTAGTGTGCACTTTGCAGATTGAACTTTCATTCTATAAGTCTTCTTCTTGGTGTGACTTGCACTATTGTTGTGTGCCGGATGCAGGAAAGGGTGGGAGAGAGGGGTGTTATGGTTATTGGCCCTCACAGTCCATAGCTTTCCTCTTTCCTGTTTTAAATGGATGTCCAGACATTTGCAAGTTTCTAGTTTGCCAAGTCACTAATAGATACATTTGTGGTATTAGATAAAAACTCCTGGCAATGGGACAATAACGGTTTAATTTCTCATTTTACTGCCTAAGAGGGACCAAATAATAATTACAAACAATTTCTACAAAAGTTCAACTCGCAATTGTGTACTAATTTTTATGTAAAAATTAGCATTATGTTCTCAGACCACTCACCTTCCATCTGCCTGTAGTTTTAGTTAGAGGACTGTTATCCCCTGCTTTGTCTTTTTGTAAGCCCCTCATTGCCGTTAGTTAATAAAGGCCTGGGACAGAGTTGGCCCTGTGCCTGGTCTCTGGAGCCAAGACGCCACCATTCTGTGAGATCTGTTAAACTCCCTTTCACAACAGCTGTATCAGCATCAGAGCGAGTAGCAGCTGAAAACCATGTGAGAATGCATTCAAATGGTGGATGAGCCATTTTCCATTCAATAAATTGATGTTATTATGGGTTAAACTAACATAATGCAAGAGGCAGACAATGTGTATTATTGTCTTTATATAACCAGCATAACATTGTAATAAACTTTTTTTTCTTTGTCCCAGGACGGTTGCCTCAGAGGTCAGAAAACAAGTTTCCAGGGACTATGGATCTCCTCAATTGTCGAAGAAGCGAGGAGCAGCACACCTCCCTGTGAGTCAACAACTGTGTTTGGCCTGCTCACAACCTATTGTTTGAAATCTAATTAGTGAGATCCAGGAATGATGTGGCTAACTTTGTGTGGAATCCCCTAAACTCAAGGAGTGCTTGAATGAAGGATGTGTTTTAGTTGAGGTAACTAATTGTTTAGTAAGTAGCAGCAAAATGAGCAATAATGTTTACTCTTACTGTGGCAAAACTAATTGGTTTTCATAGCATGTAGCCTACAACATAATTTTTCTAACAGCCATCCAAACCTTGCCTAGATCATCACACTTTGTCTGTAAATGTCTCAGATATTTCATTGCTAGAGATTTTTTATTTAAATAGAAAACCTGCGTTCCTCTTCATGTTTAGTGTAGTCCCATCTAACTGATGTTTATTGACAGCTGCCCTTGACTGATGTGGTGGAGCCCATAGACTTCGAGGAGTATGTGAGCAGCCATGCCCCTGGGGTGGAGCCTGGGCCTCTGCGACAGCTCATAGAGTTTCCATCCGATGATCTGGAGCTCCTCCATTTGGACAAAGAGTGCACTACACTGGAGCCCCCTCTGCCTGAGGAAGACGAGTGAGTCCAAGGCAAATGGCCAAGCATCCTGCCCTTTCCATTATCACACTCAGAGGAACAATATAACTCCAACACAGGACAAACAGCACTAAAGATGGAGCAAAGCCTTTTCTCTCACACTGAATAAACATAAATATTAAAAGCCTTCTTTATTATTTATGTGTTTTTCTATGTAGTCCACTGGATCCCAGAGTGAGAGACGCCTTGGCAGTCTACACAGATGACTGGCTCATCATTCAAAGAAAGTATGTTACTGTCTGATGTGGGTTTTGTTGAACTAACCTCCATCACATTGTTTATTTAAGTTACACAAGACCCTGTTTATTATTCATATGATTGACAGGTACATTAACATGGGGCCCATATTTTGTAATTTCCTGTAGATACCAGAAATACAGCACTGTGTACACACCTCAAAACTCTGAGCGACAGAGAGAGCGGCAGCGAGGGCTGGTCAAACAGACTTTTGAACTGGATGAGGTCACCGCAGTAGAGCGCCAGGATGATCAGGTAGATTAACTGTATTAACTGTTAGAATGCATCTTGTCTATGGGAATGAATATAATTATAATATAATATAATATAATATAATACTTTATGTCTAGTGGTGAAGGCTACAGCACATACTGTATACCAGGCTCCATGGATTCCAGGAATTTTTCTTTGAATTTCTCTCCCCATTTATTATTCCCATTTCACACTTAACATTTTCCTGTCCTGAGGGTGAGCAATATGCCAAAAAATGAATCTCTCAATCTTCTTGGAGCCAGATCACAATTTTGATTACACTTTATATTGCCTTGTATTTTTTTTTTTAGTATTTTAAAATTGACTTCATTGTAATTGGCTAAATCCACCTTTCACTCACTCAGAGTGTTGCTGATATTGACCAATCAGAGATGTGGGAATGAAAAAGTTTCTTTGTTTAAGTATAGAGCTGCATTCAAGAGAAAATTTGTGAATCATGATGTGGCAAAAATAGAACATTACCACAGGAATGAGATCACCATATTGCCAAGCCCTGTCCTGTCCAATAAAGTCTACAGGCAGAAAAAATACTGAGTAAAATGGTGATGATATCACCATATTGTAAATTGTAGAGGTAGATTGTTCATCATTACTCATCACCTATTATAAAACTACACATTACACATTTTAACTCCTATTTATGTTAAAGTGGCCCTTCCCCCATAGAGGAGATTAAAGTTGAAACATTTGCCTGGAGGAACAAAAACATGATCTCACTCTGCACCTCTCTCTCTCCTGCTGTGTGTCTCAGGATGACGTAAAGCGCCGCTCCGTCAGTCTGGATGAAACCCCGCGGGGCAGCTGGGCCTCCAGTATCTTCGACCTGAAGAACTCATCCCCGGATGCGCTGCTGCCGTCTGTGCTGGAGCGCACGGCAGCTGAAGACCTGGACCGCCGTAACACAGAGTCACGGCAGCGGGACCGCCACAACGACCTACTTGGCCTCTATGCCCCTCCTGATGAGGTCTGTGTAAAATGGGTTCAGTACTGATTCTAAGAACATGAAAACAAAAAAAAATTGCCTACATTTTATCATCAAAGTCTGAACTGAAGTCTGAACTTGTTTGTAACTGTTTTAGTTGTAAATATTATGTACTAAAGAAACCTATATTTGGGATGCATTGATACTAGTTGGCTGATATTATGCTTCAATAATGAAAGATTAACCTTGCCGTTCCTTCACTGAAGAAGCTGAGGAGAAGGGACTGATGAAACCAGCGAAACTTTAGGATTCTAGTAATGTGTTAATAAAGTGAGGAATAAATTTGGACCACTTCAAAAATCAGGTACACTGCCTTTGATTATTAGTATACAGTGTGAAAGCTGAGCAGTGCACGCAGCTCCTGCTTTGCTTCAAGAGACATGATGTCCCTAACTTGCTATAAGGCAAATATCCAGATTAAAATCTAGCCCTTGTTGAAAAGTATTTGCTTTACTTCTGACCCCATTCTTTGTCTCTGTGCTCATCCATCTGCTGTTGCATTGTCGTACTCCCTTAACTGCACACCCGTTGCCATGACGTTTGTGTAAATGTTATGCTTGTGTGTGTGTGTGTGTGTGTGTGTGTGGCAGGATGAGGCAGTGGAGAGATGCTCAGTCCCAGAAGTGCCCAAAGAACATTGTGGCCAGAGAATCATGGTCAAGTGTTTGTCTCTGAAGTGAGTGGTTTAAATGTCCATTATCTGTGTCCTTTGTGCTTTTAAAGATTCTGCTTTCTTTAATATTACATTTGTGTGTGCATGTGTTTTAGGTTTGAAATTGAAATTGAGCCCATATTCGGGACCCTCGCCCTTTATGACGTCAGAGAAAAGAAAAAGGTATGTTTTTATTGGAGTAATGGGATAGAGTCAGTGTTTCTAAGTTAATTTTACCAAGAGAAACCACTTACGTAATGCTGAGCTCATACATGACTAATTGAGTTTCCCTTGTCTTAAAAGGTCTAAGTGGTATCAGAGTTAAGATTACAGAGTCAAAACTGAATTAAAATCAATTGATGTGCATTACCCTAACCCCACCCGTTTTCTCTCTCTCTCTCTCTCTCTCTCTCTCTCTCTCTCTCCACTTATCCCTCAAACAGATTTCAGAGAATTTCTACTTCGATCTCAACTCAGATCCAATGAAAGCCCTTCTCAAACCTCACACGCCTCACACCGCAATCTCCACCCTGGCTCGATCTGCCATTTTCTCCATTACATACCCTTCTCCTGATATATTCTTAGTCATAAAGGTATTACAACTTTACATACAACATTATGTGTATGAAGACGATATCTGTTTTCAAATGTAATAACTCTGATTTGCATTGCAGCTTGAAAAAGTCCTTCAGCAAGGCGACATTGGAGAGTGCTGTGAACCGTACATGGTGATGAAAGAGTCCGATTCTACCAAGGTATTCAGCCAAAATCATTTGGTAAACAAATTACAAATACCAGTGGATGGTAGCCAAAGCTCACAGTAGGTCTTTCTTACTGTTAATACACTAATAATAATAATTTGTTATGATTTATTAGTGGGTGGGACGATAACGTGCAGTACTGTGCTTAAGTTTTAGGCAGGTGGGAAAAAGGTGATTTTTTTATTTAAAATTGTGTATAGTGAATATGACTGTTGTAATAGTAAATAATTAGTTTTATTAGATTTCTTACCACCAAACTATTGAGTTACAGGTTTACAGTGTATTAAGATTTTTCATATTAAAAGATTTACAAAGACACACAGAAACACTGTATTAACACAAACATAAGCAAACAATAACAATATTAACCACACACAGACAATTGTCAATGCCAATAATGAGTTAATTGTAAACTTGTAAATATTCATAATATTAAATATTGTACAAGTCACTATGAAAAAATCTCAACTAAGGATCTCCAAATGTCCTAATTCTTTACTATTACAGTAACTAGGCTTCTTAGGTATGAGTAAAAAAAAAATTGCTGATGATAATTGATAATATCTCTCGTTTTTAAGATGAGTGTTTACAGTGCTACATTATTTATCCTTTATGGCCAAGGTAAGTAAGTACTATAGATTTTAATATATATAGTAAATATTTTAACTCTTCTTTCAGCATAAGGAAAAGCTGGAAAAACTAAAGCAGCAGGCAGAGCAGGCGTGCAGTCGTTTGGGGCGATTTCGAATGCCTTTTGCCTGGACGGCCATTCACCTCCTGAACATCGTGAGCAGTGTGGGGGGCCTGGATCGACTGGACCCGGACTCTGACACTGGTAACTGTCTGTCCTCTCTTACATACAGTCTGCTGCATCATGAGTTTAAAATACACATCTACAAAGGTCGGTTTGTGTTTCACCACTTAATCAAATATGTCTGTGCATGACTTTTAGAGCGGAAAGGTCATGGGACGTGGAACGAAAGAAAGAAGAAAGGATTTGAGCGGATGAGTGTTGGTGAAGACATGTGCAACTTTGCTTCTTTCCGTCCAGCCACTTTGACAGTTACAAACTTCTTCAAACAGGTGTGATTCTAAATATTGTGTACTTAATTTAAAAGTGCAAGCTAAATTAACATTCACAATTTTATATATTGTAAATATATATTCCATGTTTTTTATGTACTTACAACAGGAGGGGGACAGACTCAGTGATGAAGACCTTTACAAGTATCTGGCTGATATGCGCAGACCATCCTCTGTTTTGAGAAGGCTAAGGCCTGTTACAGGTGACATTTTATCGTGAACTTTTTCCTTACATTTTGAGTGCTTGTTATGTAAACATTTACTGTTTGCCCTTTAGCCCAGCTGAAAATCGACATCTCGCCAGCTCCAGACTCTCCTCATTACTGTTTGTCCCCTGAGCTGCTGCATGTGAAGCCATACCCTGATCTACGCGTGCGTCCTACCAAAGAGGTGCTGGAGTTCCCAGCCCGTGACGTGTACACGCCCCACACCACCTACAGGTGAGAGCTCCTCTCCTCCCACACCACCTACAGATGAGACCCCCACACCACCTACAGGTGAGAGCCCCACAACACCTACAGAGAGCATTATCCACACTGACAAAGTTGAAATAGTTTGAATCTGGGCAAGTTTTTTGACAACCAACTTAAATTTGGTGTGAACACTGCTGGCCATGTTGTCTAACATGGCTAGCAGAGACTGCACCTCCATTCTTTGTCACTTTTATCATTTATTTATTTTTTGATTGCTTTTTTCTTTTATTTATTTGTTAGTTTAACAACCTCGCTGTCAAAGACAAGAACAGTCTTAATTCTCTCTCGTTATGATCAGCTCCAAAATCATAGGAGTGCAGCAGAGGGACCTGGCTTCCTTGTGTAACACACACATTTTACAAAAAGCTAACTTGATACTTAGCTCACAGAGTCATATTTTAAAAATTTAGTTTTCTTTACTGTCCTCAGGCCATCACTATTCCCCTATTCACAAATGAAAAGATATTTGAAACCTTTAATCCTACTGCCATTCGCCTTATAAATTCTACCTAGATAAGCCTTTTTATTGGGTGCTTCGTAGACTTCAGAGCTCTCCTTTGTGTTGAATGTTTGAATCTGAATCTGAATCATGCACCTTCAGGTGAGAGCCTAGCTCCCCCTACAGGTGAGAGCCACACTCCCCTATAGGTGAACTGACCTAGATGCACTGACCCTGACCCATAGACAGCATTTATCTCTTTGTGATCTATTGATTTTGGTTCTGTTTTAGTTTTTAGTTAGTTGTTTTGGTTCTGAAGTGAAAAAAACAAATCATCTTGTATGTATAATTTTATTAAACAATATACATTAAATAAATAAACCACTTTGCATTATACTCACACATAACATTTATATGTTTACATAATATGCTGTTTTAGATCCAAAAACAATACTGTCATCTTAAAATCTGAGTTTCACTGAATATTCCAACCAAAGTCATACTTATATCAAATAGCTGCATCAACATGGACAGTATTCTGTATTTACATTCATAATACATAATACATTTGAACACATCAGTGGCATAAGGGAGTGCAGTGACTTGAGGATCTTGGTCATGAGTTTGTCTGGTGCTTGTTCATGAACTTAGGTATCTAAGAGAGGAGAAATTATGTTTTTTAAGATGAAATCTTTAAACAGTTATTAAAGAGTTATTAAGAGTTATTAAATCCAAACAGTGGTTTACCCTCTCCTGTAGCTTCATTAGATGTTCATTCTGGGATTCAATTCTCTCCCGTTGGAAATCGTTTAGGAGCTGTAACCCCTGTAACACACTTGAATGCTCCATTGCTCTTTCCTGCAACATATAATGCATTGTATTCAGGCATGTATTATCCCATAATGATTGTATAGCAGATATTTTTATTACCTGTAGCTCTCTGATGCTCGTGGGGGAAGCTATGTTGAGATATGAGTCCAGTTTTTTTACTTTGGTTCTCAGCTGCTCCTCTTCCTGTTCGATGCGGGCCAGCCAGTCCCTCGTCATCCTGGTCTGAGCCTCTTGCTTGGCCATCTGGTCCTGTCAAAAGAGCATCTGCCAACATTAGTCTCCCCCCACCAGCCATCCCCCAGCAGCTGCAGTGGCCTAACCTACGCTCAAAGAACAAGCACACGTTGCACATTTGTGCTTTCTTTACAATGGCATAGTTTTGCAATTTGCATACAAGTGGGATTATTACAAAGAAGTTATACATTACATAATCTTTTGTTTGAGTAAAAGGAAGCATCTAAATCTACTTTCAAGGCAATCTCAGATCCTTTTCAAAGCTGTAATTCTCAACTAATATTCTGATGATATTGTGAGTAACCAACAAAATTGTTTAGTTAATGTTTTTCAAATTGTGTTTAAAACTGGCATGTATAGCTTATTTAAAAATAAAGTGCACAATTCTGAGCTCTTTCCCACTATCAATATTCACTACTTTTTACATACCTTCAGTATACTGTGAATGTTTGCACAGAGCATATATCTTCAAGCCCCTCTCATAACATCAGAGAGAAATGCATGTTTTCTTACCTGTAGCAGTCTTATCACATCTTTAATCTGCCTCTCCACCTCTGCCGCCTTCTCGGTCTGCGCCCCCAGCTGTTGCAGGGTTAGTTCATGGCTCTTCAAAGTCAGGATAATTTTTGCTATCTTTTTCTCAGTGCTGTCATACGCATAGTTGAGGGATTCGCTAAACTGTATCACACCAAACATCAGCACATTGACTTCTTCTTGGGGCGCTGCACTGGGCTCCATCCTTCCTGTTTTTCTGACTGGCGCTGTATTCACTGTTTTGAGAGCCAGAGCAAAACATAACAGTCCCCAGATCATCTTGATTTTTCTCTTGAGTTTTGTCTAGCAATCCAATCTTAGAAATCTGTCTATTTGCTGGAGTACATCCAAAATCTTTCCCTTTCAAAAATGTGAATATTTTTTCAAAGCAAAGTTGAAATTTACTACTGGTTTCTTGCAGCTTCAAAGCCTGGTGTGTCTGTGATGGGCCTTATATTGTATGTGTGCATATGATTCCCTGGTAAAACATTAGCTCAGCTGTGAACACCTCTCTGTCACCCTATGACCTCCCCTTGAAGTTTAACCCTTAAAATAGATTCTGTCATTTGGGTCACAACTTAAGCATGTGGAATCCATGTGATTGAAAAGTACTTTTAAGGCAATATAAAGCTCAATGTCACAATGATTTTGAAATATCTGTATATTTGAATATCTAATCTCTGTTGACCAGAGGTATCACAGAAGATTACCAGCAATTTGTTCTATTTTAATGCCTGAACTTGTTAACTTTGCTATTTGATTTGGCAGTGATTTTAAGTAAAGTCTGTTTTAAGCAATATTACTGGATGGCTCTTTCATTTTGCCTAGGCAGGAGGATAAACTGTAAAAGTCTTGTGTAATAGTAACTATGTAATATGGCAGCTATATAAAGAAACATTTAATGCATACTTTGAGCATAATATTAATGTGTTGGTGGGACATAGAAGGAAAGAAAAAGGAGAAAGACATGGCACCAATGTTACCTTCAATCATCGTTAAAGAGCCCTGGTTATAGAAACAACTTACTACTAGTGAATATGAATAAGGAGTGAGTGAATAATACATGAAACTGAAAAGTGACTTCTACAGTAGAGCTACATATACAGCAAATATTGTATTATTTTGTCTTCCAGGAATCTCCTTTATGTTTATCCACAAAGTCTTAACTTCAACAGTCGCCAAGGCTCTGTCAGAAACATCGCTGTGAAGGTGCAGTTCATGGCGGGAGAGGACCCCAGCCAAGCTCTGCCTGTGAGTCTCTGTGGTTTATCAAATTACCATATAACACTCAGCTCCCCACATGTAATGGCTGCAGGCTACAAAACTGTAGAATTTTTTTTTGAAAAGTGAAGTTCAAAGCTGTTAATACATCATTTGTAAACAATTGGTAATGAAATCATGACTTTGTACTTGTGTAATCAACATAACTGCTTATATTTTTTGAATTAAGTATAATTATAGTTGAGCTGAATTTATTCAATTATTAGATGTACTATCAAATATGTACTATTCATTGGGTTTATTATTCAAATCCAAATTAATAGTCCTTGTTTGATAGTACATGTTTTTCTAATATTGTTCAATGCAAAGTCAAGTCAGGTGTTTGGAGGATAAGTTTGCCCCGTTCACATTTTTCAGGTAATCTTTGGGAAGTCGAGTTGTGCCGAGTTCATGAGAGAGGCTTACACACCTGTCATCTACCATAACAAGTACGACTGACACATCACAATCTTCCTCTTGGCATCTGTCCGGTCCCTTCCTGCCTCAGATTGGCGTCTCAAAAATTTTTACTTTATTTTTTTTTGCCTCAAGGACACCTGAATTCTACGAAGAGATGAAAATGAAGATTCCCGCCAACCTGACAGACAACCACCACCTCCTGTTCACCTTCTACCACATCAGCTGCCAGCCAAAACAGAACACCCCTCTGGAGACCCCCGTGGGCTACACCGTGAGTTTAGCATCCTTATTTGGCCCATATTCAACTAAACTACCGCCCACACACCTGTTTGTCTGGGCACTGCTTCTCTTTCCTTGCCAAGAGTAAGACTTTGCTAGGTTGTCTGTTTTATTTTTCTGTCTACAGTGGATTCCGCTGATGCAACATGGCCGTCTGCGCACCGGTTCGTTCAGTTTGCCAGTCTCAGTGGAGAAGCCTCCGCCAAGCTATTCTGTGCTCACCCCTGATGTAAGCGTGTGCCAATAGTGTCAGAGACTGTTACTTACGGCTCGGTGGCGTTGACTTTTGATTAAGTGAATGTTGCAAAATGACAGGTCCAGCTCCCGGGTATGAAGTGGGTGGATAATCACAAAGCAGTGTTTAATGTTGAGGTGACAGCGGCCTCCTCAGTTCACACTCAGGTACACGGATTTCTTTCTCATTTCGCACATCATGACTCATACTTTATAACTCCTACATTTAGACGCATTGGATTAGGAATGCATAATATATTCTGCTGTTAACCTTTGCATTATTGTGTTGCTGTTTTCTGTTTGCCAAGATGTCTGTTGCACTTCAGCAGTAAACAGCACTACAAACTTAAAATGTTGTTCAAAGAAAGTTATTATGGCCTTCAATATATTCTGCTGCCTTAATCTCATTAGAAAAAGGAGAGTTGTTTAAACGTAGCTGTACTGGTAAATTTATATCTACTATTTTCCATGAAATCACATTTTGAACAAAATAAACAAAAAGGGAAAAAATTATTACATTATGTATTCTTCTTCTTGTCTTAATTGGCTTTATATGGCTGAACATTTTTGGCAAAATATAAAATTGCTATCATATGAAATATAGTGACTATTTACTTTTGATGCTCTGTTTACATTGCATATTTTGAACACAGAGGAGTGTTAAGTTTTGATAGAAAACAGATATTAACAGACACTAATTACAAACATGTCATGCCAGCTATAGTAGGTTTTATGTACCTAATATATTGTAGTTGGGAAAATCAGTTCAATGGAGAGGACATTATTTTACCCAAATAATATTCTAACCGTGACTATTCAAATAGTGATTCCAATTCTATTTTAATTCATTTTGCATCTGCCCTAGTTTTTTATTCGCCCATAACTATGTAAAAATATTCCCTCCTTTTATCTTTGTAGGACCCGCACTTGGACAAGTTCTTCACTCTGGTGTATGTTTTGGAGGAGTACTCGTTCCCGTTTCGACTGAAGGATGTGATCATCACTGAAGCGAACATGGAGGGCGAGCTCAAGGCCAGCATGGCGGCCCTCAGAGGGGCTCAGCTCGATATCTGTGTCAGGTTTTTGCACCAGCTGCTCAACAAGCTCATTCAACTCATTGTGTATCCACCAGTTATTTCAGGACAAATCGGTAAGTGGACTGTCAAAACGCTATTCTATCTCTATTATGAATCATTTAGAGATGTGAAGAGCCCTTTTGTGAACAATGCTGAACTAATGTGGTAATATGTTAAGTGGAAAATGAGATAGTTGACGTGTTTTAATTAATTTAAGCTTAAATGTAATCACGCCATGTTACCTAATGTGCCAGCCACCATCACCCTTTTGTTTATTCACAGTGAACCTTGGTCGGGCTGCTTTTGAAGCAATGGCCTTACTAGTGAACCAAATCCACAAAAACCTGGATGGAAACCAGGACCAGCACGGTCGCAACAACCTGCTGGCCTCATACATTCAATACTGCTTTCATTTGCCAACAGCTGATCCCCCAATTCCTCCTTCAGGCAAGTGCCCAAACAATCCTTTTGTCAAAACAACTGATTCACAGACTTATCACATATGAGCTCAAAATATTTGCTTTTCAAAGCACAACCATCAACATACTGTTATAATGTTGTTTGCTCATCACTATCATACCTGGAGATGTGTTTTGATTCATTCACACATATTTAACACACACATCCTGCATATTTAGTTCTTCTTTCAAACAGAAAAAACTCTGTTCCACCTTGTAATGTCATGTGGTAATACAAGAAGTGCTCCACTTTTTTAAACACCATACACTTTCACTAGAATCATTTGGATGATTTGAGCCCTGGAACTGCCAATCTCTACTAAACTAAAGGCAAAAGAGAGCTGTTAACATGAAAACTACCACTATATGACATCACAAACAGGTGTGAATGAAACAAAACACAAGGTATGTTTTTGATGAGATAATAGTATTATAACATAGCTTAGTTAGGGTTGAACTTGGTCAAAACCAGGTCCTAACAAATTTTAAACCTGGGCTACATCAGAACCCTTACCTCCTGGTAAACAAAAAAATACAACTAAACTAAATATGCATGTGATGGTGTAAAAACATGAGAGAAATATTGTCTTGTTCCTAGAATGTTATTTTAATCTATGTTATATATTCTCCACATTCAGCTGCCCAGTCCTATGAAATGCCGATGCAGTTTGCCACTTTGTCCAGAGCCACTGGGCGCCCAAGCAGCCTCCATCTGTCGAGATCAAAGAGCATCAGTAACTCAAACCCAGACCTAGTCACCACTCCTGTCTCTCCTGATGAGGAAGTGCAACGTATTATAGGAAATAAGGTAAGTCATGGCAATAAAATGTAAATAAAAGCAATATAAGTTTATCATCTGTGTAATAATTAATTAATATATATAGTAAATTATGTTTACTTAAGTATGAATGTGAGTGTTGGTAGTCATTGACTCCAGCATTGACACAGATTAGCAGAAGCCATATCTATCTTATTGTAGCTTATTACCAGCTAGTGTGAATGAGTAATGCAATATGAAAAGGTTTGGATAATTTAACAGGCCATATTATTTTTGTTGCATTATTTCTGTACTAACTGATGCAATTTTTTTCATTATTTCTGTATTTATATATTTGTGCCATATATTTATTATGTTCCCTTGATTCATTTTGTTGTTTATATCAAATGTCTTTTGGCTTTTCAGTGGTTTCCTTTATCCTCCCAGCCTCCCTGTTCTGTACAGCTTCAATGATCCTACCTTTAAATGATTCTTAATGTGCTCCTGATTGATAATTACCCAGCCATTCCTCCTCTGTGTCTCTGTGTGTGTGTGTGCCTCTCCTGCGGTGGCTTTGGCAGGGCATTGACCGCTCTCACTCCTGGGTAAACTCTGCTTATGCCCCCGGGGGCTCCAGATCTGTCCTGCGCCGGAACCCCAACTCCAGCTGTGATCTCAAGCAGGTGCCAAATCCTCTCTCGCCTTTTCCCACCCCCTCACTGTCCTCACCTCCCTCCATAACCGCCATCAAATCCAAGTATGTCTGTCTGTCATTCCACCGGCCACTCATTACCTGTCAGGCTTTTATCTCATGGCTACACCTTGTTCAAACCTGTCAAAGCTTTCCTAACACTCTCCATCTGATATTTTCGGAGTGTCGTAAGCTCTGCCTGGGCCTTGTCAGATCTCTTGCTCTCATCGCAGCTCATTTCATCATTCACCCATTTTCACATCACTTTGTGCTCATTTCTATGTCCATCGCACCACCACTCCATGTCAGGCAAACGACAGCGGCAGCAATCGCATGTCTTCTTTTCTGGACAGCGTGGCCTTGTTTTCAGTGCCCACGAGGCAGATTGCCAAAAAGGTAAAACTGAAAACCACTCAAAATATGTGTGCTAACATTCATTCACCATCACTAACCTACGTTGTAATTTCAGTACAAGTTTGTGTGCAATTCTGTTTTTATTTAGTGAAAAAACTGTTCTCCAGCTAAAAGTCCTGGGACAAAGGTACTGGGAGTATACATACAAAAAAAAAAAAAAAAAAGAAAAGAAAAGTGCAGTTACATTCTTTAGTTTTGGTAAATATTTACTTTTTAGGTATAAAAAATGTAAATATTTGTGATGCACATGACTCACATACCTGATGACAGTTTACAATAACTACACCTTACCTAGTCTTTATAAAGCATGAAGAAAGAAAGAAATTATGAACATGAACACATTTTTTATTAGTAAGGTTTAGGCAAAGTAACTACTTAGTTAATACCCTAACTCCTAACCTCATAATTCAGTAGTTACTATACCTCTTCATTTGATAAACTATTAAATTATCATACGTTTGTTCTTCATGCTTTAATAAGGCACTAAATGGAATAGTTATTATAAATACAATTTCCTGAAATGTAATATTATTATAAAATAGTTTATTGTGCCTCAATAATAATGCAAAAACAATAATATACTAAACCACACTTTGTATTGGTCCCCTGTAGTTGCTCCATGAAGAGCTGGCGTTGCAGTGGGTGGTCAGCACCAGCACTGTGAGGGAGGCAGCGCTGCAACAGGCCTGGTTCTTCTTCCAGCTCATGGTTTGTCTGTTTGCATATTTACACTCTTAATAGACGTCAACTGAGGAGTGCATTGTAATTACATCGCAACATTGTATTCAAAATCAACTTTTTATTGTTCAGGCAAAGAGTATGGCCCACCACTTATTCCTGACCTCAAAATTAGATGCTCCCAGGAAGCTGCGGTTCCCAGATCGTTTTGTGGATGACATTGCTGCACTTGTTTGTGCCATCAGTGCAGACATTGCCACTCGATATCATAAGGTAGCATTTTCACTATAGTGTCCTGTCTTTTTATATTATATCATATCTCTTAATGATTATTCTTTTTTCCACTTACAGGATGTGGAGCTTGTGGAGAGGCTGAACAGCAGTCTGGCCTTCTTCTTGAATGACTTGCTGTCTCTTGTGGACCGTGGCTTTGTTTTCAACCTCATCCGCACTTACTACAAACAGGTGTCCTCTTCTCTTCCTTTAGTCTCACCACTATTGTCATTTTTTATTTTATTAAACCCTACTGCCTCTTTCACCAGATTTCAAACAAGCTTCACACATCCCAGAACCCCAGTGCTCTGAATGCCCTGAGGATGGATTTCATGCGTATTGTCTGCAGTCACGAGCACTACGTCATCCTCAATCTGCCGTGTTCGACTCTGAGCCCCCCAGCCTCCCCCTCCCCTTCCACCTCCTCTACAACCTCACAGGTATCAGTTGGAGTAGTAGCAATAGTAGCAGTAATAGTAGCAGTAGCAATAACTGTAGTTATAGTTGCAGTAGTAGAGTAAAGAACTTGACTGCATGTTTCTTCCCATAGCACCTTTACATTCAGTTCAGTTGGATGCTTGAAGAAGGTTAAGAGGTGCTGTGTGTAATGTGGTGATGCACTGATGGATCCAGATAAGACCTATAGGAGTTCAGTTGCTTTAAGCATCCTGAGCAGAGCGGGGCTAGTTTTCCCTGCGTAGCCTTTGCTTCTGCTTGTTCATGGGTAGTGATCTGAAGACCAGATTTAGGCTATAACTGTACCACTGAGTTTGTAATATTAATGCAGCATATGTTGGATTTTAATTATTATTGTATATATATTTTTTTTTTTTCACATTTATGTTTTCCCTGTGTTCATTGTCTTTGTTCACTTTGCATCCCTTGCACTTGCAGTTGTGCATATTGTACATGGTTATTTCGTGCTTTATGTCAAGCCCAAATATTAGGTGATGTTTTAATGATTTTTACTTTCTCTAAATTGTTGTTACATGTCTCTTCTCCCAGAGTTCAGCCTTTTCAAGCATGGCGCAGGACCAGCGGGTTGCCAGCATGTTTGAGCTCTCCGTCCCGTTTCGGCAGCAGCACTTCCTGTCTGGACTGCTCCTCTGTGAGCTCTCTCTCATCCTTGACCCTGAAAGTGAAGGGTAAGGTTTTTGCGTAAGAACAAATGAACTAAAATTTACTTGAGTTCCTTGAAGGCACCATCAGAATCTTTTAAATTAGGCTCAGCATGACACTTAGGAAACTCTGAGTTGAATTAAATGGGCTGAAACCTTCTTTTTATTCCACCCACAGGGCTTTCTTCCTCCATAAAAAGGCTATTAGCGCTGTTCACTCCCTGCTGTGTAGCCACGACGCAGACCCACGCTTTAGCGACACTCAGGTCAAAGCTCACGTGGCTCAGCTCTATCTGCCCCTTCTGCCTGTCGTCATGGAGAGTCTGCCCCAGCTCTACGACTTCTCTGGTAAATTGTACAACTTTAAAAACACAAGTTTATTAAACAATAAAACTAAATACCCACTCAAAGAATATGACACATTTATCATTTTAATATTTTAATACACATAAACTGTGTATTTAGTTACTGTTTTAAAAATATTTTTTTCTAACATAAAATAGAGAAACTATTTGTACAATTAAGAGCCATGCAATTATATATCTATACAAATGGAAAGTAGACTACACAAATAGATGCATATATAAAAAAGTAACAGCTGCGTAAAGTGAATTAGTAGTATTCATTATCTTGAATTGTCTTAAATATATACCAACAAAATCCGACTTGTGCACGTCTTTCAGCCTCCTCTAATTTTTACACAGTTGTTCTGATCTCCTTTATTTTCCTTTTGTATTACTGCTCCAAACAGAATATATTTACATACATACATTTTCATTTTAATATCCCCAGACTCAGCAGCCAGGGCCCGGCATGCATCAGCCCACACGGACGACGTTGACCCCGACGGCAGCAGCACCATCAGTCAGTCTGTTGCCATGGCAATCGCCGGCTCTCCTCTACCACACGCCAAAGCCAACCCGTTTGTGTTGCCGACAGTGGTGAGTGGTATCAGCTGGGGTCAGGCTGCCCCCACCCTCAACGCCCTCCCTCTTCTCTCCCTCACGCACAGATCTCATGCACAGACAGGTCACAGATTGGCCCAAATGTGGGAGGGTCACATTGATAAACCAAGCCCACCCATTCAAAAAGCAATAACAGTTTTTACATGTAGTTTATTTGGTGTCACATTTCGTGTTGACCCCTAGTACAGTAGTTTGAATTAATTTAGTTACCCAAATTAATTACAATGTGCTACCCCTTTCTTGCAGATACTTAAAATTGATCTATTTTAAGTCTAATTTACTTTGACATTTGAAATGAATGTGCTTTGGTAATAAGGCGTATCATAAAAATAAGGCAAAAGAATAAAAATAGACTTGATATAAATACAAAATGAAAAATATACTATATAGACAGAATATCTGCAAAAATAGCACAACTAATAACACAAGTTTCACTGTTTCTTGTATCTTATCCACTCTTTTTTTTCTTTTTTTCTTTTTATTGAGCATTTAAGAGAAACACATTACAGTATTTTTGTTTACGCCCAAACTCCAGAACAAACCCTGTAGCACCATAAAAATATATACAAATAATATTACACACTGAAGTAAAAGCACTATAACTCCTGTTATATAAGTGAGGGATCAACATCTTTGATCTTACTCAGAACAGGTTGCCAGGTATTGAAAAACTTATCCACACAGCCTCTTTATAGAAAATCTAAATTTCTTTAAAGTTAAATGCCGTATAAGGTCAGCAAGCCACAGTCTAAAGGTTGGAAGTTGTTTGTCTTTCCACTTGAGCAGTATTAGACTTCGAGCCAGGAATGTGGTAAAACCAATACCATTTTTATATTTTTATTGAAATGCAGAAATTTCAATGATATACCAAATATTGAGATTGTGGCCTCAGGGTCAACATTGGCCTCCTTAGCTCTTTTCTAACAGTCCTCAAGTGATTTTGTGTCAGACTAGTTGACCTCATATTGTTTTTTATACTTGTCTCCTCCTTCAGGCTGGGAGGCAGTCCAGCTCCCTGTCAGCCGAGTGCAGCCGGACTCTGCTCTTGTGTTTCCTTTGGGTGTTGAAGAACGCTGACGCCGCCCTGCTGGAGAGATGGGTGTCCGATTTGTCCATCCTACAAATCAACCGCCTCCTGGATCTGCTACATCTTTGTATATCCTGCTTTGAATACAAGGTAAAGCTCGCAAGGATTTAATAGCAAATTTAGTAACTCTAATCTGATGCACTATTTTTCACAGTCTGTATTATATAATATTTGTAAAAAAAATATATTTTATTGCTCTTTTTCTAGATTCTCTTTTTTGTGTCAGTTGTTACTTATGAATATAATTTTATGTAACATTGAAGTATTCAATTAAACTGAGAAAAGTTGCTCAAACTAAATGCAATGTTCAGAGTATTTCCTTTTGTTATGGTAATGCATATGCTTCTGTATTTTGTCTTATAAAATCTACTTTGTATAATCAATTTTAAACACATAAAAGACACATAAAAATATCTCACATTTAACTTGTTCCTGAAAATGACTGTGTTTTTATGGTTTACATTTCAGGGCAGAAAGGCTCTCGAGAGAATGAACAGCCTGACATTTAAAAAGTCCCAGGACATGAAGGCTCGACTAGAGGAGGCGATTTTGGGGACCATCGGAGCCCGTCAGGAGATGGTACGACGCTGCAGAGGTAAAGTCAATGTAATGCTGTAATGGATGGGTATGTTCAAGTATTGGATTCAGTTTTAATTGTGTGAGGAAATTGCATCTTACAGAGAGGAGTCCCTATGGCAGCCAGGAGAATGTGAGATGGAGGAAAAATGTTACGCACTGGAAGCAAAACACTGACAGAGTTGATAAGTATGTAGTATTGAAAGTCTCTGAAGATGCAGTTTACTTTTATTATGTACAAATACTAAGATACAATTTAATTGCTAGAACTAAGACTGAAGTAGAGCAGGAATCTGTTGTGGATGGAAACTTGGCTACTGAAGCATCTTTAATAGTCTTGGACACACTGGAGATTGTTGTCAAGGTAACAATAAAAAAAGTCGTTAACAATATTGTATTTTATTGATCACATTTAACTGAATATACTTTTCCTTTTAGACTGTGGTAGCCTCAGAGCTGAAGGAGAGTGTACTGGGTGGTGTGCTCAGAGTTCTTCTTCACAGCATGGCAGGCAACCAGAGCGCCCTCTTCCTGCAGCACTGCTTTACTACACAAAGAGCACTAGTATATAAGGTACTAGATCTTTATAAATTGTGTTTTTTAATAAACATGGATAAGTGCAATTTAAAAAAAAAAAATGCTGAAGCTTGTGATTTAGTTAATAACGGGTTTTTCAATAGTCAAATCTATTTCACAACTGTGCAAATATTAATATTCTATATCAACTCACCTTAGTTTTGCAATTATTATTTGTCGGTTGTAGTAGTTTTTTTTTAAGAAACTTCTGCTTAATTTGTAAAATATGTATCTTTGTGTACCTTTGTTTGAACTGTGCCTTTTTTTATAATTTAAGAGTAAGCATATATTTATTATGGGCAGTGCTTGGTCGCAGGTAGTGATAGTCATGGGTAGATATATTGATATTTTCAATCCTTGTACACTATTTTGTGTTTAGTTTCCAGAAATGCTGTTTGAAGAAGACACTGAGCTTTGTGCCGACCTGTGCTTACGTCTCCTGCGTCACTGCAGCAGTAGTGTGGGCTCTGTCCGAAGTCACGCCTCTGCCTCCCTCTACCTGCTCATGAGGCAAAACTTTGAAATAGGGAATGTAAGTTTAAAATTTTATGTTAATCCGAAAGTTTTTAATTCACCCTTTAACTTTATTTTTGTAAATTTTTTCCAGAACTTTGCTCGAGTAAAGATGCAGGTGACGATGTCCTTGTCATCTTTGGTTGGTACATCTCAAAATTTCAATGAGGAGCATCTTCGTCGGTCTCTTAAGACGATTCTGACTTACGCAGAGGAGGACCTGGAGCTACGGGACACACCTTTCCCTGAGCAGGTGTGCAGCAGCATCCAAGTGAAGTTATAGAAACAGAAAATATACTTTATAGACTAACATGATATCATTTCTCCTTTCAAACTAAGGTTCAAGATCTTGTGTTCAATTTGCACATGATTCTTACTGACACTGTGAAGATGAAGGAGCACCAGCAGGACCCAGAGATGCTCATTGATCTCATGTACAGGTACAGGACCACAGGTCTAGTACAGTATCAAAAATTAACCCTGAAAACAACATTTTTGATATTTTTTCTACATTTTCTACAGAATTGCCAAAGGCTATCAAAACTCTCCCGACTTGCGTTTGACCTGGCTCCAGAATATGGCAGGGAAGCACTCGGAGAGAGGGAACCACGCTGAGGCTGCTCACTGCCTGGTCCACAGCGCTGCCCTGGTGGCAGAATATCTGAACATGCTTGAGGACTGTCGCTATCTGCCCATAGGCTGTGTCACGTTTCAGGTTAGTCCGCTCTCTTAGCGAAAAAAAAATGAACAACTTCATTATTATGTAATACATACATAATTGTAAGAAGTAATCTGCCATTTGGGTTTTAGTGTTATTTTTAAAATTCAATTCAAAACATCATGTTGTGCAGTATGTAAGGGGCACTATGTAACTTTTTGGTTGCAGGTTCGTCACCTTCTTGTTTTATAGATATTATGTCATTGCTCTGCTTCAAATGTTCCACAGTATGACATCAAACAGATCTATCTTACATATGTTCAATTACAGGTGGTTTTATTGCTTAAAAATATGTAGAAAACAGGTATTTTGACCTGCCTCTTGCCTCTCCATGGATCTGACCTATACCTTACCCTGGTTTGGATTCTATGAAGATAGAAATGTTTAATACCATACTGTGAAACATTTCAGACAAAGCAATAACATGTCCATGGAGAAAAACAGGTAGCGTACCCTCCACCAGAAAAGATGACAAAGATTATGTTAAAATGATGTAATTCTCACCACAGTTTATTTTGCAAAAACTGTTTATTTTTGTGATGAGCATTATTTAATTGTTGTTAACTATTCTGAAACAAATAACAGATGCATTAGTCACTCTTTTTTGCAGCTACTATTGTTTCTTTCTGACGCCTCTGTTTTTCCCATAGAATATCTCCTCCAACGTGCTGGAGGAGTCTGCTGTATCCGATGACGTCCTGTCCCCTGAGGAGGAGGGGATCTGCGCTGGGAAGTACTTCAGTGAATCGGGTTTGGTCGGCCTCCTTGAGCAAGCAGCTGCTTCTTTTAACATGGTAAGACTCACTCTCTCCGACCACATGGTGACAGGCTCATGTTAACACAGCAGAGGGGCTAGGGCTGTTACATGGTCAAGTTATGATTGACTGCTTATGGAAATCCCGCCTCTCTGTGCCTTTGTAAACACAGGCCGGGATGTATGAAGCCATAAATGAGGTCTACAAGATCCTGCTGCCCATCCACGAAGCCAACCGAGAGTTTAAAAAGTTAGCCACTGTCCACGGAAAACTGCAAGATGCCTTCAATAAAGTCTACAATCAAGTGAGTTGAGTCAACAAAGTCTGTTATGAATACACCCAAATGGAATATTACGGCGTGTAACATAGATTTTAGACGCAGACAAATCATTTGTATATTCATACTTTGCATGGCCTATAAATTTACAGTTATTGCCTATATTTCATATTTAAGCAGTCTTATCAGAACTATATAGTTACTTTTTATTTATTAATTTATTAATTTTTCTGGCCAATCCAATGAGCAACAAAGTGTAATTTTGTTATGCCAAAGTAAAGATCAAGTTTCTTTTAAAATGTTTTGGATTCAGTGGTTTCTCCATCTCTGTAGTCTCTTTTATGATTGGGAAACATTACATTATTAAGCACATGTTTCATAAAAGCAAAGCAAAGTAGAGATTTATGTAGTTACATGGTTCAAATACTTTGTTGATGCCTGAAGTTAGAGAAGTATGACTAAACTGATTGGAGATGACAAAGAAAAAGAGTTGCCTTGAATGTGAGATTTGTTGATTACATATTAGCTTTTAATTGGCACAAAAAGGTTCAAATAATCAAAAGAATGAAGAGAAAGTATTCGATATATTTAAATTTTCTCTGTATCTGTTTTTCAGAGCTCGGGATGGGAGGTAACAGCTTCATTTATTTACAGGATTAGTATGAATAAAATTACACTTGTATCTCACTATCTTTTTTTTTTCTCATAATTCCCTTGTCCTTCTTCCAATGGCACTGAAATGGTAAGTTTGACATCCTTTGGCCAAGCTAATTTTAAACCACTGTTGAAAAACACATCACTCAAGTCAGTAACGTTGGACGTTTTTTGAAAGTGTCATTTCCCTTTAACCTTTTCAGCGCTCAGAGGATGTTTGGCACCTACTTCCGGGTTGGATTTTATGGATGTCACTTCGGAGACCTGGACGAGCAGGAGTTTGTCTACAAAGAGCCATCAATCACAAAATTAGCTGAGATCTCTCACCGACTTGAGGCATGTTAATTTTAGTCATCTAGATAATCATTGTGTCACCAGTGATTTATGAGTGTTATATTTATCTATATATATCTCCCATGTGAATAGGAGTTTTATTCTGAGAGATTTGGAGATGATGTGGTAGAAATTATCAAAGGCTCAAACCCAGTGGACAAACACAAACTTGATCCCAACAAGGTAAATGTACTAACTACTTAAAGAAACAAATGCTAACACTAACAGTAGTGTAGTTTAGTACCAGTTATTAATAGATAGCTAATAGTGAAATGTATAATAAGTGCCTAATTACATCTTTGTTAGTATTTATAATGTACTTTCAGTGCATTTTGTATAAGGCAGTATTTTGCAAATATGGAGACATTAACGATTTTCTTTGAATTGAAGGTGCATTATGTAACTTTTTGGTTCAGAGTCCGACACCAACAGTTTTAAACATAGACCTTTTTCTGTTGTAAAGTTGTTTTAGATCACTATTGCTGTATACAATTACCAGAATGTAAAATTATTTATGATCTAAGTCTGGTTCTGCAAGTAAAATTCAATGTCGCATTTCTCCTGTATTTAATTTGTTAGGATTTTAAAGGTACAGGAGAGACTAACAGGCTATTGGTTAACAAATTACCATAATGTGATATAAGATATAGGGAAAATCAATCAGTTGACAGTTGAGCATCCATGTTATATTTTAATGTCTGTTCTTATCCTAGGCCTACCTCCAAATCACTTATGTAGAGCCTTACTTTGACACCTATGAACTGAAAGAGCGGATCACGTACTTCGACAAAAACTACAACCTGCGCACCTTCATGTACTGCACCCCCTTCACTCTGGATGGACGCGCCCACGGAGAGCTGCACGAGCAATACAAGCGTAAAACCATCTTGACCACGTCTCACGCCTTCCCCTACATCAAGACTCGCATCAATGTCATCCACAAAGAGGAGGTGGGTGATGGATATTACAGTGCCTCAGTGATGTAAGCTGTTGCAATCAAAATAACTAGATTTGGTGGGTAAAGGTAAAGACAGGCTTTTTCGATCTCATAAGTCTGCCTGAGTGAGTGTTAAATCGAGGAATGAAAAATTTTAATGCAGTAAATAGGGATGCATCGATCCAGCTTTTTCAGTTCCGATAGTCATACTATGACTTTAAGTATCTGCTGATATTAACAGATACCAGTGTAGGGACAGAAAATGGCATTTATTTCTTAAAAACACAATTAACTTATTACACAAGTGATCCTTCAAATAACTACTGCATATGAATTAAAGTTCAAACATTACGAGGTCTTAAATCAGTCTGAAAATAGTTTTGTTACATCTAATTAAAGCCCCAACCGGGATATCGGCCTAAACCAATATGAAACCGATATCTGATCCAGACAGTTTTTTCAGTAAGGGATATTCAATACCAGTTTCATATCAGTGCATCCCTGGTAACCATATCAAAGTGCGCCGCAAGATTATGACTAAAAACTAGTGCGTCTTAATGTCCCTAGCATTACAAAATGTCTGTGTTTTGTCTTTTGCAGATTATTCTTGTGCCCATTGAGGTGGCCATTGAGGACATGCAGAAGAAAACTCAGGAGCTTGCATTCGCCACAAACCAGGACCCTGCTGATTCCAAGATGCTTCAGATGGTGCTGCAGGGCTGTGTCGGCACCACTGTCAACCAGGTGAAGAGTTTTTTTTCTATGATGGCTGTAAGTCTTGTTCGACCCTATTTTGATTCACCTTTAATCTGTAAATTGGTTGAATATTTCCCATTTCTGACAATGCACATACAAAGGGCTATTACGTTGCCTGACCAGCTAGTCTTTCTGCATTCTTTTTGAATCCAGAAAGGATTGAAAATGCATAATTAAGGCTGAAAATCCTCTGTCCAAACTTGAGACAATTGAACCACAGCTGCTGATTTGTAGCATTGTTGAGTCTGCAAAAATCCATGCTGTTTCTCAGTCCTTTATGTTGTTTTGTCCCTTTGTGTACATGTAAACGGCCATGTTTGTTTTTGATGGAAACGGAGCATGCATCTCTCTGATTGGTTAATCCGCCTGTCAATCATTGAAATGTGAAAGATATAAGGCTCCAGATCCACTTGTCATGATTTTGGTATATTTTTAACAATTAACATTGTTATATTGATAGATATTTTTGTTTCAGTTTCTGTCCCCATTAGCACTGTTGTTTCATGACTTAGTACTGTTATCTAAGTACAGCCGAACAATGTTAAGGGGTACATTGCCTGGGTTTATTGTTCCCTGGACAGAGATTAAAGCATCAGTGACACACATTCCTGAGCTCATATGTAACCCCCTTGTCTTCTCCCCATGCAGGGCCCCCTTGAGGTGGCGCAGGTCTTTCTGTCTGACATTCCCGACGACCCCAAACTCTTCCGCCATCACAACAAACTGCGCCTCTGCTTTAAAGACTTCACTAAGAGGTGATGACACACACTGCAGCAGATGGATCTCACAGTGTAACTAATAGCAGTGTCTTAATCCCTGCTTTACTTTACTTTGGCTGTCTTTTTAACGCAGGTGCGAGGATGCCCTCAAGAAGAACAAAGCTCTGATTGGTCCGGACCAGAAGGAGTACCATAAAGAGTTGGAGAGAAACAACAATAAGTTAAAAGAAGCACTGGGGCCTCTTATCAACCGCAAAATCCCACAGTTGTACCAAGCGCTGCCGGCTCAGACAGTGCAAATACAAAGGTAACGTGAGACACAAAACACACTCGCCCACACTTAAGACACATAATATGAGCTCATGCTTGTCTTTACTGTAACATAATCTGGAGTTGTATAATATGCATAGCTCAGAGTCATGTCTATCATCTATTGAGTCAAAGCAGGGACACAACTTGAATGTAAATCCCTCCTTAAAACCCTGTGAAACTGTCGCCTCTAACCAAGATTTATAAGTTCTTACATTCAAAGTTTACTCTGGGATAGGATTAAAGCGGAGCAGTGTGTTTGACTTGGGAAACTATCTCACCATATGTTTCTGGTTTTATCTGTGTTTGGCATTGATTCAGCATTTTCATGTGATGGTCTGTGGAGCGCTGGGCTTCTAATTGAAAACATATTCAAAGTAACACCACCTGCCAAAGAGTAGGGTTAAAATGCAAGCGCCATTTTACGACTTTGTTTTAAGTTAATTATATTTATTAAAAGGATCGAGTTAGCGCAACACCTACAGTGTTTGGCTAACTAGATCCTTTTGTTCGGCTTAACAACATTTTAAAGGAATGGCTACTATTACCTCAAAATTATACTAAATACTCACATTGCTGTTTTGGCTGCTCTTCTGATGGAGTTTGAAGCATAAGTGGGTGAAGACTAGAAACCTAACAAATGCCGCACAATATATCGCAATCAAATCAGAATTGCAGTTTGAGTTGGAGCAATTATCAAATCGCAAAGGGCTGCAATTTAGATAATAGAATGTACTCTTCAAAGAACAAAATGAAAGTCTATCATCGTGCAGGCCGACTTTTTATTCTTGCTGCTGGTACTGTACAGTATTTTGTTGTCTAGACACAAATGCAGAAATGTATGATATGCTACTAGTTCTATACACTGGTGTGATATGTATGGATAGTGTAAACTGTAGTAATGAATATGATTGTCTTATTGTAGTAACAGTGGGCTTGTATTTAATAGTAGTTTTACTGGCAGCCTCATCTCTAATGTTAGATAGAGAAAATTTTCTATATTATTACTTGCTTAAAGAGCCCATATTAGGCTATTTTCAGGTCTACGTTATAGTATTGTTACTTCTTCCCAAAAAATACCTGGAGGTGTGTTTCATTTCATTCACACATATTCAATGCACAAACAGAAAACACCCTGTTCCACTTTGTAATGTCATGTGTTAATACAGGAACTGCTCCACTGTTTTAATGTTTTTAAACGCAATTAATCTTCACTAGAATCATATGGATTGTTTCAACCCTGGAATTTCCCGTCTTTACTGAACAAAAGGTAAAAAGTAGCTGTTAACTTGAAAACAACCACTTCATGACACAGGTGGAACAGAGCATTTTGAGCTTTGGAGATGTAGACAGACTAAAAATAAAGGATTACTCAAACATGTGTCAATGAAACAAAACACAACTGCAGGTCTGTTTTTGATGAGGTAACAACATTATAACATGACTAAATTGACAAGAGTAAATTTTGCTTAAACTATACATTTTGTTGAGTACAGTATTTCTACAAGCTTCATATTTCACATGTATTTCTTCCCTTTCTTCATACTAACATGCTGTATTTCTCTTGCAGGAACTCATACGGCCGGTCCAGTCTGCGCCGGGTCGACTGCTGAAACGTCAAACAAGTCAACCGTTCAAATAAACAAGCTTTAAAGACGTCGCCCCATCTCCTCTCGACTGCTCCCCCCTCCCCCCGCAGAGCAGCAACTGTCCCGAGCACACGCACGCACCATCCTGTCCCAGGTCGCACCCCCCACAGGCAGCCGGCCACCCACTCTTCCCATAATCCTCTCTGTAGCAGCTAGCACACACAGACAAAACACACACTTGTCACCTATTAGCATATTAGACCTCCACTTGACCAGTCTGCTCCCCACCACCTCTGTCCAAACACCACCATATTGTTTATACTGGGGGTTATCTGCTCTGTAAATCTCATTATTTACAGAAAGGACTCCCCCCATAGAGCTGCACAATATAGTAGATACCATATATATAGCTGGAAACTCTTGAATATAATTTTTCAATTGCTTGTTGCCTTTTAGGGGTATCTACTGCATAAAACTGACACAAATCTCTCCCACTAACTCTGAGGACTGCCATATACTGTACATGTTTTTAAATACAAGTATAATTTTAGTTCAATATTTTAGGGTCCTGATCAGGATCAATATTAAGCTCAAAAGTAGACCCAAAAATACAAAACATTTGAATCAACCCATATTTTAATTTGCCAGTGTTATCTTTGTCTATTATATGGGACCATAATATTGTCATGAACAGACATTTTCTAGCAAACTACCTTTTTATTAGTGTGATAAAGCTAAATGTTCAATATACGCTACACAGTACACTAAACATTCCAAATTGTTTATTTTAATACTAGGCTCTTAATGTAATTATACTACTGTAGTATTGGGCTAACAGAAGCAGGTAGTCTTTCTAATGGATTTTTTTAAACATTTGACCAAATGTCTTGCATTCCTTCTTTTCCCAGTCAATGTTTTCTATTTGCTCACTTTTTTTACATTGTGGAAGTTTGATATGGGATGGGGACTTTATTAACTGTGAAATACGCACTGTACTCGCATAAGACAAAACGCTATGCCCTTTAACTTCAAATGTATAAAATGTGTAAACCAAGATCTTACTGAAGCCTTAATGCATTATAATGTGAGGTTTATGGCAATTTATCTTCGACTGTTTAAAAAAACAGTCTGAAAGCACTCCAAATATCAAATGTATGTCTGACTCTGCACAGCTGTGGGAGAAAATGTATCTACTGTATCTATGTATTGCACTATTATAAATGTTAAACTGTGGCACAACACTGTATTTCTAAAACATCATTTTTACAAGCCTGGAAATGTTTTTTACTCTTTAGTTAAATATTTTATTTATTTACATTTTTACTGCTTTCAATTAAATCCTTCTTTCTACATTTTGGAGTGATTTGTTTAAGTAACTTTATTCGTTTTTAAGATTAAATTCTATTCAGTTATGAGACAAAATTTTAATGATGAGAATTTACAGTTTAGTTACAAGTTTTAGTCTTTTACTATTGAGCAGTAATGGGGAAAACATTAATATTTCATCATGTTTGTTTATTCACTGATTCTAATATTTTGACAAAGGACTTGTAACATACTTTTTTTCATTTACACTCAAATCCACAGCACCATATAAGCTTATTATGTAGTGCATTTCCTCCATAGTCTTTTACTCTCTCCCAAATGTTTGTGGCTCTTACTTCTTCAATTACTTGCGTTAAACTAATGGGACCAAACAAGTGAAGCAGCACTGATTAGATTAACGACTCTACTCTGGCTTTTGGCTGCAGTCTTAAAACTTTACCAGTCTTTGTGTTAAACTATAGGGCATTCTATGTTTACATTCACCAGTTTCAGTCAATGTAATGGCAGCGAGAGGATTTTTTAAAAAGTTGTTGACCTAATTTCCCACTGCATTAGGTAAACCTCTAGTAATGCCGAGTAATAGATTGAAAACTTTACCACAGCAGTTCAAAATACAACCAACAGGCGTTGCTTAGGGGATATAGCCAAGTTATGAATATACTGTAATTCTTGAGTCATTAATTCATAAGCCTGCCTCCATTCCTTACCAATTACCTAAAGCCTGTCTGTTGTATGAATCTCATTCCTAGCCAAAATGTTATTTCCGCGTGTGTAATGTAACCACCCAGGACCTCCTGTTTGTCAATAACCGGAGCTCCTACGCCCAGCGCAGACAATGTGGGTCATGAGGACAGCGGGCCTGCAGAGGTCAGTGGGGCCTGCTTAGAGCCAGAGCTGATGGTTACATGTGATGGAGAGCGGGAGGCAGAGCTTGTGAAATCCCCGTGGTCGCTGGCCCTTTAAGACGCACGGAAGGGTGGGGGCGATGGCGCGGGGAGCGGACGGAGCATCTTGGCTGCAGTGTTTTTGTCTCTGTCAGAGAGCGCCCCTGGGCCGAGGCGGCTGAGAGGACTGACAGAGCACAGGTAAGACCACACTAAGTTACAATCTGTCTTTTGCAAATCTGGGGTTGTTTTTGCACTTGAATTTGTAGCACTGTGGATGAAGCGCATGGCTCAGAGTCTGACTTCTTTGTAGAGCCGCGGACCAACCCATTCCGCTCTCCTCTCCTCCCTGCGCGAACTAACGGCGCTTTTGAGCCGAAAAACACGCGGCTTTAGTTTAACTCACATTTCTTCTTCGCTTTGGAGACAGCGTGTTTTTGATTTTGCACTAGTTTGGCTCGAGCGTTCAGAGGAATGTCAAAGAGAGACACGGTGCTTCGCTAGTGCGTGTCTTTTTGTTCAGAGCATCCCTTGGTCAGGGGCAAATCTGGTCATTAAATAAGCTACCACAACAGCTTTAATATAATGTATTTGCATTCAGAAGTGTTGGATTGGTTTGGGCAAAGGTTCATAAGAAGGCTAATGTTCTTCTCTATATGTCCTCATTTGGTCACACTGGTCTAATTGTTTCCATAGAGGAGCTGTGGACTCAGCGCCTTTTTTACGGATATTACAGTCCAGTTTATTAATATGTTAAATGTTTGAAGGGATTACAATGAAGTATTCAAAAGCAAGTCTATGCAGTTCTATACAAGTTAACTTTAGTTCACCCTAAGTTTGGGTGTGCAGTTTTGTTATTGCATTTTACATTCTCCTGTAGCCTATTCTGTCTACTGTTACAAAATCTCTGCTGTTTGTTTGTGAAGACATTACTGTTGCAACAAAATAGTTTGCGCATTGCACAAGAACCAATTTTATAATTTCATTAAAATTTTGAAAGAGAAAAATGAGTAAGAGCTCGGGGGAGAGGGTGGGTCCGCGCTTTCTGCGACTCTTCATTACTTCCAGATGTTCATCAGCTTTTCCTTGTGCGTCTTGGCCACAGATTTGCTGCTGCTCTCTTTGCTTGGAGCTGGTCAGTGGTCACCGGAGGCCAATTCATATCCTGATAGGGCTGTGTGTTAGGAGGTCAAAGCTGAAGCTGTATTTTTAACTTTTAACCAAAACAAAACTATTCTTGGCCATCATTTTTAAATTGACTCATTTATCTTCTCCTCTAGCCTATCTATAACACAACACAAAAGTCTAGCCTAGATTTCAGAGATGTCAAAATAACTGAATCACGACTAAAAACTGGACTAAAGTTTGCCTTACCATTATAAAAAATGAACTTACTCAGAATACAACCAGGACTAATCCTGAACGAAAACCAAATCCAAATGACTTGATAATAATGACACCGTAACTGTGGACAAAACAAGCCTCAAACACCCCACATCATCATCACATGAAAACAGTGTAAACTGGGACTAAAGGCGGAACTAATCTTAGACTAGACCAGAACTAAGCCAGGATACAACCAGGACTAAACCAAGTCTTCTTTAGGACTAAACTGGACTCAAACAAGAACCAAACTAGATGTGTGAACCATAATAGCATAACAAAACAATACAATCTGTGTGCATCCAGAAAAAGTTAAAGCACCACATTTTGAGACGCAACATCCTGGTACTCTACACACAACTGCTGCTACTTTGAATAGCCCTGTGTGATTGTTGATTTTCAGATAATGATCATTTTTGGCAGCGGTATTTGGGGATTAAAAGTAGCTGGACTTGATGTTGTTTTGATGATGGACGGGCAGGAGTTGGCAGAATGTTTGAAAGTGCAGTCATCGTCAGGCTGTTACTCTAAAGTACAATACCCCAGTGTGAGGGCGGCCGCTGGTGTTGTGTAATGACTTTCTCACTGAATCAAATCATGTACGCGAGGAGCCAACCACTGGACCAGCTGCAGCGCGATAACAGACAGAGAGGACACATTTAAACAAGTTAAAGCTGCACTATGTCACTTTTCTACTAGTCTCCCCGTGATGTTGTTGCTTTGCTGGGAAAGTTTATTTTCATCAGTCAACTGCTTAGTCATTAATCGTGTTACAGTAATTTATAAATAACACAAAAATTCAGTTCATGGCATTAACATTTCTATCCTGCATTTATTCAGTGACAGGTGTTTGCGAAATACCTTATAATAATGCATTCGTACTGTGAGCAGGCTCGCCTCTCCGCAAGCCTGGACTATAATGTGGGCCAGTGGCGTCACCTGCTTGTCTCCATACAGATCGATCAGTTAAAGGCCATACTGTGAAACATTCCTGGCAAAGCATTAACATTTCCATGGAAACAAGCAAGTAGCGGACCTAAGAGACTCATAACTATGTCATTACAGTAGTCTCTTCATGACACTATTCATCGCCCTCCTATTTGTATTAACTCCATGCTGACTCTAGCGTAGGTCTGGGGTTTGTATCAGTAACCATTTTCACTATCTAACCGTGAGACTGGAAGAAAGTTTAAGGCTTGTTTAACTCTGATTTAGACCTATAAAATGTTAATGATATAGTTGTCAGATTTAATGCCAGAGATAAAAGCAAAGTTAGAAAGTTTAAAGTTTAAAAAGTTTAATTTGATGACAGCAAAAGTATATCTTAAAAGGTTTGGAATTGAGCCATGGCATCAAAAAGTGAGAACTGCTCATTTAAACAGCAGCAGTGGGCATTTTGGTACTAATGGGTTTTAGTTGGCTACACTTTTGTAATGTGCTTTACTGCTTTCATTGCCTTTATTGGATCATGTGCTTTTACAAGGAATACGAACTTTAAAAAAAAAAAAAAAAAAAAAAAAACTTGCTGAATTTGCTCTACTTAAACCTGCCTTTTTATGCTAGTCTGAATGGCAGGCATCGAGGAAACCGTATTTATAACTGTAATTTTATAGGCGTGCATTGCATTTCACCATTTGTGTAAGTGTTCAACTCCTGAAAAAGACCCCAAAATGGAAAAAGTGGTTTTCTGCGTCCTTTTGAAAATACAATATGGAAGTATCATTACAGGTTTTATTAGATATTACCAAATTAATAGACAGACAGTTACACAGTCCCTACTATTAGTGTGAGTCAGTTTTCCTTCTGCAGTTTTCCAGATGTGACATTATTACAGCTGAAGACAGTGACTTCATAGCTGATTGATAGCTTCCTCTCTTATACCTATGAGTAACTGTCAATAAAAACTGCCAATGTGACAAGATGCCTTTGTCATTTATAAAAACAATGAAAACTCATCCTTAAAGGTCCTATACTGTGCAAAAATGTACTCTTGTGAGCTTTAAGCCATGTTATGGTGTTGTTACCTCCTCAAAAACACACCTTGAGTTTTGTTTTATTCACACATTTGATAACTTTGTGATGTCATGAAGCCATAGTTTTCAAGTTAGTTTTGCTTTTTGTTCAGTGGAGATTCTAGTGAAGGTGTATGGAGTTTAAAAACACAGTGGAGCACTTCCTGGATTAACACATGACATGAGAAAAACTCAGCCTAAACATGCAAATTTTGTGTGTTAAACATGTGTGAATGAATCAAAACAAAACTCTGATGAGGAAACAACATTATAACACAGATAAGAAAATAGCGTAATATAGGTCCTTTAAATACCAGACAAGACAGTTGAAAAAAGTAGTAGTTAACCTATATAAACAAAGAGGTGTGGCTTATGGCATGTGTTATATAGTGGCACAGTTGGGGTCCAATGAGATCAAAATACCTCACATACCAGACTTGACATGGTTTCTCTCCATTTACAGTCCATGGGGGTTTGCAGTAACATGAGAAACCCCCTTTTTTCCCCATTTTAAAGTTAATTTAAAGTTATTGTCCGGCTCTACGTTTTGATGGTAATTGGTCATTTGCAGATGTCCAGATTTCCCCTAAGAAACCCTAGCTTCCTCTTTGGGAGAGTAAATGCGTATATCAGGTTAGCAGCAGTTGCAGCTGGAGACTTCTTCCTGAGGTTTTCTTGACAGTGAGGAATGTGATTTTCTCATTAGAACATGTGGGCCTGGGGGTGCAGAGGGTTACAGGGGGGATTGTGAGTTATAAAGCCCAATTTGGTGAGAGAGGGGACCACACTCCGGGTATTAAAAAGGCTTAGTGAGTCTTAATGAAATTACAGTTTAAATCTGCATAGCACAGATCTGTCACTGTCCACGATTCACAACTGATAATGATGTTTTCGTAGTTTGCCCCCATCTGTTGTCTGTAGATAAATGCTGACTGGACCAAAATGGCTACTTAAATCTCAAAAATTGCACAGAATGTTTCACAGTATGGCATTAAACTTACCTATCTTGTCATTGTGTGTTTTCATGGCTCAAAAATACATTGAAAACATGCATTCTTACTTTGAGCGGGTCACCTCTCCACAGATCTGACACATAACTTGGCTCTGATGGAGTTATTTGCTTGGCTCAGTGAAGATAGTTTTATTTATTGCCATATTGTCGGACATCTACCTGGAGACAATCAAATTTAGGAAAAGTTAGATAGTGCAACTTTAATGGATTAACTCACTATACACTAAAAGTAACCTAAATACTGAATGTAGCATACACAATCAAAACCACATTCTAGACACCAACATTAACCTTGACTAATTCTAATAAAATAGAGTAATCATAATCTTGATCCAGTATAAACAAACCTAACCTAGACATAACAATGTAGATAATGAGGAATCATTTAGACAGATAAGTGTCCCAATATTCTTCTCAAAATCACTGCACTCCAAGGCCAGTTTGTGAACTAGAAAAATATGAAAAATCCAAACTTGTAGTCTCTCAAAACCAACATGGAAAATACTTGCAACTTTGTGAAATATTGTGTCAGCGACTGCTTCAAAATAGTAAGGCAGTTCTAATAAGCAGGTATGTTTTCACAAAGCACACGAAACATCACAGTTTACATTTCAGCGTCTCAGACCATTTTCAGGTCCAACACAATTAAATAAGTCAGTGCTTTGGCAGTATTCATTTTCCAACTCCTTCGCAAAAACAAACACTGGTAAGAACAACTTTGGTTTAATGAGCAGAAGATAGAGAAGCCCATTACTCCCTACGAGACTGTGTAAATAGATGGACAAACCTACATTACTGTCTTAAAATGGCTTTTGCACTTTAATGCGACTTTATATAGCCAGATAATCTAACTTAAAGAGTCCATATTACTCTATTTTCTAATCTATGTTATAATGTTGTTTCCTCATTAAAAAACATGCCTGAAGTTAGTTTTGTTTCATTTCATTCACACGTTTAACACACAATGCCTGCATATTTAGTTGTTGAGTTCTTCTCTCAAACAAAAAACACTCTGTTCCACCTTGTGATTTCATGTGATAATACAGGAAATGCTCGACTGTGTTTTTAAACTCCACACACCTTCACTAGGATCATTTAGATAATTTCAGCTCTGGAATTTCCAATCTCTAGTAAACAACAGGTAAAAGGTAGCTGTTAACACGAAAACTACCGGCTCGTGAAATCACAAGGTGAAACAGCATTTTGAGCTTTGCAGATGCAGACAGACTAAAGATACAGATAAAGGATTACTCAAACATGTGGGTGAAACAAAACAACTCCAGGTATGTTTTTGATATAATATGGACCCATTAAGTCAATTTAATGAACTGTAATGTAATTTTAAACTTTATCTATGTTTTACTGTTACTCATCTTAATGTCTTTATTTAATCAAAGCTGGTTTGAGTGAAATGGGAAGTAATTATTAAAACTCCCTAAGAGGATGCAAACAGATCACTTCCTGCTTCCCGCTGTGCCTTACCACAGTTTGCCCTTTTGACCCAGTCCTACCCTGCACCAGGTTTAAGCCATCCTCGGGGCATCTTCTGGACTGTGTTATTCTTACCACTCCCCCTCTGCTCTGCATCAGGCTGATCCCACCTCCCCCTAAAATGCGCACACAGGAATTCTCCCCTAAATGACTTTTTTTCATTTTTCCGGTGCGGCTCCTTACCCCTGGACCCCACCCTCCTTGAGTTTCCTGTTATAAGCTCAGCACAATGACCAATGGCTGAAATGGGGCTGTTTACTGAAGCTGAATAGCCCCTCCTGATAAAACTACTACAATCGCCTGCTTTGGCCATTTCCTTAAAGGCACACTATGCAACTTTTCTAGCAGCTGTTTGTGCCAGTGAACAGGTTATTGCTTACAGGAATGTTCCACGGGATGGCGTTAAACATATCTATGACCATGGAAACAAGGAGGTGACACAATCTGGCTAGATCTGTGGAAAGGCAACCCTGCTCACATTAAGAATTCATGTTTTATGGTATTCTTTAAAGCTGCACTATATGTAGCTTCTAAGGTGGAGGGTCAGCCACTTGTTTGTCTCCCTGGAGATGTTATTTCTTTGTAATTTTCCACACTATGGCTTTAAATATATCCCTTTGCATTTGTTCAATTACAGGTGTTTCATAGCTCAAAAATACCTTAAAAGCATGAATTCTTACCATGTGCAGGCTTGCTTCTAGGTCTGACTATTAACCCGTCTCCATTGTGATTGTCAAGTTTATTTCTATATTGTGAAGTAATCAAGACAAAACAGTAATATCTCCTTGGAGACAAGCAGGTTGCCGACCCTCCACCAGAAAACTTGCACAGTGCACCTTTGAAACACCTGAAATGAAAAAATAAGTGATAAGTTTAATACCATGCTGTGGAAAATTGCAGGCAAAGCAGTCAAATATCCATGGAGACAGCAGATGGCATACGTATATCCACCAGAGAAGTTACATATAGGATCTTTAATGTAAAACACAGTACTTTTTTCCCAAAGGTTGCAAGTCTGCTGTGAAGAGAGTCCATGACTTCACTGTCCTAAATTTACAGCCCATATTGGGTGAAAAACATGTTCTTCGCCAGCACAAGTACATGCTGTGTTCATATGAGATCACCAGACTCTGCAGAGCTGAAGGCCCTGTCTGTCAAACACACAGTATACATTAGAGTCATGACAAGATGCCTTTGTTACTGCTACATTTCAGATTCTTTTGTATAAGATTTTTTTCTATTGTTGGATATATTTTGCATTCAGGAGTGGCAGATTGAACTACGCCAGCTCTCAAGAAGATAAACACTACTATAAAACATTGATGCGACTGCACTGTGCGCTTTATGTAACTGAAATGTCAAATTGTGTATTGTTGTGCTATTTTTAGGCAAGGAATGCATAATGATAACAAGCCTCTAAGTTGGAGCAGTTTGTAAAATAAGTTCTTTGAAAGATTATTGTCTATAGCACCCGAAGAGTGAATATAAGGGTTTTTATGTAGCTTTTGTGTTGGTAACCATGCTACCATAAATGAAAACGAATCTTGTTTGGAAGGGCATCTGATGAAATGACCAACTGAAAACTGATTAAAAAAACTGATAAGCACTGTAAAATTGCCGAAGGGGCTGCAAAAAAGGGAAAGAGAATATTCCAAACTTATTAAAGATAATATGTGTGAATGTAGCTCGAGAGATCGACCGATATGGGTTTTGGCTCATGCCGATAGTTTTAAATCCAGAGAAACCAATGGCCGCTTAGCTCTGGCGATATTTTTGGACCAATATCTAGGGCTGATTTTGATTATTTCTTTTAAATTCTGTCATCTAAATTGACTACACTCTCGCCCATCCCTTTTTTTATCACAAACCTAAAGGAAAGCTGTGTAGTCTTTGCACTAAAGCATTAAATTAAACTTTGGGTGTATTTTTTAGGCAGCATTTCGACCAAAACAAATTTTCAGCTTGTGCTGGTGATTTAAGGCCCAGTAGATCATCTAAGTACTATATCTTGATCTAGCACCGGGGGATTTCTTGCAGTGTACTTTTTGGTTGCTCCAAAACCACAATAACAAGAGATAGTAATATTCGGAAGGGCATCTGATATAAATACCAAGCTTCTGATAAAATTATACGCATCTAACTCTGAAAAACTAAAAAAAAAATTGGTCTTGAGATTAGTATATAGTGAATCATCCTCAAATATGAGAGGAGTCATGGTCTTCACATTTGAGAACTTTTCCATTCAAATCTCAGCTGTACTTTTAACCCCCTCTTCACCCCCTTCTCCTCCGCACTCTTTTTGCACATTCCCGACTTCTGTTTCCCCAAATGGACTCCTCTCCGGTGCTTTCTTTGCCTTCTTCTTGTTACTCCTGAGCTCAGAGGAAGTGACTTAACTTTTTTTTTTCTTGCAAATCCTTTGGGAAAATCGCAACTCCTTTCCTGTAACTGCTTCTCCAGCCAACCTCAGCCTATTGCTTCACATTACACCATTGAAAACTCTCAAAACACAAGTGTCCGCCTTCAATTGACTTGTTGACAAACTGTTGCTACTTGTGCGGCGAGCAGTGGTGACCCAGAAGTGAATCATCTTTGTCAGATTAATCATCACGGGGACAGACAAATTAAAAACAGTCCTATCACTTGTTCACATTGTTAGATGCCCTTGCTGAGATAAATCAAGCTAAAAGCTACAGCTGTCTATGTTAAGCTGTGGGAGTTTTTAGGCATGGAGTGGCTCAAAGCTGTATGTTTTGATCTGTGCTGAGTGGGAGCGGATGGGAGTATGAGTTGTCTCCTGTAGTTTGGTGTTTATCTGACAAAGCTATTCACAATAAGAAGAAGGACCCAAATCTCCATTGACCTAAAGTGTGTGTTGAAATTAATCATCCTAGCTGATAATACAGCTCCCCGCATTCACTGATTAACAGTTTTGATTTACTCCAGAGGTCCTTCTTTATGCTATCCTCTTCATATCTCTACATTTGGAACTGGCAGAACATGCACCCTAGCATGTGCCTACAATTGGATTATATAACAAAGATTGTCTGTTGTACTTCCTGTTTTTGGGCTATCTTTTAAATAGAGTCGGGCAGTATATAGTCTTCAGGATAATATTAGAATAGTTGAAACAAATGAAATTTATTGTCTATACAAATCTGCAACACATCTACAAAAACTATGCATTTTTAATTTTGTGTAAATAATCCACAACCAAGACATTTACAGACACAATTTAGCCCATATCTTATTTATCGCAAAACATAATAAAAAATATTGGTCTTTCAAATTTGTCAACATTTACATGATCTTTACTGATACTATTGTAGTCTACAGCCAAAGCCAAATTTGTATTATTTTGTTTGTGTAGATATGAATCAGTTCTGAGTAATATTTGGCGTCAAAGTTTCAAACATACTTTCTGAGCCCTCATCAACATGGACACTTCTCTCGCCAACTGTAACATTTGTGCGTCTTTTATCAGCTGTTTGTTTATGTGTGTGAAGTATTCTTGTCTAAACCTCTGTTCTGCCTGTGTCCTTTGCCCGTGCCCCTCCTTGCCTTATATTAGAACCAGCTGTGGGACTAGCTCCGAATGAATGGCTCTTTGTGATTTGGCTGACGTTGTAGCCCTGAAGGTCCATTGCTCCCCTTTACCCCTCCGCCCTCAGAGCTACTGGCATGACAGCATGGGAAACAATGCAAGTACGACAACAAGCATGGCTATTATGATGTAAGTAAAGGTCACTCTTACTGTAAACAGGCATCTGGAAACATACGCAAGTCAGAGTTAACATCTTAAAACTGGTATTAATAGGAAACATATATTCATAAGGGCTATTATTATTTTGTCATTGCTTCTAGTGCATACAGTACTAGTAATTATAAGGATGTGAAGATTTTGGCCCTGTCTCACAATTGTAATGTGATGCTGATATGCTTATTTGACCAGATATAAACCATGGAATTTCTGTGCTATTTTAGGAAGAAAGTAGAATTCTTTTTATAGTCTTTTTTTGTTTGTTTTACTAAATCTAGAAGTGGTTGAATGTAACTCAAAATCTGACCTTTATGTTAAGAGCTATCTTACCAACTCATAATAATAATAACTTTATTTGTATATATCACTTTTCAAAACAATGTTACAAAGTGCTTCATGAAGTTAACTAGAGCCACAAACCAAATTCTTCAAGTAGCTGTTGATGATTGATAGGTTTTATCCAAAGATAGCAGAATTTCAATTTACTTTTCTCCAAATACCACTCCTTATTCAGGCAGCCAGACCCCCCTGACAAAATATGGAGCTGAGTGTGAGAAGTATGAGACTCAGCAGACACAGTCATGCCGCTTATCTGTGGACAATGCACTCTGCAGTAAAAGAGCAGGCGGAGGCTACAGTGTCCATGAAGGGAGCGCATTATAAAGCCTATGGGAGAGGCCTGGTTTAAGGTCTTAATAGGTGATGTCTGCGGTTCCCACAAAAATGAAGGATGTGTGTACCATGTAGTTGCCATTTGGATTTACATATTATGCTTTTTTACTATCTATGTTAAAATGTTTTTTTCCTCATCAATAACATACCTAGAGTTGTGTTTCGTTTCAGTTACACATGTTTAACACACAAATAATTCATGTTTAGGCTGAGTTCTTCACTCAAACATAAAAAAACACCCTGTGATGTCATGTGGTAATACAGGAAGTGCTCCACTGTGTTTTTAAACTCCATATACCCTCATTAAAATCTAGTGTTGTAGTCAAGACCACACTAATCGAGACAAAGACCTGGTGAGACCACAGGGTCCCAAGACCAGGACAAGACCAAGACCTTAGAGGCTCAAGACTGAGACAAAACCAAGACTTTTAAATGCCAAGACCAAGACAAGACCAAGACCACGGCCCATCAATATTATTTATTTGTATTTTACAGTTACTTTGGCAAATATATATCAATGTTTTATAAATCTATCTATTACTCGTTGAGTGTCAGACCTCGAGACTGAGACAAGACCGAGTCCAAACGCGGTCGAGTCCAAGATGAGACCAAGACCATAAAAAATGGCCTTGATGCTGGTCTCAAGACTGGTCTCAAGTACTATGACACTACTAAAATCATTTGGATAATTTAAAACTTGGAATTGCAAATCTTTACTGAACTAAGGGTCAAATGTAACTGTTAACCTGAAAACTACCGCTTTGTGACATCACAAGAGTCAATTTTGCATAATATAGGACCTTTAATGGGTTAACTAATCACATGGCAACAAAGCCTGCTGTCTTGAATTCATTAGCTCTGGACAGTCAGAATGGACTTTTCCTTTTGTTTTTCTACCAGATGTGCTGCAGTTCGATGGATGGGTTGAGTCTAGCAGGGGGTTGTATGTCGTTCACTTGAAACATGTCAGTCTTAACCACTGGAATGTTTTCAGATGGTTTTTAGGCTTTGCAACCCATGTTTACAGTCTGTGGGTGCACGCTTTTGTAACCTGTCATAAGTCTGTTTTTATCTCCATGTCAACATAGCTACTCCCCTTTAATGAACTGAGAAGGTCCTAAATCCCAGCATGCCCTTTGCTCACATGTGCCATAAACAGTATGGAGCATGAGAAACAGGATGTGTTACTGCTCTACTAATCAAATTAGTATAATTCAATTATGATGTCAATTATCATGTGCAAATGTATTTATTCTTATGGACCTTGCAAAATGTGATTTCTTAACATTGACAGGCTATATAAGCAATAGTAATAAAGCTGATATTCCCAACTGGTCTGACTGTGAGGAGCCATTTTTGTTTTTTTTTGTTTTTTTAACACAATATTAAGTAATTGAAATTTGATAGGCTACAATAAATTGTAAATGTTGAGAGGACATGAAAATAACCAAAAGCCTTTAATATACAGTATTTGATTAGTGTATATGTATTGTATTTGATTGAAACAACAGCTGGCGTAAATATGAATAACTTTCCCAAACTGGTGTTTGGTAAAGGAGTTTCCTAGCTAGAGCATGATGTAATGTCCAGACATTTAAATATTTGTTTTTTGTGTGTGTCTTTCAGGTTTGGGTACTAAAGAAGGGGCAGCAGAGAACTGGGGAGCCGTGGTCCTGTCCCTGCAGCTACAGTAGCTGGTACGAAGTGGAAACAAACTTTTTCCAAGTGCACCATCCATTTGTGAGCTTTTGCAGAATGGCATACGCTGGTAGATTGAGCGAGGCAGCGGAAAAATGTACTAAGATTCACAGTGTGTGGTGGGAAAACTGGTATTCTTGACCTAAAAAGCAATTATGAAGTCTAATCCTTTGCAATGGCAATACTAATAAGATGACTCTTTGAATGGAGGCAGAGTTTGATAATCTTTGTAGACCTGACCTCTATGTTGAGCTTGGCATTTTTAAAAAAAGTGCTTCAGGGTGGTCTTAAAGGGCCCATATTACACTATTTTCTGTTCTCTGTTATAATTATAATGTTGTTTCTTCATCATATCAACATACCTGAGTTGTGTTTGCACATGTTTAACACACAAACCTTACATATTTAGATTTGAGAGTTCTTCTTGTGGTAATACAGAAGTGCTCCACTGTGTTTTTAAACTCCATACACCTTCACTAGAATCATTTAGATAACTTTAGCTTTGGAATGTCCTGTCTCTACTGAACTAAAGGTAAAAGGTAACTGTTAACTTGAAAACTACCACTACAGGACATCGCAAGGTGGAATAGAGCATTTTGAGCTTTGGGGAAGTAGGCAGACTAATCATAAGGATTACTCCAACATTTGTGAATGAAACAAAACACAACTCTAGGTAAGGAGGTAACAACATTCAAACATGGCTTAAAGCTTACAAGAGTCAATTTTGCGTAATGTAGGACCTTTAAATCCAAATATATAGGTAGTATAAGGAAAGATACAACGAGGGAGGAGTTTTTTTGAGTTATTTTGTTAACGTATATAGTCTTATCTGTGCATAAACTGTTTACTAAGCAGAGACAGATAGCCCCTGCCACCATATTATAGAGCTATTCTTGTGACATCTTACAGGACATACCAGAAGTGTGTAATTTGTACTGGCTGACCGGCATCATACCCCCTCCGGGCCGTGTTAGGCTTAATGGTAGGCATGCTGTTAAACTTCCGCCTATGAGTGTGGTATGTGGCTGTAGGATTGGAGCAGCAGGGTGGGTTGGGGTGGTTTTAAGGGGGGTAGGGGTAATTGGCGGGGGCATTTGTCCTAGATGAAACTGGTCCTAGAAAGTTGCCCCGAGGAGTACACTGGGTTCTGTTCTCAGTTGAAAGGGACTCTGTCTGGGCAAGGGAGGGAGGTCAACCACTCCACAGCACCCACACTTCAATACAGATGTCCCACAGAACCACGGAGCCACTGGTGAGGAGGCAGATGTGGAGGAGGCAGAGGCTGTGGGCGTAAAGGGTGCGATGTGGGAGGAATGTCTGGATTAGAAAAAGGCACAGTGGTTTAAGAGAGAAAGTGCTATGGAAATTATTGACAGTGACATGTTAGCTCACTATGGTTTTTGGGCCAGAAGTTGCTGTCATGTTTGGCAAATGGTTCAGGAGGACATAAGCAAGTTAAAGTTGGCTGTTGTTGACAAGCTACAGAATTCAGGGTACTTTCTCGCATTTTGTCAAGAAGATCAACTTTAAAGATGCAAGTTTTCTGGTGCAAGGCCTGCTACTTTCTTACTTTGGCTGGAATGTCCCGTAGTTTGGCATTAAATGTACCCCAATGGAGACAAGTAGGTTATGCCACCATGCCAAGTTACAGGTCAGATCACTGAGAGGCAACCCTGCTCACATTAAGATAACGTATTTTTTGAGCAAAAGAAATATGCGTTTAATACTATATTGTGTAACATTAAGGCATTACAGTACATTTCCCTGGAGACAAGCAACTGATATACACTCTCACTTAAACTAATTTTGAAATATAAATCCATAAATCGTATAAGGCGACTCTGTCAATAGCACTAGCATTAATAAAGCAAGAAGGCAATCTAAATAGTCTTATATGTTACATTAGAACTTCAAATGTACAATGGTTTATTTGCTGTTGGCATTGATCTGCACATTTCAACAGAGTTTTAAAAAGGAGTCAGGTCTTCTGAGGTAAACCCATAATTTAGGCCTATTGTCATCCCACTCGTCTACTGTTTACAAAATGAAGCGTTTCACTCAGTTCTGTTACAAACTAGAAATATGAATGTGGTGTGTTCAGGAATCAAGAGGAAATTGTCAGTCACCCATGTCTACTGGGACGGGATGTTTGGTTGCTAAACTGCTCACTGTAATTATACCTCATCAACTGTCCCATGTCAGGGCTGTCCTCCGCCCTCCTTGCCTGTCTCACACCCCGGTCCAGCCCCTCCCAGGTTCAGCTCTCAGCTTCAGCTCTCTGCTTTTCACACGTCTAGAACTGGGCCATGCCGCTGTATAAACCACAGCACATCATCAGTCACACATTTCAGCCATGTTTAAGATAAAGCCGCTAACAACTCCTCAGTTATTCCTGATAAGTATGAAGTGTTTCTATCTAAACTGAGCTCTCTGCATTCCTAGTACATATGAAGTATATATGGTAACTTAAATTCCAAGGATTATCATTAGTTTAGTTTGGTTAATCTATGTTGTTGATCTATGCTGATGGCATTTTGGATACTGCTTTATAATAATTAGCCTTTTAAGGGTTAGTAGTAACTAAGCCTGAATATTTCTTAAGGAACTATTTGATATGTATTAAGTCTTTGGTCATGCAATTAAAAGTGTAGTCATTATAAAGCGACTCAGTAAACAAAGATTGTATAAAAAATGGCAGACTTGAGTTGACATCATGACAGCATGGAAGATCAAGTACAAGAATAATACAGGGATAGAGATAGGAGAAATTCATCTAAAATCGACTCCAGAAAGTGAAAAACCATTCCAGGTCAAATTAGTCAGTGTTTCCAAGTGCCCTACTTTTCACAAGAGAGCGTGCATTGACTGACCAGGGTCACAAGATGCACAGAGACACAAGGCACATTCAGATCACGATTCAAGAAGTAATTTCTGTATTCTTTCTCACAAATACTTTTTTTGTTTCAAACTGTTTTTCACATGTTGTAGATTAAGTATTACTTTCCCCTCCCATGCAAAGTGATGACCTTGAAAGTTAATCTTTCCCTGTGCACTGACTCACTTTCTGCTTCTTGTTTGCCGCTGGAATACAATAATTTATCTTAAACTCCCAAGTTCTGGATAATTTTATGAGTAAAATGAGGAAACAGACTGAACTTTCTTTGTATAGTTCAACTAAGGAATCTAAGTCAGCAATGTTGTAAACCCCTCATGAGAATCAGCTGACTTTGAAAGGGCTAAATAAAGTAGAAAACAAAGAGAAACCAAGGGAACTGCAAAGAGGAGAAGGTCCAGAGACTTATACGAGAGCTGTGTGTAAACCCTACATCAAGAAGTGAAGTTAGCGTGCGCGGATGATTCCTAATAAGGCTGAAACTGGCAGTCTCAATGCTCCGTACTAGTATAAGCTGCCAGGAAACTTTTCTCTGTAACTCCTCTCGACTGAACGCTAAGAACAGCAACAAACACTCTGAGAAAATGAAGGGATGAAATTAAACAAAGGAACTGGGTGGTACAAATGATAATATTGGTCTAAATTAAACTGAGCGCTAGTGGAGATGGAGGAAATGAATGAATGAATGTTCTGCTCTTTTGTCCTCTGCAGGTGAGAGTTTGTGGGCGGCTCTGGGACCGGTGGTCGCACACTCAGGATGGCCGAGGTGCTGCGTATGGATCCCACTTTTCCAGGTGGGCTTTTACATGATTTTATTTAAGCAAAGATAGGCCATGTTACACTGATTACAGATGAAAGGAACTGCAAAGTACAGGCTACAGGGCCACTTTGTACCTAATTTGGTGATTGTCTCAGTTTGCATAAATATACAAAGCTTTTTTCTAAAGTCTGAGCCCAAGATTAGACACAGATTTCCGTTTGTTTGAACGTGATTTCCTTCCTTTTCAGGGAAACTCAACCCGCCTGCTCCCACTTCACTTCATGGCAAAGAACAGGAGGCACCCTACTCAGTGGAGACCCCGTATGGCTATCGTCTGGACCTAGACTTCCTCAAATACGTCAATGACATTGAGAAAGGAAACACGATTAAGAAGGTGCCTATTCAGCGGCGACCGCGTTATGGCTCCCTGCCTCGAGGTTATGGTTATGCGGGCTCATGGTGGACCTCCACAGAGTCTCTGTGCTCTAACGCCAGCATGGACAGTCGGCACTCCTCCTTCTCTTATTGCGCCCCAGGGTATCATACCACCCAGAGGAGTGGCTTCAGCACGGCCCGAGTGGAGAAGACCCTCCTGGACGCTCGCAAGAGGCTGGAAGAGGAGAAGGAGAGCCGCAGGTTCTCCAATCTAGGCAGCATGAACAGCAGTGTGGCTGGCTCCAACACCTCCATCAGCAGTGCACACAGCTTCAACAGAGCACATGGAGCAGGGGGGTCCTTCACCCCCTTGAGCTCAGGACTGTCTACTCCTGTCACCCCCACCCCCGCCCATCTGCAGCACGTGAGGGAACAGATGGCTGCAGCCCTCCGCAAGATCAAGGAGCTGGAGGAGCAAGTCAAGACCATTCCAGTGCTGCAGGTGAAAATCTCTGTGCTCCAGGAGGAGAAGCGGCAGCTCAGCGTTCAACTCAAGAGCCAGAAGTTCTTAGGTCACAGTCTGAGCTTTGGCCGAGGTCGTCCCAGAGGGGAGCTCTACATCGACATCCCAGAAGAAGATGTTAGCGCTGGGGCTAAGAGCAGCAGTAAGATGGCCATGCAGCTGTCTCCCACCTCTCCAGAAGCCTCCAAACAGGACTCAGGATGTGAGATTGAGGACACAGTTATCGTAGGTGGGGCACGGCCGAGTGCAAAGAGGGAAGTGCGCACTATTGGAGTAGGACCCGAGGGCGAGCGGAGTAAAAGGCATGTTGGAGTCGGCGTTCACGAGGAGGATCTGGGGCTTGTCCCGGAGACTCTGGCCTTAAAGTCTCAGGTGGGACAGCTGGAAGGACAGTTAAAGAGGACATTACAGGAGCTGCAGGTTGCACAGAGACTGGCAGAGCAGGCTCAGAGGGCACCTCTGGCAGAGCACCCCGTCATGGCCACTAGCACTGGCTGGCAGGAGCCAGCAGGGGGCAGATTACACACATTAGTCAGCTTCACACAGCAGCCTGAGCAGAAAGAGCAGAGGACTGTGGGCATCCAGGTGTACACTCTGGAGCAGCCCACTGTGGTGGAGGTGGGCACACTGCTTCGAGCTCAAACCTGTCAATCTCCATCTGCTCCACCAGAACCAGAGGTCAAGCAGAGGCAACTTGAAGGTGCAGTTTTCTTATTTCCTAAAATATTCAAAATGTATTTGAATTATATTATTACAAGTTTTGTGCCATTTATTTGATTTTATAGTCCTGTTCAAGGATTGTGATATATGTGTATGTTGGGTGGACAGTATTAACTTGCTCCCACTGTGCCTTCAGATGGTCCAGTTGAGTTGCCGCTCGCTGTCAGCTCAGTCCAGGTACGAGATGTGTTGAAGAGTGAGCTCTCAACTTCAGTTCCAGTGGCTCTCCCGGTGATCGCTGTTGGTGCAGCAGTGAATCAGAGCAGCACCATCATCATAAAGGAACGTGAGGTTCAAATGATTTCAACTGCAGAAGTCCAGTCAGAGGAGAATGCCTCACAGACAGGTAATGCATCATGACTTTATCTCAGTTTACTCTTATTTTGAAGAAAGTGGCAATGCATTTTTGTCAGTGTCACTGATTCTCTTTTGCAGCTTCACCTAATTCTTCTCTACGGTCAATAATGAAAAGGAAAGCTGAGGGCAAACCAGGTTCTCCTTCCACTAAGAAAAACCTACAGTTCATAGGAGTAAATGGAGGGTGGGTAAATGCTATTGGACTGTATTCAGTATACTGTATCTATCCATCCATCCATCCATGTATCTATCTATAGCTATGCTTTTTACACCATGTCTGCTGTGTTTTTGTCTCTCAGTTATGAATCTACATCATCAGAAGACAGCAGTAGTGAGAGTTCAGATGAAGAGAGTGACTCCAGTGAATACCACGAAGCCAGAGAAAAACTGCCAGAATCCACAATCACACACCAGCAGATAATGCACACACTAGAGCAGGAGAACAACACTGTACCTCAACAATCAGCCACAGACCCACCAGCTATCAGCCAAGACCAGCAAACTCCCACCCAGTCTCCAAATGTGGACACAAAAATGCCAGAAGAGGTCCATTCACCAGCACTGGAGACTATAGAAGATACAAGCGAACCACTGCCACCTCCACCAGACCCAAGCATGTTTATTTCTGAAGATGTCAGCCAATCAGAACTAGAACAACAAGAAGCACAAGAAATACCCACTACTGCTACTACTACTACTACTACTACTACTACAACAACCACTGCAACTGAACAAACATCTACAAACACATCAACAGAGCAAGAACAGCCATGTGTTACTGAAGCCACACATAATTTAACTGTCCAATCAGAAACTGTCGTACATTCTGACCAATCTGAAAGCCATTCTAGTCAACCAGAGTCTGTACCAGAGGGGGCTACAAGCAATGTCGGCTCACCACCACCTAAACCACCCAGGTAAAGTGGAAATACAGATAAGAATATTTTCTACAGTACTATAGTAACTATAAGTAATAAACTAAAACGAAGAGAAGGTGAACTATGAAATGTTTCTGGTGGGGTGTCTGTCACAGTTTTGTCCTCATAGAGATGTGATTGCTTTGCTTAAATGTTACACAGTATAGCATTAAACTTAACTTACCATCTTGCAGTTTTTTATTGCTCAAAGATAATAAGACAATAGAGTGAGCAAGGTCTCCTCTCCACAGATCTGACCTCACACTTGGCCTGCTTGTCTCCAGGAACTATAATAGTATATGAAAACCCCATGCTCATATACACATAGAGGCTGACACGTTCTTTGTTCTCTGTGTCTTTTATCAGACTGGAGTTGAGTGACAGCCTGTTGTCAGCGTTGTATGCCCTGCAGAAAGCTCTGGGGGACCCAAATGCTTTCAGCCAACAAGAAGCAGTACGTATTTGATGTTAAATGTCTTTCTGATCTGGCTATGTCTTCCTATGTTTCTGTTGTCTTTTGTCGATTGATACTGAGCAGTAACCTCACACTGAGGCTGTTTTACGTGTAATTACCATAGTGACACATTAGCAAACACATCCAAAAAAGAGCCTGTGATTAATACAAGCGTGCACAGTCCTGTTTAGGTGTTTGATTTTCAACAAAAATTTTAGTGGCAAACTAAAAAAAACTGTTGGCCAATGCTAGCTCGCTTGTGACTGTAATTTTATGTGTGAGAGACTTGTTTAACAGCACAGCTCACCTGTTGTAGTTCCAGCTAAATCAGCTTTTTCTGGTCAGATTGTGTTAAAACAAATATCAGATTACACTCTAACTTAAGTCACAGAATAGTACCTTCAGTTAGCCTCACACCCCCAGGGACTGTTGATGATATCAGCTGCAAAGTATCAATTGTCTATCTTTCTATTGCTCTCTTGTTGGCCTGTAAAGTAAAATGATGTTCTTGCGTGTGATGCAGCGGACAGCGTACACCACCGTCCTACAGGAATGGCTGCGTGTGTCCTGTCACAAGGCTGCAGACCCCCTCATGGTCAAAGGGTACATGGACACCTTTGCCACTGTCTCCCCTCAGCTGCTGGAGTTTATCATCAACATGGCCGACGGCAATGGGAACACAGCGCTGCACTACACTGTTTCTCACTCCAACTTCCCCATCGTCAAACTACTGCTCGACACAGGTCACTTTCGATTTCTGCATAAACACAACATATATAGTTGTTTTGTAGTAATATACATAGAAGTCTCTCCAGATTTAATATAGTTTGGGCTTTTTAGTATCGCCTTCATAATTAAATAGTTTGTAATTATGTTAAAGAATCTCATAGGATTCATATCTTTAAAGGTCCTATATTACACAAAATGAATTCTGTAATTATCTTGTTACTTTCTGAAAAACATGCCTGTAGTTGTGTTTTGTTTCATTCACACATGTTTGTTATTATTATTAGTCTGTTTACACGCCCAAAGCTCAAAATGCTCTGTTCCACCTTGTGATGTCATGAAGCAGTAGTTTTCAAGTTAACGGCTGTCTTTAACCTTTAGTTTATTAGAGATTAACAATTCCATGGCTAAAATTATTGAAGTTATTCTAGTGAAGGTGTGTTTAAAGCAAGGCAATAAGTAGGGTTGTATTAGTAGTAATGCTCGCAAACTATCCCAAAAGGAGACAATTAAAGCCAAGATTTAATAATTGGTGGTGGTCAAAAAGATTGCCACAATTCTGCCAGTCATTCTTTTGGGTATCTTGAAAAGTGCTATATAAGTTCATAGCATAATTATAATCTTACCTTTACAACTTCTTGAATATTAATAAGTATTGTAACTGTAGTTGAATACATATCTTTTGAGTATCTGTGTTCTGGTACAATTATTCTTTCATTTGGTGGTATTGGTGGTGGCATTTGATCATGTAATATATGGCGTTACACTGCACATATTCAGTGAGAATAATAGAAAACTTGTGGTGAGTGCAGGTGTGATTTTTTTTCTTCTATGACCAGCTATAAATAAATGCATAACAAATTATGAAACAAACATGAAGCTGTTATTCCCACACTATAATTTAAATGTAACTCTGTGTAAAAGTATTCTAAGTATTCAGAATACAATACACTGATTGGGCCATGTATCAGAATACATCGCAAAATACAGTTTAAAGCAGGTATTCAGTATTCTGTAATTAAATACATTTAAATTAAGTATTCTTTCCATCACTGATAGCGCTATCGTAACTACTTTTTAGTAGTCTAACTCTGATTTTACTTGTTTTCTGTGCTCATTCTTCATCCTTACAATGTCACTGTTATTATTATGTTGCCTGCCACACTGAGTGACCTGGTTTACTCGACAGGTTTGTGTAATGCGGACAAGCAGAACAAGGCGGGCTACACGGCCATCATGCTCACTGCTCTGGCTGCTTTTCACTCCGACAGCGACCTCCAGACTGTGCTGCAGCTGCTGCGCACTGGGGACGTCAACGCTAAGGCCAGCCAGGTGCGCCCTCTAGTGCTTCTGTATGTCACTGCAGTTGTAAATGCAGAACCTAAACAATTAACCATTCTGGGTGATACTTTATAATGACTACATCCAATAAATCATGATTTGATGAATAGAGTTTTAATAATTTATTCATACTTTTTAAGGAGAGATTCGGGCTTAGTCACTACTTAAAGGTGAACTATGTAATGTTTTGGTTGCCGGGCAGTCACCTGCTTGTTTTTATGGAGATGCCATTGCTCTGCTGAAATGTTCTACAGTATGACATTAAACAGCACTACTTTGTATTTATTCATTTACAGGTGGTTTTATAGCTCAAAAATATCTAGAAAAACAGACATTCTGACTGTGAGCGGGGTTGCCTCTGCCACAGCTCTGACATTTAATTTGGTCTGTTTTGGTCTCCATACTGTGAAACATTCCACACAATGTAATAACATCTCCATAAAGAAAAGCATGTGACAGACCCTCCAGACCAGAAAAGTTACACCATGCACCCTTAAGTAAGGAGTTATGAATAAAATGAATAAATAAAACTTAAACTATTTGTTCATTATGTCTTTATTGAGCCTTTATTTAGGCTATTGAGGTCTTATTATTATAAAGTTAAATCTGATTTGTAACCTTAAATTCAGTTGTAACAGTAGTTCAAAGTGTGGGACCAAAATACAGTATTTCATAGTTTGAAGTGATACAACATGTAAAAATTGTTTTTCTATTGCCTTTTTGAGTTTTATAAACAAGAAAACAAGCTACAATCGGGGAATGTGACATGGCTAAACAAAAAAACAAAGCAACACACCCATCTCTTAGATAGATTCTAAAACATCATCAGCTAACCCTAATCTACACTCACATTCACAGTTTCTATCCTATAATTAAAAACTGTACTAAATACCTAATTTTTTAAATTCGCAGGCTGGTCAGACCGCTCTGATGCTTGCAGTTAGTCACGGTCGTGGGGACATGGTGAGGGCGCTGCTCTCCTGTGGGGCTCAGGTGAATATTCGAGATGACGATGGTTCTACAGCTCTTATGTGCGCCTGCGAACATGGCCACGTTGATATCGTCCGACAGCTTCTGTCTGTGCCAGGGTGCGACGCAACTCTCACCGATAATGTGAGTGTGCCCCTTCTGAACATACATCCCTGTGTAATAATGTCAGACTTACCATTGTTTGCTTTGACAGGATGGCAGTACTGCTCTGTCTATCGCCTTGGAGGCCAGTCAGAACGACATTGCAGTTCTTCTGTACGCTCACCTCAACTTCGCAAAGCCTCCTTCTCCTGTAAGAGGTCACATACATTGGGAACACAAACATTTGTAATAAAAGATAATTGCTTGGTCTTATCATCGACTGTATATATAAATGGACATATCTAAGCCACTAGCTGCCACGTTACAAATAGGAAGTGAGCATGGGCGTCCTTCCGGCTTCATCAACTCCAACTCTAATTCAATCTAATTTCAAAAAACGTCACCCCTATCTTCGTAACTGCTGCTGTCAAGTCAGACTAATGATTTTGGTCTTAAAATGTTCGTATTAACCTGCTGTGCATGATCCTGGTACTTTTATTTTGCCATTTTGTCCGTAAATCAATTCCTAATATGGAACTCAGCTCCAAATTCGCCCTCATAACTGCAAGCCTCGTGAGCTTCATTTGACTGGAGCCGAACACTATGGGTGATGTCCCACTCCCTTTGTCCACTTCTTTATACAGTCTATGGGCCTTACACTATTCTAGGTTTCTTTTAGCTCAATTTGGTCCACAGTTGGTTACAGTAACCATGGAAATCTTTTAGCCTTGGTTTAATGTTAGGGCTTGAATGAAGTGTCTTCAGTTTACGGTAGAATTACATTAAACATTGAATAACTATTTCAGGAAATCTCCAATGATGTTATTTTGAATTAAACAGGAGAAAACAGTCATACAGTGTATTTTTCTCTATTTGCAGGTTTCTCCAAAGTCTCCACTCCTAGGTTCCTCTCCTCCATCGAGTGACTTAAAGTAAACTGCCAGTTCTCTCTCCATTTTACACTGACTGCTCATAATTGTCTGCTTTTGTCTTTATAACATGAAGCTATGAGTTTTTACCCTGTGTAACGTATGCACATCAATATGCCAGCTTCACTTTATGTTTTAAAATAGTGTGCTCCTGTTTGAAGTCCATAACATTATCTGTGGAAATTTTACCTTGCAATAACAATGTTGTTTTTAGCACTGTTTAATCAGCACTTAAAGCCAAACTCGTTTGCTGAAGTAAATTGTAAAGTGTGTGTAAACCACTTCATTAAAAATACATTATTACATATAAGTAACATATTTTTCAAAATAGAATTGCTTTTGAGTTGTCATCCAACAAAATCACAGAAACATCAGTAAGTGTCCTTGCATTAACTATCTTGGTGCTGCAGCAGAAAAACTTCAGTTCAATCCTAAAGCCAATTTGAAATTCTTAATTTACTCAAGATTATTTTTATATTGTTTTTTGTGTGGCCTACAATGAGAACAGTACTTTTTCTTTTAGAACTTTATAATAAAAAACATGTACACCAAGAAGCCCAAATATGATTTACCTTGCCTTTCTGGCGCTAGATATAGTTACAGGAATGTGGTACTTTGCAGTTTTATACATGAAGGTATTTTCATTGGTGTCTCTGGAAGGATGTATTGAGTATTTTGTATTGAAATTTTGTATGTTAAGAGTTTTAGAGTGTAAAAGAAAGATTGATAAATACAAAGGATACTGGAAAGATTTGGCAGGGATTCAGAAAGTTTCTCAACAGGATTTGTAAGATAAAATGTAAGAATAATATATGCCTATGTTTAGAGTCAAATTTTTAAAGGTTATTGATGGATTTGAAATTTTATTCTTTTTTTTTTTAAATGTTCACAATTTTTGTATCCTTTGGTTACTGAAATATTTTTTTTATTTAATATCTATCTTTTTACACATTTATAATTTTCAAAATCTACGTTTGTAATCGCAAAGGGGCTTTAGTTTGTAAAGGTTTATGTAGGATTATGTTTTTTCAATGTTCTAATTTGTGCATTTTGGATAATAAACACTATAAAGTCTACATAGAAATGTTGACCACATTGTTCCTTGAAGCTTTGTGATTTATTGTCTGTAAAGTATACCCCACTAAAGGGGGCTTCTTTAAGCAGAGGTGAGACATACAAGTATTTTGTAAATTGTGGTATTTAAAAATATATAACAAATAAAAATAAGTATAATAAATAGATTCATTTGAAATTAAACCAATGACCCTTTGTTTCCAATCCTAAACTTAAAGCTTTAGAACATACAACATGCTATTGGAATATCAGACAACTTTAGAATTACAAAAATATATAGTTCTTAGTTTACACTAGTAAAGTAAAAGGGTTTTTTAATGGTAAAACTATAGAAAATTATTATTTCAACAATTCATGGCAATTGTTACAAATATTCCACACAATGAGATACCCTGATCAATATAAGCAGGTGGCTTTGAGAGCATGTTTGATATGACATCACATCTGGAGTGTCTGTGTGCAGCTCACAGACAGGCTTTATCTTTGTCTGGCTTAGTTGGTCCACCCAAACAATGTTCTGATAAGTCCTGGGACTGAGTTATGGAAAGGGGATTTTAATATATTTATATTTTTTATTACACTGAAAGGCACCATATGTTAGCAGTGATGAGATGAATACATTAAAATGTATCTTGTTAAGTATTGTGATACATGGTTTACTCATGTTATGATTAAAACAGCTTTATGTTTGTTTCAATGATTGTATCCGTACACAGGTACTCAAAATTTGTATTCTTTAAGTAATTAATTAATTAATTAATTGCCTAAATTAGTAAGGCGTTTTCTGGAAATATACTACCTTTTTAGCTATCAGCATAAACACATGTATTAACAATTCTAAAATCTACATCTGTTCATATGGTCTACATCTCACTATTTTGGCATTGACATCACATGATAAGGCATCCTGGGGGTGGGTGTATCTCAGAGACAGTATAAATACCCACCGTGTATCCAGCTGTGACAGAAGCAGCTGTGAACTGTCAAGTGTCAAGATGACGAGCCTTAACCCCAAGGACAAAGAAACCGTGAAGGCCTTCTGGAAAGTGGCTTCAGTTTACCATGATGAGATTGGCAGGGAGGCTCTGAACAGGTAAGAATTAAATGGATCTGAATAAAGTCTGAACTTAATTTTTATCTAGCACAAAAAGATATTTTATCTTATGAATATTTAACAGAACCTAACACTGGCTTATGTATTACCAGGCTGATTGCGGTGTACCCACAAACCAAGACTTACTTCGCTCACTGGGATGATGTCAGCCCTGGAGCTCCTAATGTTGTCAAGCACGGCATCACCATTATGAAGGCCGTTTCTGATGCAGTGGGCAAAATCGATGACTTAAAGGGAGGACTTCTGAATCTTAGTGAGCTGCATGCCTTCACTCTGCGTGTGGATCCTGCTAACTTCAAGGTATACTTCTTTCATGTCACCTAGACTGTAGATGACATGAAACAACATGAGTTGTTGTTGTTGTAGTTAATTGATTGTAATGTCTTTTTCTGCAGAGCCTGGCCCACTGTGTCATGGTGGTTCTTGCCATCAAGTTCCCTGAAGAATTCACTCCTGAGGTCCACATGGCTTTTGACAAGTTCCTGGCTGCTCTGGCCATGGCTCTGTCTGAGAAGTACAGATAAACAGTAGCACTTAATATCAACTGCTGCAATAAAGTCAAAATATAACAATATAAACAATTGTCCTCTGTGCTTTCTTACTCTTTTGTTTGTGTGATTATATTTTATGGTACATAGTATTTTATTGCCATACTTTGCTGAAACAACTCAAGATTATACCACACCAAGCAGTTAACTGAGTCTAAGTTAGGGTTAGAGACCTTCCAAAGACTGGTTAAACTAAAAGTACATACATTAAATCAAGTTTAAATGTATTTTTAGACACAAACATTTTCTATACCATTTCAAAAGAAATAAGTAAACGTGTGAGATTTTCATATTTCTGCAACATTTTTAACTTTGGGTATAGTTAGCCTATAGAATAGTAAAATAATGGGATACATAATTGATCACACTGGTGTAATTCTCTTCTCTATCCAAATGTATACCTTTTTCCCCACCTTGATCAGTTTACAATCTGCAGATTCAGCAGGACATCTTTGCATTAGTCTTAAGGACAGTTGTGGACTGTAATGAAATTAAAGGGCCTAGTCAAGCAGAAGTATACAGCAAGGCCAAAAATTCAAGTTAATGGATCTAATATAAAAATGTATTCAACAGATAGCATATGTACTCTAGTTTATGAAACAGTTTACCTTTTTTCTGTACCATTTTTGGTTCTAAAGTTACATACGTTTTAAACAGACCATGTATGAAACATGGAACAAAAATTATTTCCCAAATTTCAAAGACCTGCAAATCATGTAAATAAATTGATGTCTTTCATCATATCTTGTGTTATTCGATCTTTGAACTGTTGATGAAGGTACATGATTAAAAAAAAAAAAAAAAGTATTTAAAATGATAAAAAAAATTGCTTGGAAGGACTGACATATTTTATAGAAATAGTTCCCTTTCATTTTGAAGTAATATTAAAGTATTCAGAAGAAAAAAGCTGACAAATTATGCAAAATCATGCACCTTCTACTTGCTTGCACAATTTTCCCTCTGTTACTTTTTCCTCCGTTACCATGACCTTTCTTAATAAAAAATCTCATTACTCAAAAAGTAAGAGGTTTTTCAACCTAATCTTGTACCATATGGTAGAAAACTATATTAAGCAAATATTCAAACCAGTTTGTTAAGGATATGTAAGTGAGAACTGGTAGTTATCGCTGTTTGTATTTATTGCCCAAAAAGCGCTGCATATTTCATTCCCTCCGTTACCGACATGAGTTTTTTAATTTTTTGTCAACAACTTGAAAGAATATCGCAGGGTTAACTTTACCCTGTTGGAGTGTTAACTCTTTCCTACATTCTAATACCTTACTTATTTTAATAGTCCCTCTAGTTTCTGAATAAGAGCTATTTGAATGTAAAAAATCTGTCCCTGTTTCCCTCCGTTTCCGCTTGACCGGACCCAAAAGTAAAAATTTTAGGTATCTGTACTTTACCTAAGTAAATTTGAAAGTGGATAGTACATTTAAGAGCAGGTATCTGTACTTTCTACTCCACTAAATTTTTTAACTAGACTGAAAAGTAATATTTATAATTAGCGTGTTCATAGTTTGAGGAAACAAAAATTTACAAATAAACAGCTAGAAAAAAAAACAATTCAGTTGTTTTGGTTGAACAAAAAACACCACAAATCTTTATTAGAATCATTACATTTGAAGCTTTATTAGATCTCAACATCTTCACAAAATACTTTTTACTCTTTAAGTACAATTTTAAATGGCTACATTAATACTTTTACTTAAGTAGATTTTTTTATGTGATACTTTTCCTTTTTCCTTCAGTATTTAGTTGTTCCGGTATCTGTACTTTTACTAAAGTAACAACATTTAGTGCTTTTTCCACCACTGATTATGAATAATAATAGGTATCATTTATTCCCAAAACTTTGTTGTGATATGCTACCTCTGTGTTCATAGTTGCCCTTAAAAAGTCTGACTGAAGTGAGGCCACTAATTTGCACCATCAGCCCTTCCGACACCACCCACGGTCATTGGCAATGTGGCCAAAGTGTCTTAACCGAGGACACAATAGCAGCTGGAATCAAACCACACAGTCACTACCGCCACACTGGATTTACATTATACCGCTACATAACAGTTCATATTAAATTTTACCTGAATAAAATTTTCCACATTTGTAAATAAATCCACCAGGGTCAGCATGAGAAAGAATGACCAGTTATTTTGAGATATCAGAGAGGACCCAATAAAAAAATACGTTCACACAGTTGACAAGTTACCATATGGAAGCTGTTCATGACAAAAATATCTGTCTTTACTGAGGTTACACCCACATCAGGGCAGTATAGATAAGCCCTAAAGAATATGTTGCCTCATCATATAGAAAAGATTAACTTACCATCTGATAATTATGTTGTTGTTTATAACATAAATGGTTACCAATGCTTAACTGGCAATGGTTTGTTTTTTAAATATTATATATACTTTGTTGTGTTTAATACTACTTTTTACAAAACATACTTTAAACATGCAAGTTGTAAAATTATTTATTTATGTATTTATTTATTTTTGACAGAACTTTTTACGAACCTGTCCTGTTGTTTGATTGTTTTTTAATACTTTTTTTTAATGTGTCTTGATTTTTGATTGTATGGTGTCCTCGAGTACCCGGGAAGTTAAATAAAATGCATTATTATTATTATTTATTATTATTAACTTCTGTAAACTAAAACATATAAAACAACAAAAAGTGCTTAGTCCAGAAATGTTTAAAAATGTTTCCACCTGTATTGAACACTATTGATTTACATTGCCTATTAATGTATATATCCTACATACATACATGTGTACTATGAAACTGTGTGCAAACTATTATTTTATGGGTCCCTTTGTTGCTTCCACAGTATTTATCTTCTTTTAGACAGACCATAGTTCGCTGACCAATCGCGGGTGTGTCCACTCTGTCGGGTATAAAAGCCCCCAGTGTCCGCACTGACCATCACAGCTCCAGACATTCAACAATGACCAGCCTCTCGGAGAAGGACAAGGCCACAGTCCGAGCCTTCTGGGCCCAATGCCAACCTCAAACCGAGCTCATCGGCAGGGAAGCTCTGGCCAGGTAACTACTATTACCGAAATTTCTATTAGTCGACTAATTATTTGACCAGGATGCAAGGGAATTGACAGAGGGGACAAAGAGGTGTATTGTCTCGGAGGGGCTATTTGAGGTTTATTGCTCTGAGAGCCCAAATTTCTGATAATGAGCCTGCCTGGATGACAAAAGATTTATGAGGAGATCAGAAAGGAGAGGACATTGAGTGAGTGTGACATTTGAAATGAAATGTGAATGTATTCTGCTTTTATTCATCTTACTATGCATTTTACTACTACTTCTTCTAGTCGTGCCAGTTCACTTTTGGTCAGATTGACTGGATCATAGAGATAGATTGCTAATAACACGCTCTCTTTTAGTTGACTAATCTATGCACTATTAGTTGCCCAAGACTTTTGATTACAGCTCTAACTACTACAAAACTGATATAGAAAATCTAAGATGTAGGCCTATGTATGTGAGATTTGTAGATTGACTAACTCATGTGATTCACTAGGATGATTGTGGTGTATCCTCAAACCAAGACTTACTTCGCTCACTGGAATGACCTCACCCCAAATTCCCCTAACGTGATCAAGCATGGTATCACTATTATGAAGGCAGTGGGAGATGCTGTGTCAAAAATCGATGACTTGAAGAGTGGCCTATTTAATCTGAGTGAACTACACGCATTCACTCTCCGTGTGGATCCTGCCAACTTCAAGGTAAACCTCTTCATATTATGTGAAGGATGGGTACATAAAATAAAGTGACTTACAATGTCTTAATGTCTTTTACAGGTCTTAACCCATTGCATAATGGTGGTTTTGGCCATGCTCTTCCCAACTGACTTCACCCCTGAGGTCCACATGTCCTTTGACAAATTCTTGGCTGCAGTGTCTTTGTCTCTGTCAGAGAAATACAGATAAACTCCAACAGAAGAAAACAAAGAAAGTGTTAATCAACATGAATGTTCAATAAATGTATGCAGGCAAAAATACCATTTGAATGTCTATTTTGTATATTTGTAACAAAGTGCACATACAAAGATTAAGAATGACAGCAGTGTGGACCACAAAGGTCTGCTACAATAACCAGCAAGTAGGCCTTTCTGAAGCTACTTTCCACTGAATTTTGCACTCTAGAGTACTAGTTATCAGTGGTGGGAAGATGACTAAAAATGTATAGCTAAAATGTAGGCCTACTCAATTACAAGTACTACTGCCAAAACTGTGACTGTGTAAGTGCCCTAAAAGTAAAAAGCAGGCCTATGTATAAAAATAGTAGCCTACTCAGAGTACTAATTAGCCTTGTTTTAATCGGTAGGCCCCACAGTAACTTCTATGATTTAAAATGTAGTTAGCGTTAACTAATGACAATTAGCTAAGTTAGCTATATAGTTAGAATTACACACAATTACAAGTACAAGATTTAAAATCTTGTCCAGCAAGTACAATTAACCTACTCCCCAAAATCCACTCAATTACAGTAAGCTATTTGTAATTAGTTATTTTCCACCCCTGCTAGCTAGAAGGGATAAAAGCTTTCTTCAACAACGTTATCTCATAGACAAGTTTAAAAAGGTAGTTTATTATTAGATCGTAACCAAAGACTGGAGAGCTTTAAGTACATCGCTTGTGTGTGCTCATAATATGGAAATTCTTATTATAGATCATGGCTGATAGTAGATGATTTCAATGCCAACCTGGCAACCCTGTAACCATGCCAACAGCGTGCAGCTCTTGGGCTCTTCAACGCGAGCAATAATAGCTTTATGTAGCTATGGTTTTGTAAATTATACTAAAATGAGTTATATATTGTGTAGGTGGTTGAATACGAAACTGCGTCTCTCTCGAGTTGTTGGTAAGTTTAGGCTACTTTTCATGCATGAATCGACTAGCAAGTGGTCTGGGTACTCACCTAAAGTTACTCAAAAACAGCTTCTTGTGTGAAATAAAGGCTATATTAGGCCCAAATAATAATCAGACATAACTTTTTTAACGTTATTATCTATCTTGTCCTTTGCGCGGTTAGCTACGTTTTGGTGATTATAGATTAAGTTAGTGCCCAAGAAAAATACGTACCCCGATATTATTTCAGAGGCGAAATGGTAGGAAATTAACTGAAATGGCTAAGGGCTCTTAGGAAGTTGCAGTTGTTTTGTAAGTGATATCTTCTCTTGTTTTCTTGATAAGTAAATGACAAGGGCAGCCAAAATATATATAAAAAGCTTATGTAGTCCTAGTGTATCATATTACAGATCAAGTTATTCCTCCATTTTAAAATTATGTTTCTTTGCTAAATCGTAACAGAGCCAAAAACCTTTGCCAGAGATTTTTCTAATGGATACCTCATTGGAGAGATTCTGCATAAATATAATCTGCAAACAGACTTTGATACGTTTAGCAAAGATGAGTAAGTACAGTTCAATTCATGTGAACAATGACATAATGCTTGATAATGTTAAATATTACTTAAAATGCAACTGTTGAGACACAGAAATTAACACATTAGTACTTTTTTAAGCAACAAGTCTTCAAAGGCAAACAACTTCAGCCGTCTTAGGACAACTTTACAGATGATTGAGATATCACTTGATGAAACCACTGTCCAAGAGTTGATGGAGGGGAACCAGGGTGCTGCCTCACATCTCATTTATATGCTATATGTTGCACTGGAACAGAAAAATAAAATAATTGGAGGATCACTTGAGAGCCTTATGCCAAAGGCTTCCTCTGCATATCGGTGCAAGAAAGAGCAAGACCTGTACTCTGAGGTTTGTGTGGGTCATGTTCACTAAAATGGCAAGTTAATTCAAAATTACTGCTCTGTTCTTTTATACAATTTAGAGACTGCATAGAGGGTTTGACAGTGCAGATACCAACCCTGGCCAGATATCTCAGCCCATTCAAGACGAAGATCAGCAGTTAAACTTAAAATTGATGGAGGCTGATGCTGCTCAACACAAGAAACCACTTCCAGTCAAAGACAACACAAAAGGAAGAATGAATGTGGTAATAGTGCTGTTTAGCATTTGATATTAACTGTTTGGCTATAGATTCCACCTCTGGCATTTTCTAACCATCTATGGCATGAATTGTGCTTTGTGCCCATCAGACCACAATAGTTCAAAAAGCAAAGGCTCTACAAAAGAAAAAAGAGGAACAAAGGCGCAGAGAAAAACAGGCACAGGTACAACTCTAAATCAATGTTTTATTAGAAAACTCACTGGCCACAGTTTGTGTAAGGGCCCACAGAGGCGCCGCTAGAGTCTATAAACAGCAGGTTGGCCATTAAATCTGTAGGCTTTTCTGTCAGCCAGCCCCAAGCTAGCTGTAGCTATGTGTAAATCACCACCATTCTGTGTGTGTGTTTGTATTTTTCAGATTGTTCAAAATGAAATTCAAAAGTTTGAAGAAAACACAAAGTTAACTATTTCTGCCATAAGGTTTGAGGAAAATTAAATTAAATGCATTAATGTTTCAATGAGTATAATCACTGTGAAATTCTTATGTCACTTTTAGATGTTTTTTTTTTTTTAAACCATTTTCCATCCTTGCAGTGAGTTTTCCCTGGAGGAACCAAAGAGTGAAGCTGATTATGCAAAAGATATTGAATCAAAACAGCATTTAAACTCTGAGTACATCGAGCAGATCAGACAAAGACTGAAGGAGAATGTTTTCACTCAAAAACAGAGGGAGAGGAGAGCAGCTCAGTTTCTTGTGGAGCAGTCAAAGGCCCGAAAGACTGAACAGGTTATGCACTTACTATACTTGCAGTAGTTAAATGGTTAAAGGGCCCTTATTACACTGTTTGTCTATATCACAATGTGGTTTCCTCATCACAAACATACCTGGAGTTGTGTTTTGTTTCATTCTCACATACTTAACACACAAATCCTGCGTATTTAGGCTGAGGGACCTTTTAAATGTTCAACTTGTCTTCCATGGTTGTGTTTTGGTCCAGGATGAACAGATTGAAGAGTCCCTGGTGAAGCGTTTGACCCGACAGACAATAAAGGAAAAGCACCTGGTGTCAGAGCTCCTGCATATCCGCTTACAGAAGGAAGTGATGATAAAGAACAATCTCATGAGACAGCAGCAGTTTCATCAGAGGAGAGAGAAAGACTTTCAGGAGGCACTGGACAGAGAGGCGGTAATTACACAACCTACAGTATACATACAGTATTATTGATACTTTGTAGTGACATCAGACTGGGGTGTTCTACACATCTGTATCTGATGCACACATTAGCAAACTCAAACTCAAAAAAAGATTGTCTGAAAATTCAAGAACTACAACACATTTTCAGGAGGGTTTCAGGAGGGTTCATGGTCCTGTTTAGGTGTTTGATTTACAACCATAAAGATGAGAGTGACCAACTGAAAAACTGTTAGCGTGTGTCTGCAATTTTATGTGTGAGAGACTTGTTTACCTGCACAAATTAGCTCACCTGTCGTTTTAGTTAAGTAATTTATTTGTGGTTAGACTGTGCTAAAATAAAGCTCAGATTAATGTCTAACAATCCTCTGCAGTGCCGTCAGTTAGCATCACACCCCCAGGGAATGGGGGTGAACTGAACTTAGGACATCTCTTTCCTGTATCACAATAAGAACCACAATACATAATCCAGTATACTTTTAGAAATAATTTGAGTCTTGTTCTAATTTAGCTTCTAGCCCGACAGGAAAAACTAACACCTGCAGCTGAGATCCAGAGGAAGCTGGATATGTGTAATAAACTTGCTGCTGAGAGAAAACAGAAGAGATACATGAAACACTTCAACATCTGCAAAGTGGTCATGGGGCAGATCGTGGATTTGGCCACTAAAGCGGGAGATTACCGTCTGCACACTGCCAGGTACAGAAATCCAACTGTCTAATAATAAATAATCTAATAAATATTGACAACTCACCTTGGGACATTATTTTGGATGTAATTTTTTATCATTTAAAGTAAAATATTCATATAAGTGGGATACAAACAACATCAAATTCAGCAGCTACCCATGATACCATGTAATCTTGTGTTATATCAGCCATTTGGTAATATTTTGTTACTGAAATTAATAAAACTAAATGATTTGTATTTGTTTGTGATGTTATGTCCAGTATTATCCCTGAGAAACAGATGAAAGAGTGGAAGGAGTTCCTGCTCAGTGGCCTGCCTCTATATGAGACAGTTCAGGATGAGAAAGAGGAAAATAATCAGCTTGATTCTGTGGAGTTTCTGAAGCAGGATGTACTGGACAAACTCGACTATGAAGAATACGAGGTGTGGATTGATTACACCATCCTAAATGAATGTCAAGGGTCAAGTAAGACTAATATAATTATCTATTTTTCAATAAGAAAATGATTGGTGAGTGGGCACAACCAGAAGAAGCACAACAGACTAAGATACCATCAACTAAAAGCAGCATTTTTGACCATGTGATTGTTCAAATGAGAAACATTGTGCATCCAACTCCTGCCTTTCCTCCCTTCATCCTCAAGGCCTGTGTCCTAGGCAAGTCCTGCTCCGGGAAGACAACCTGTTTAGATAAGATAGCACAAGGTAAACTACATAAAACATTTCAAAAACACTGAACTTCAGATAATGGTCACATCATTGTCCATCCACAGCCCATGGTTTCTACATTTTATCCATTAACAAACTGGTTGAGGAGGTGCTCAATGCGTATCACAGTAAAGATGTGGTGAGACTCATGTATTGTTGCAGAGTTTTTATGGTTACTTATACTGACACCAATGATGATAACATCACTTTTTATTTAGATTTCAGATCAGCAATCAAATTCTCACACCAAAGACGGTAGGTCAACTTCACAACACCTTTTCTCACAAGTTTACAATCTCTTGAAACTTGCTGCCTGGTGGTCCTACTACTATTAGCTTTCATTTTCATTTTTAGATCAAGAATCTACAGACACTAAGGTGAGGAATTAAAACATTCAAAAGTATACACAAAAGTACCATTCGTATTCATGTGTAGTCTTTCCAGCTAACCAAATGGGCCTTGCTTGGGGAAGCTGCAGACAAGGTGATGACAGAAGGGAAACCACTCTCCAATGAGCTACTAGTGGACATTATAACAGAGGCAATCAGGTAGGATCTTACAATCAAATCAAATATCTCAAATATGTAAACTTTTCATATTTAAACCACAGACACCTTCCTGCTTACTCTGGCTGGATCCTGGATGGGTTTCCTGTGAACATTTCCCAGGCACATCTGATAGAGAAAGCCCTAGGAGGGTCTGACGAAAAAGTGGGTAAAGTTAGTGACAGTCTTAACGATCCAGCTAAGATTTCAGCTCCAGTTCTGGACTTGGCTTTGATTCTAGATGTTTCAGACGATTGTGTTACATCACGAACAGCAAAACAAACAGGTATGAGTAATAAGTAATGGCAGATTTTTATTTGATTTTTTTTTACATTTTTTTATCACTGACATTTAAGGACCTAACATTTTAATTGCCACTGTCTTGTTAGATGAAAATAAGCTGGCTGAAATTTCAAGCAGGTAATGTAAAAACAAAACTTAATAACTTTTTTTGTTTTTTTTAAACTATTTTTATCTAACATCACTGTCCATGAAAGAGTTGCAGCATTTGAAGATACATGGCCACAATTGGAGGAATGGTTTGGTACGAAACAGAACATTTTGGTCCATGTGAATGCAGATGTTGATGAGGAAGAGCTATTTAAAGCAGTGGAGTCCATCCTACAGCCAGTTAACCAACCAACAGGAGGTAAGTGATACAATTGTACTATTAAGTATTAATTAAGTACAAAGTATTTAATTTTATCTATCATAATAATAATTTACACTGTACATGATCTCACCAGTTTTTCAAAATGCATTGGTCTAATCTTGGTTTTAAATGGTGGTGAGCCACTTTTGGATCCATGGACTATGAACTTGCTTTGAATCTAACAAGAAAGAGCCTTAACATAGAACTGGAAGAATGCAAGATTACATTTGTTTTTTCCTGAACCTAATAAATGTGATTATGTTTGTCATAAGGGCCTGAGTCATCATTTAACCATGACCAGCCCCTGTCTATTGTTGATGAGCAACTTCCTGCAGTGAGAAAATTTTTGATTCACATAAAATTGTAGAAACACCTCTTTTATAGCAATTACTGTTGCTGTTGCTTTGATTCATAAATCTTACTTTATGGACTCACTTCACATATAATTCAACCATCACTCATAAACAGGACCTTGCAGCATCCATCTGCCTCCATTGGGATATAGTCTGAATCATATGTGAATAAAGTAAAAACAGTATTTCAACAGCTAAGGGGATAACATGCTGCCATTGATTACACTTTGTTAATTTGAGGTGTAATAATAATCTTTAATTGTTTCCATGTGTTTGTTCACTTATTCAATACCTAAGTATTTTCTTTTGCAGAGATGAGTTTAAATTGTATTTGCACTGCACTGACCCAAAGTAGGATTTGATTTCACAGTGGGAAAAGGACTACAACAAAACTTTTCTTCATGTGAGGCAAAACAAGGCCCAATTTCAGCAAAAAACTATCCTATTATAGATTTTTTTTTTTTTTTTATTAAAGAAAAACCTTTACTTTCACTAGAATATTGATAATTTTGTGACAGGACCTACTTGAAGAACTATGGTCCATAAGTGATACACGAAGGGAGGAAAATGAGCAAAAGATTGCTCATGTAAAAGAAGATGGGTGGCTGGTGGACTGCACAGATGTTTTGCTGCAACACCATTCAACACTTATACAGGTGGATTCCAAAATTAAATTAATGGAAGGGCCCATTTATTACACTATTTTTTGATCTATGTTATAATGTTGTATCATAATAAACATATCTGGAGTTTTGTTTAAGGCAGATGCTATTTGCACCCTGGGTGTAAATAGCTAATATTGTTATTTACACATAGGGCAAGTAGCCATTGTTGCTATTTACACCCGGGTGTATTTAGCGTGGCACATAGAAGGGCACCCGGGTGTTCCTAGACAAAAATGCTTTTTACACCCAGCTTATTTATTTAAAAAAACAACTCACTGACAGTACAAACATAAAGGCATCAGCCCAGTGAAAATCAGTAATATTTGATTTTTTTTTTTTTTTTTACTCAAAATGATGCGGAATCATCGATCAGTTATTTGCAGTCTGCACATAATGGTTTAATCCCGGTTAAATCCTGTTTTAGTCCTGGTTTAGACTTGGTTTTAGTCCTGGTTTAGAACTGGTTTTAGTTCTGGTTTAGTTCTGATTTAGTCCTGGTTTTAGTCCTAGTTTTAGTCCTGGTTTAGTCCTGGTTTTACTTCTGGTCTTAGTTCTGGTTTAGTCCTGGTCTTAGTTCTGGTTTAGAGGCGCACGGGAAGAGGCATGGTCCATGCGCTGTACTGGAGAACACGCGGCGTATGGGAGGAAACGCGGCGTACGGGAGCTGGAGGACCTCTATTGGTTTGCGGGGCCCTACTCAGTGTGCGTACTGTGCGTATTGGGTGAACCGGTATTGACACTGTATCATGCACTGTGACAGCGTGGAGCCATGTGAAAAAAAATCCACGATAACCAACGAGTTTGGAAAGGCTGGACTGCTGCGTGATGAAGAGGACAGCACACGCGTAATGGAGAATTTTCCTGGAGACGAAAGTGACACGGAAACCGACGTAAATAAAATGACTGTACATGAGTGAAATGACTGTTGAATAGAGATGCGCTGAACCTGCATACGTACGATCTGCACATGTATGATCTCTGTGAAATTTTACATGAACCATCTCCAGAGTAGACTCACCACTGCCCGACAGAAGCTCCGCATCAGGCACAGAGCGAACTGTTTTTTCGGCGGGTATTTTATACAGATTAACCTTGTAGCGTTAGGTTTCGTTTTTGTGCGCAAAGCTGCATAAATACATTATAATCTCAAACGGGCTGATGTCGCTCTATAGTAATTATGGTGCTTACGAGGGTCAAATGCTTACATTTGAACCACTTTTAATGTTTCCATTATCTTACTCGAGCTGTCCATGATGCTGTGATGCCTTTAACTTAATTACCCAAACAGTAATGGTCGGACAGGTATTGTAAATATATTTTGTAGCAACACTGACTTACCTTTTACCTTACCCTACCTTCGTTTTGAATTTTAATTCTTTGGATTCTGAAATCCATCTTCCCGCACTTTTCATAGGAAACGACGTAAGCAGACACGTCACCATTCCCTTTTTTTTCTTGAGATGGGTGTAAATAGAAGAATCGTGTCCATTGAACTATTAACACCCAGGGTGCAAATACACACTCCGTTTGTTTAATTCACACAATCCCTGCATATTTAGGCAGAATTCCTCTCTCAAATGGAAAACACTCTGTTCCACCTTGATGTCTTCTGATAACACTTGAAGGGCTCTACTGTATTTTAAAACTCCATACACCTTCACTGGAGTAATCTGGTAATAATTTCAGCCTTGGAATTGAAAAGGTAGCTGTTAACTTGAAAACCACCACTACATGACATCACAAAGTGGATCAAAGCATTTAGATTTGATTAGGTATATAGAAAAATGAATAATAAAGGTTTAGTCAAATGTGTGAATGAAACAAAACACAACTTTTTTGAGGAGGTAACAGACCTATTTGGCCAGCAATTACTGAACATATACCATTATCGGCAATCTGCATATTTTGAGGTGTAATAAATATAGCTATGCCTGTCATAAAGGTGGAAGTAGAGCGATTCCAGGCCATACTTAGTATTCTCCAAACCTACTATCTGAGCATGTGTGAACAAATAATGCCTGGCAATAGTCTTGGTGTTCAGGAAGAATGGTAAGATATGTTCAGTAAACCATTTGACATATTAATTGTTCCTACTACTTTAATATTTGTTCTTGTCAATCAAGTATGCAGTCTAAGATAAGGCCAGATGAAAAGGCTGCCAAGGTAATTAATGTATACAGTATATCCTAGTGATGATTACTAAGATGATTGCTTGTTGTTCATTATAAATGTACCCTAATGTTTTTTCTTGGTATTTTTAAGCCACAATCACACAGAAGTCTAATATCATGTAATGCTGATGAGGCTTACACAACTATAAGCAGCATGGTAGGAATTCTGCTGGCAATATATATGACAGAGACAATCTTCAGTGTATGCATGTTTCTATTCTGTTGTGTTTAGGTGTTAGCAGAATCCCCACTGTTCGATAGAGAGGCAAGAGAGCCAAAGGACAAAGAAGAGATCAATCCTTGTCCAAGCACTGATAGAAATAGTAAGTACTGTTCCACATGCATTACTAGATAGATTTTCCTGGGTCCAAACCAACGGGCTGATGAACGTTTCTGATATTGCAGTTATTGACTCCATAGTTCAGAATAAAGTATACAATGAATATTTAGCTGCACTAAATCAAGAAGGTAAGACAAGTATGAGTAATGCTGTTGTCATGTTGTCTTTCTTTCTTCTCTTCATCTGTGTATTTTCTAGGGGATGCTACAAAGGTGCGCATAGCTCTAATAAAAATCCATGGTTTGAAAATGGTGGATTGCCTCCAGAGCAGATTGGACAAAATGAAGAACACTATGGAGGAGTTGGTGAAAGAACAGTTTATGGTGGAAATTAAAAGGTTTGTTGTTTTGTAATCCTGTATTGTGTGTATTTTAAAATTCTGGTTATGATTAGTACTTTGTATTGTAATTATTAATTATTAGTACTCGTTTGATAATAGACATATTACTGTGTATCATATTCACAGTATTGACAGTGTGGCAGAAGTAGAGCGCCATCATATGGAGTCTAAGCAAGATCTAGTATGTTAATAAGGTATGTTAATATGGTAGGTTAATAATAAGTCAATATAGTATACATATATATATAGTATGTAGTATATACTGTATAGCATAGTAGTATATCTATTACACTGTGTTGTGTTTTCTTAAACAGGTCTCCAGTTATTATCTTCAAACTCACAATTCAGTGATTCCACAACCTGCAAAACCATGGAAAAACAAATTGGGAAAAGTGGGATAAATGTAAATGTATGTACACAAGTATGAATGTGGCATTTCTACATGATAGGTGTATATTGTGTCCACAGGAGGGCACCGTTGTACAAAATCCTAACTTTAAAAAAAAACATTTGTTCCACTATTTTTTGTGACGCTGCCAAATGTAATGTCAGTGCTGAGAATTAATCACAGATAAGCCTGGGGAGTGATTCTGGTGTGAGGCCACCCATTATATTTTACAGTCTACTTTCAAACTTAAATAATATTTCTGTGACATTCTGTCAAAAAGGTAAATGTTATCAATTGGACATGAGCCACAGGGTTAAAGTGATAACTTACACACTATATGCAACTTTGCTGCTGGTAACAGCTTGCCTCTTTGGACAATTCAAGACAAAGCAATAACGTCTCCTCGAAAACAAGGAGGTTGTGTACCCTTCATCAGAAAAGTTATGCAGTGCACCTAATATAAGCGGTTTACAAATAACGACTACCTGTTATATTCACAGAGTCCTCGTTTCTGTGTAGACTCTGCACACTTGACTGGGCGACAGGTGCGTTGAAGGAGAGGCACTTGGCACTTGGCTGTTTTCAAGAAAAGCTAACGCACACTATCTCATTCCTGGTTTTCTTTTATTGATACGACGTTTCGGTCCCACAGACCTTCCATTTCCGCTCCCCTTTTATAAGTTAAGGGACTGCGCCCTCAAGAGTAATGATCCTATCACAGCAGTGAAAAATAATACATTCACAATTAGACCCCAATATTATATATGATTAGCTATACACCAGTCTCTCGTGAATTAAAACACATAGATAATGATTAGAAAATATATAAAGACAATTATCAACATAAAAAAGTTAGCAACATTTCATTCTACAGACAAAATTAATTTTTAAGAAAAACAAGCGGCGCATTGAAGAGTTTAACATGAACCGCTTTCGTGGTTCAGAGGGAAGGTGTCGTATATATTAGACGGAGAATAGTTCTAAGAAATTTGTTCAGAAAAAGTTGTAACGGCAAATATGAGGAAAAGTCGGTAAACGTGCTATTTTCCATAATGCCAGGGTGCTGATTCCAAATATTTTGTTTACCAAGCTGGATTTGGAGTTTTTTGAGTTTTTATGCTAATTAGCATAATAACATAGACGCCAGGCTAATCAAATTAAAGTTCTCTTTAATTGAATGGATTTCATTAAAAATCCAGAAAACAAATACTAGTATACTGTATATAGATCAGGTAAATATTATGACTAAGATAGAAGTCACCACATGACCCCTAATTAGCATGCTGAAATAAAAACAAGGCTATACTGCAGCTTTTCAAAGCTAGCGTCTTTCATTTCCTTCATTTGATGAGCAGAAATGAAACAAATTCCTGGTTCAGATTTTTACTAAGTTTGGATTCTAGGTGATTGCTCATTTTTATTTCTGGAAGTCATTTATCTGTTTACTAAGGACAGTTTTCATTCTTTATTCAGAATATAGGCTACTGTTATGTATTATATCACAAAATAGTTAGTAGTAAATGTTACAGAGGAGGCGAGAAAGGCTAAGTGTTTTGCCCAAGTACACGACAGCATTCACCTGTGTGCGGTGGAATCGCACCACCAACCTGTGGGTCAGTGGATCTGACCGCTGAACCAATTATGTTTATGTTGAGAGCGGGATTCGAACCGCCAACCTTCGGATCAGTGGACTTGAACCGCCAACCTTCAGATCAGTGGTCTCGGACCGCCAACCTTCGGAGCGGACAAATGCTTTGACCAACTGAGCTACTGCCACAAAGAGCCACTCTTTTTTTCAGATGTCAGGGACCTGAGGCTCTACCCCCTAAAGTGCTGTTGCTCATGGCCTATTAGAAGAGTACATTACCAAGCTCTAGTACAGAGACAATCGAACAGAACAAATCCATTTCTACCACCTGTAGAGGAAATGGGATGGAACGTAATCAGTGGAAACCTGGAACCCAAACTGATGCAATCCCAAAAACCTTCAACTTGATGGTTACCTGCAGATGCAAGTATGACTGTAAGACAAGCAAATGCAGTTGCCACAGTGCTGGCCTGTTCTGTATAAGTGGCTACAAATGTAGAAGTATTCCAGATCACCTATGCCAAAGTGCTGTCATTGAGGACTAACAATACAGTTATAATTAAAGTAAATTAGCACTTCTTTCTCTAAACTCCTTATCTCACACATTAAACACAACATAAAAGAACACACATTAAACACAACATAAAATCCTGATGTGTGACGTTTTGTGATTTTTGCAGTGACTCCAAGGAAAATGGTTAATGGTTAGTGTCTCCTACAGTTGGATAGGCAACTTCTGTTAAAATAAAAATGCTGTAAATAAATTTGATTTGTATTTGATGGATTCATATCCAATCTTAGTTTGATTTCCAGTTTAAGACTTTTTTTTTCCAAATGTGATTTACTTTGTTACCTTTATCCCATTTAGAAAAAAAAAAAATGTTGTCGGATGGTGGAAGGAATACTTTGAGGATCTCCTCAATCCCACCATCACATCTTCCAAGGAGGGGGGGGCTGAAGTCACTGAGGTTGTTGCCAAGCTCCGGAGGTGGATGAGATCCGTCCTGAGTATTTTAAGTCTCTGGATGCTGTGAGTCTTGGCTGACACGTCTCTGCAGCGTGCAGCGTCGTGCGGCGGTCAGGGACCGTGCCTCTGGACTGGTCCCTCTGTTTAAGAAGGGGGACTCGAAGGTGTGTTCCAACTCCAGGGGAATTATACCCCTCAGCCTCCCTGATAAGGTCTATGCCAGGGACTGGAGAGGAGAATCTGGCCAATAGTCAAACCTCGGATCCAGGAGGAGCAGTGTGGTTTTCGTCCTGGCCGTGGAACACTGGACCAGCTCTACACGTGTCTGATGTTGTCCTGATGGCTTCATCAGACCAGGACCTGCAGCACTGGGGCGGTTTGCAGCCAAGTGTGAAGCGGCTGGGATGAAGATCAGCTCTTCCAAATCTGAGGCTGTAGTTCTCGACCAGAAAAAGGCATCTTGTCCTCTCCGGGTGGGTGGAGAGGCACTGCCTCAAGTGGAGGAGTTCAAGTATCTCGGGGTCTTGTTCACGAGTGAGGGGAGGATGGAGTGTGAGATTGACAGGTGGATTGGTGCAGCGTCGGCAGTGATGCGGTCGCTGTATCGGACCATTGTGGTGAAGAGGGAGCTGAGCCGAAAGGCAAAGCTCTCGATTTACCGTCAGTCTATGTTCCTCCCCTCAACTATGGTCATGATCTCTGGGTAATGACTGAAAGGACAAGATCGCGGATACAAGCGCTCAAAATGAGTTTCCTCCACAGGGTGGCTGGGCGCTCCCTTAGAAATAGGGTGAGGAGCTCAGCTAAACAGGAGGAGCTCTGAGTAGAGCCGCTGCTCCACAACATGGAGAGGAGCAGCTGAGGGGAGGGCATCTGTTCCGGATGCCTCCTGGACACCTCCCTTGCGAGGCACGTCCCAATGGGAGAAGGCCTAGGACACGCTGGAGGGACTATGTCTCTGGGCTGGCCTCGGAACGCCTCAGGGTCCCCCTGGAGCAGCTGGAGGAAGTGTCCAGGGTGAAGGAAGTCTGGGAGTCCCTACTTAGACTGCTGCCTCCGTGACCTGGCCCCGGATAAGCAGAAGAACATGGATAGATGAATGGATGGATAATATATTCATAAATTATATATATGTATATATATATATATATATATATATATATATATATATATATATATATATATATATATATATATATATTAATATGCAAATTAGAAGGCTTAGAACTCAAAATCCAGCTTGGTAAACACAATATTCTGAATCAGCACCCTTAAATTATGTTTTAAAAAATGTTTTTTTTAACCGATTTTTCCTCAAATTTGCCCTTAGGACTTCTCTTCTGTGAAAGTCTATATGCGCTCTTCATTACAACGCCGAACAACAAAACAAACAACAATCAAAAATCATAACATTACACTGAACACCAATTCATAATTTAAGCCTTTACAATTGAGAGTTTGTAGAGAAAAAATCCAATATGCTTCGTGCGCCCGATCATGGTCGCCCCTTTCCGCGGGGCAGACACCTGTTCGATCCCACAGAAGACCCAAGATCTCAAATCATGTTTCAGTTGGTTAAAATGAACAGCGACCAGAGTTAGGGTCTTGGCGTCTTGTTGCGCTTTTGTGCTCACGGGTTTTGAATTGTCTTGTGGTCTTTCCAAAGCGAGAACGCAAGTAAACTACATGAGAGGACGCACCTATAATGACGCTCCTAATTGGGAACTTTTTTTCCAGTAGAAGGGTGACAAAAATGAGACCTCTTTGTGGTGTTATTAGGATGACCACATTTCCGTTTGTGAAAACCCGGACACCTTACCGGGGGTGGGGCTCGGCATTGAGCTACTCTCACCTCGCAAAGCTGTGCCTGCTTTGCATACTGTGCACATGGTCTCCCACTTGTCCCGACCAGGATGGAGAGCGGGGAATTTCTTGTGCAAGTCATAGTTAAATGCACATTTGCGCTTCAGCATGTTGCAGGTTGATCGACTCTGTGTCTGCACGCTCCTTCTGAGTGTACAGAGTTATGAGTGCCGGTCAATTTAACGGTCCAATGAAAGGTAATGAAAACCCGGACATTTGCATCACTTAAAAAAACAAAAAAAACAAACAAAAAAAAAACCTGACATATCCAGAGAAAAACGGACGTTTGAGCGCAACTACCGCGTGTATATTTGCCATTAAGAATAGGGGCAAGGAGAGTTTGCGCGTTTGGTGACAAAAGATACTATATTTCCAGAATCCTAAATAAAATAGCCAACATTATTAAGGCTGTCACACTGTCAAATAAGGTCTGCAACTTGCACATTTAAGAGGAATTATCTCATTTTGTTTCCCTTGGCGGATCCACCCCTTTGGTACAGATAAGCCCTATAGACACTTGAGACCCACAACCTTAACCTTGAATGACCTAACACACACACAAAATTGCAAATGATTAAATTTAATAAAAGAAAAGACTTCATGTCCAGGGGCCAGATCAAGCCCACTCAGCCCATCTTCATATTACAAAATATAATTTCTCTTGTTTACTCATTTAGTCCTGGTTTAGTCCTTGTTTAATTCTGCTTCAGAATTTGCTTCATTCTGAGTTAGTTCTAGTTATCTGGGTTATGTATTGTCTTGTGTTCATATGTGTGTTCTCAATCAGTCTGAGGTTGTCATTTGTGCATTGCCTATGTTTTTGTTTTTGTTTTTTAATCTGAATTGTTTTACAGTATTATGGAGTGTGGATGGCATTCGGTCCATGTTCAGTTTGTTTATAAATATTGTGACCCAGTGAAACTTAATTCAACTCATTTTCACTAATACAAACTTTAATTCATGTTTATTAATGTGGCATATTCTTCCTTGTGTATCATCAAAACTATAACAATTAAGGCTATATTAGAATATACAATCTTTTAATTTAAAGCCGACTTTAGGGGGCAAAAATATTCTCAGAGTTTTATCTCTCTTAAACTGCTCCAAATTTTGGAGCCCATCCAAATGCCACAGTGTATCTCCTCGGTGTAGTGGGTGTGCCATGCCTTCTGTCATGTATAAAAGTCCACATCTCACACCACTGAACCAAAGCCACCAACTCTCCATACAAGATGAGTCTCTCTGACAAGGATAAGTCTACAGTCAAGGCCTTCTGGGGCAAGGTCTCTGGCAAGGCTGATGACATGGGTGCTGATGCCCTGATCAGGTAAATTCTATTTGAACATAAATTATTACTGCATCATAAAACAAGTTGGACTAATCTATGTGCTTTTTTTCTACTAGGCTGTTCTCGGCGTACCCTCAGACCAAGACCTACTTCTCTCACTGGAAGGATCTTAGCCCAAAGTCCCCTCAAGTGAGGAAGCACGGAAAGACTGTGATGGGAGGAGTTGCTGACGCTATCAGCAAAATTGATGACCTGACAAACGGACTTGTGACCCTGAGTGAGCTGCATGCCTTCACCCTGCGTGTGGACCCCAGCAACTTCAGGGTACTATAACTGACTGGTGGTCTCACATACTGCTACTGCTATTGTGTCCAATTTCATTTAAAGTTCAAAAATGTAATATATATATATATATATATATATATATATATATATATATATATATATATATATATATATATATATATATATATATATATATATATATATAATATCCTCGTCATCTTTTTACCTGGTATATATTTTTACCATATTTTATGGTAAAATATATATAGTAATAATAATCTGGACTTTGCACCTTTTTATTGCAGCTTCTGGCCCACTGCCTCATGGTTGTCTTTGCCATCAACTTCCCAACTGACTTCAGCCCTGAGGTCCATGCATGTGTTGACAAGTTCCTGCAGGCTTTGGCCCGTGCACTGTCTGAGAAGTACCGGTAAACTGGAGAAGACAGCAGCAGATCTGAATACCCTGTCAGTCTGTATACCATAAAAATAAATGAGCAAATGCATCAAGTTGTTGTTTGTATTTATTAATTATTTATTGAACTATAGATATTGTGGGCTTCTACCCTGTGTTTTTAAAGTTTCATTCATATGTTAATACGCCCTGTAATTTGCCCTGTTACATGCTGTGTATGTTTTTGGACTTTGGAGTGTCAATGGTGAATGTATATGGGACAGATAAGGGGTGTATCTCCAACCTTTAGCATATGCCAATCTGTTATGGGACACGTGTTGGGACAAAGTGCTGTGTAAGTTTCCATGAAGATGTTAACTCAACAGTTATGCTGGTATAAAAGGCATCCAGTTTTTCTGTGCATCAGTGGGGGAACGCCGACTGCGTTGTCGAGGGACGACCGACGCACAGAGAGACGCCGCGTAGGCAAAATCATGCTGAATCAACTTGAATCATGAGACCTGAATCTGCCTGAATTAATAAAGAGACATGTCTGAGACCTTTTCTAACTCTTCAAGTCTCTTTCTTAAGATCCTCTGTTTAGGCTGCCTCCAGGAGAAGCTGACAATATCTTTTACATAATCTATATATACATTGTAAGAAAAATCATATTGTTCAAATGAATTACCAACAATGTATGTACAAAGCCATAAATAGTCTATAACCTAATGAAAAGAAAATGTTAATTATTGAGTGTTTATAGTTGAAGCTAAGCATACTCCCTCCTTGTTACAAAGTAACCATGGAGTAGATTTTGCTGTGAGCAATTAAAATTAGGAGTCGTAATTAATATTACTTTTTTTTTTTAAATATATCTCTAACTCTTATTCCTTACTTTGTTCAAAACTACCTTTATCTCAATCATTAGATACATTTTCTTTAAATCCAGTGATTAAACACTCATTTAAAATCTGGGCATGACTTCCGGTGGCGCCATGTTACAGGCAACATCGTAAATTACACGCTCCGTCCAATTTAATATAAATTCCTAACTTGCCCATTATATAACTCGGCGATTTCTATTCAGATCAACATGGCAGCATCTCTGAGAGGCAAGGGAGCAACCAAACAAGATCAAGCTAAAGATAAAAGCGAATATTTGAAACAACTAACTCTGCAAGCCTCAATTGCGGCTGTAGATGCTATTACTAACGTTAGCATGCGTGACTCAGAATCAAGAATATTAGCAGAGCTTGAGAAACTCAGGAAGGACTATAGAGATGGCCACATGAAAACCCAACAAATCTTGACGAGACTGGAGGAGTCTTTCAAGACTCTAAGAGAAGATATGACGAGTCTGGAAAAGAGAACGACAGCGGCTGAGGACCGTATCAGCGCCAATTAAGACAGCGCCAGGCGCCACGGACGGGCACTTCGGTATTTGCTACACAGAGAAATGGATCTGACGGCAAGATGTGAGGACATGCAAAACAAACTCAGGAGGAACAACTTGAGAATTTATCGTGTCCCAGAGGGAAGTGAGGGAAAGGATGTTAAACAGTTTGTCCAAGAGTTGCTTAAATCTGTCCTTCAACTTCCTCCTGAACTTAACATCGGCATCGAGAGAGCGCACCGAGCCATCACCGCCAAGCCCAGGAAGCCCAACGCTGCGCCACGCTCGCTGCTGGTCAGATTTTGGGACTATTCTGTGAAAGAAATCATACTACGACAAGCCTGGGAGCAGAGGAGAGTCGTGTACAAGGACGAGCAGATTTATTTTGACAACGATTTTTCTCCCGAGTTGCAGAGAAGCGAGCGCTGGTTCGGGACGCAGTGAAGCAGCTAAAACTGAAGAATATCAGAGCCAAGTGCGTGTTCCCTGCACAGCTGAGAGTGTCCATGGATGGCAGCGAAAAAACGTTCCCGACAATGACGGACGCTTTACCGATGCTACAGTAGCTGGGGTTACAAGTACGTGTGGATGAGAGGGAGCGCTTGGAAACGGAGCTGTCCCGGGACCGGTGGAGCACCGCAGGAGGAAGACCAGGTAGAGGCCCCGCTACGATGTCCCATGCGGAGATTAAAGCCTTCTTTATGGATGAGGATTGAATTAACGGATCCAGTTTTCGCCGAGTTCATCTGAATAGTTTTGATAAGTATACGGTAGGAATAAGAAATCGTTTTATTGTTCTTTTTACTCCGGGCTGGACGTCAAGACGACACGAGTGGATTCGATACCACTTCGCCTAAAGCTGCAGCGAACCTCACTGGGAGCGGATGACAGCGACAACACACTGTTCGTGTTTTTTTCACCCCCACGGAGGACCTGTCGCCACCCTCCGCCCAGGATACATCGGGGACTGGATTTGCCAGGTTTCAGTATAATAACTGTTGTATTACAATTGTTCTTAATCCAGTCTGGTATGTGAAAGTTATTGTTCTTAATGTTAATGTTTGTTCTAAGTTCACTTTTAAATGTTCTTATGTTCTGAGACTATCTATGGGCCATTAATTCACTATATGCAATAATTGTTGTTTACGCGTAAAATTGAGGAAAGCTAAAAATCTAAAAAATGGATCATTTAATTTGTGTTTCTTACAATGTAAAAGGCTTGGGCAGTCCAATTAAAAGGAAGAAAATATTGAACCATTTAAAGAAACCTCTCAGAAAAGGAGCACATGAAGCTGAGGAGAGAATGGGTTGACCAACAATATAGCACTATATATCAAAATGGGAAAAAGAGGGGAGTCGCAGTTCTTTTCAGTAAGACAATATATTTTTGTCATGAAAAAACATTCACAGACAAGGAGGGGAGATATTTGATGGTAATTGGTTCAATAGGGGGGTCTAAAATCACTTTATTAAATTTATATGCACCAAATGAGGACTGCCCAAAGTTCTTTAAGAGTATTGCCATTACTAATAGCAGAGAGAGCTGAAGGAATCATTTTGGTAGGAGGTGATTTCAATTGTGTTTTGCGAGGGTCTGTGGATAGACTTCCTGCAGGCTTTGGCCCTAAATCTCAGAAATCTTCTACTTTATGTGCACTGATAAAAGAGTTAGGCCTCATAGATGTGTGTCGCCATCTACATCCTAAAGAAAAAGACTTCACCTTTTTTTCACATGTACACTGTAGCCATTCGAGGTTAGACATGTTCCTAATATCTGGGGTGGACTCTTATAGGGCTACTCAATGCGATATAGAAGCAGTTACTATCTCCGATCATGCCCCAGTCTGCTTAAAATTAAAGATAGGCTCAAACAACAAGTTTAAATATTGGAGAGCTAATGTATCTATTCTAAATAACAGAGATATTTGGCAAGAACTTCAAACATGCCTACATGAATATGTTAAATTTAATGATAATGATAGTGTATTGCCATCAGTGCTGTGAGAGGGGGCCAAAAGTGTTTTGAGGGGTAATATTGTAGCAGTTTCATTGAGGTTAAAAAAAAAGAGGCTTACAGAGCAACTAGAATTGGAAAACAAAATTAGGAAACTAGAGAAACAATACCAGTTAACTCAAAATAATGACATTTTGACCTCTCTGAGGGAGAATAGGCAAAAACTTAATGATTTGTTGACATATAAGGCTGAGGGGCAGCTTCGCTTTACTAATCAAAAATATTATCGATATGGTAACAGGGCGAGCAGGCTTCTAGCATTCCAAATACGTAAAGCACAGTCAAGCAGAGTGGTTTATAAAATTAAATGTTCAAAATCTGGAAAATTTTTATCCCAACCTAAGGAGATTGCAGAGGCTTTAAAACGCCTGTTATTATCAGGAATTGTATAGAGAAGAAGGGGATCCAAATAAAACACAAAAAATACTAAAATGTTTAAATTCAATTAATCTTAGTAGATTATTTGAGGAGGAGGCCAATTTATTAACAAACCCTATCTCAGTAGAAGAAATCAAAAATAGTATTGGGAGACTCAAAAATAATAAATCTCCAGGAGTGGATGGCCTCCCTGGAGAATATTATAAACAGTTTGAGAAAGAGTTGACCCCACTTTTGTATAAGGTTTATAACTACGCATTAACAAAAGGTGATCCTCCTCAGTTGTGGTCTGAAGCAATCATTAGTAGAGCTAACCCGTTATATTGTCTGGCCGATATTATTGGCTGATATGGGCACCAGGAGACATATCGGCTATCTGATATGGGCCGATATTTCACGTGGGCATGTTATACCTCGTTATAAAGCTTAGACTCTCTACATTATGTTCATTTAATCCAATTTACAGACAGATAAATGTCCTAATATGTGGCTCCACATCAGTATTTATCTGCAGTGTAATTTGTCAGTATCTGTATCCGTACTGTCCCTGAACACACCAGTGCGCAGTGCGCAACACTGAGATTATATTATTTTTACGGACAATCGGTTTGAGTCTGGATTAAAGAACTTTTATTAGTGCAGACTTGTGATGTGAGGAGGAGCCTGTGTGAGCGGTGAGTGTTGTAAATACTTCGACTTTGAAGCTAGTTTTCGCTATTTGTTATTAGCGATTAGCTGCTGTAGCTCCCGCACATAAACAGGCTGTTTTCTATTGGCCTATTGTAAAGTGACTATATTGGCCGTATATTTGCTACTGGACCAGCATTGATATGTAAATGAGCTGTGAATAGACGTGTGAATGATCCACATTTATGCATACTTAATTACCGCGGCGCGCACGTTTTTACGGCTAAAGGCTAATAGCGGTAGTTTATTTACTATCTATAGTTATGGGTCGGTCACGATCGAAGCGGCTCTTAGATCCGGCTCTTTGAAGCGAACAACAGGAGCATGTTTCTTATTGGGAGCCGTGTTTTCTCTTTTTCTCACTTTTTCTCTTCAAGCCGCTTGTAGACCCGTAGTTTGACAGCAGCAGCGGCTGAAAACGAAACTTTCAGAAATCTGCGTGTGCATAGGATTTTTAAAAAAAGTGCATATTTGGCTTCAGTTCAGCATAAAATGAATAAACCAGGACTAATCTTGGGCTCGAGTCAGGGAGAGACCAAGTCCCGACACTCAGTCCTGGTTCAGTTCTGGTTTAGTCCTGTTTTACACATGGTTTAAATCTGTTTTAGTCCTGGTTTAGTCCTTTTTCAGTCCTGGTTCAGTTCTGGTTTAGTCCTGCTTGCAACAAAACAATCTCAAGAGTCGCTTGGGAGCCGAAAGAGCCAGCTGCTTTAGTGAGCCGAGCCAAAAGAGTCGGTTCTCCAAAAAAAAAAAAAAAAATGGAATACCCATCACTAGTAGCTAGAATGTGATGCAAAAATGCCATTAGACCAATCTACTGTATGTAAATATGACGTAAAGAGTCAGAATAACAATAAATATTGCCTAAATAAACCCAATTTAGAATCCACTAGAGCCAAACCTACGTTTTTTTAAACAATTCAAGATTTACTGTGAATTTTTACATCACTAAATATATCTGTGATTATATCGGCTATCGGCAGCTCCAACTCCCATTATATTGGTTTCATATCGGCCACAACAAAATCCATATCGGTCGGGCTCTAATCATTAGTGTCATCCATAAGGATGGTGAAAACCCGACTCTATGCATGTCTTATCACCCTATCAGCCTGCTCTGTGTTGATTTGAAAATACTTACAGCCATCATCGCAAACAGAATTCAAAAATTCATGAGACAATTGGTGAAACCTGATCAAACAGGTTTTATTACACAGAGACGTGGAACTGATAATGTTAGAAGGGCACTAAATCACCAAATAGTGGCACAAAAGGAACACCCCATCTATGTTTCTCAGCCTCAATGCTGAGAAGGCATTTGATCGAGTGGACTGGGCCTTTCTACAACAGACTCTCAAACATATGGACTTTAATGACACTTTTATTACATGGATACAAACCTTTTATAGAAACCCCAGATCTCGGGTGAGGGTCAACGGCCATTGTTCAGATTTCTTCTCTCTGGGGCGTGGCAGTAGACAGGGCGAGGTCTTGTCACCTTCGCTATTTGCACTTAGTATTGAACCTTTAGCCAAACTAATTAGATCCAACCCTCTCATACATGGAATTAGAGATGAAAGTGATGTTCAACACAAGCTGTCACTCTTTGCTGATGATATTTTAATATTTTTGGAGAATCCCGTCAACTCTGTTCCAGCTTTGCTCCACAGTCTCCATGAGTATAGTATGGTGTCAGGTTATAAAATAAATACAAATAAATCAGAGGCACTGATGATTGTTGGGGAATGGCCTTCACAGTTGGATCACCTTGTTGTATTTAAACAGTCCAAGCAAGGGTTTCGATATCTGGGTGTAAATCTTACCCCCAAGACGACTCAACTGTTTGCTTCTAATTATGGAAAGTTATTTAAATAAATTAAAGAGGATTTAAATAGGTGGAATGTACTACCACTTTCCCTTCTGGGAAGGATTGAATGTTTAAGAATGAATGTTCTTCCAAGACTTTTATTTCTCTTTCAGAACCTGCCTGTTTTGGTTCCACAGTCTTCATTTAAATTGATAGAAAAAATTATATCCAAATTCATTTGGCAGAATAGAAGGCCAAGAGTACGACTCAAAATTCTGATGTCGGGTAAGGAAAAAGGAGGGCTTGGATTGCCTAATTTGAAATTTTAATACTGGGCAGCCCAATTAAAAGCTAAAGTGGCCTGGATTATTCATGATCCAGAAATGCATTGGGTGCATATGGAGGAATATTTATTACCAGGTATTTCCCTCTCGAGTCTACCATTTCTTAGTCCACAGTCACGAAAAAAAATTAAGATAACAAATTTTTGCGTCAATCATACTCTGAATGTTTGGAATCAGGTACAAAAACTATTAAAGGGAGCTGTGGTCTTGTCTTGAGCTGCCCCAATAAATGGAAATGTTGAGTTCTTGCCATCTCTTTCAGATAGGAGCTTTAAGCGCTGGGCGGAGAAAGGCTTGATCACAGTCAGTCAGTTATTTGAAGTAAATGTATTTAAGACTTTCTCCCAATTGAGAGCCAAGTACAACTTTTCTACCAGTGACCATTACAGGTACTTACAGTTAAGAAATAATATTACAAAACATAAGGACTGGGATTATATCAGAAGAGACCTGACAAATATTGAGAAATATTTTAGTGATCTACTTGAAAACTCTGGCGTATTGAAAAAGCAAGTGAGTAAGATTTACCAAAAATTGTTAATGGACGTGTCTGATAATACAAATCATATAAAACAACAATGGTAAATGGAAATGAATGTGACGTTGGATGATGATACCTGGGAGAGTATTTGTTCTGGTTGTCAAAGAGGGGTAGGAAGTCAGATTTGGAAGGAGTTTGACTGGAAGGTCAAATTGAGATTTTTTAGAACTGCGCTCAAAATTTTTTTTTCAAAATGTAGTGTTAGTGATAAATGTTGGAGAAGGTGTGGACCTGTGGGCAACCAGACTCACATATTTTGGGACTGCCCCAATATAAAACGTTTCTGGATTAATGTTAAAGATGTTCTACAAGATATATTGGCTGTGTTGATGGACCCAAAGATATTTCTGCTTGATATATTCCCTGATGGTCTCTCTCATGATCAGTGCTTCCTGCTGCGTCTTCTTCTGATGACTGCAAGAAAAATGATCACTATCTACTGTCTGAAACCTGAAATACCAACTGTTGAACAATGGATGTCAAAAATCAGACAAGTTTATACAATGGAACTGTTAATGGCTCAACTACAGCTCAAGGTGCCAACTTTTGAAAAGAAATGGAGCCCAATTATTGACTTTTTCAAATAAGACACATATTCCCTAATATGCCTTATTTTTTAATTTTTTATATATATATATATATTTTTTTTAATTTGTTTTTGCAAATTATTTATTTATTTTTTTCTCTTTTCTTCTTCTAGAGGGGGGAAGGGGGAGAAAAAAAGTGAATATATAAATTGTGTGAAGGCCCGGTCTCAGGACACTGTTGATGTGAATTGATTTGTGGCAATAAAAGTAAAAAAAAAAAAAAAAAAATATCTGGGCATAATTTAGGAGGAATTTTTGTCTCAAAAATATGTCAATATATGCCCCAATTGTGAAAAGCCACATGTTTAGTCCCTCGGTTATTGATGACTCTTTTACACTGGGTGACAAATGGTTTAAGGACACTGAAAGACCTGTTTATTGAAGATAATTTTGCCTCCTTTGAAAGGCTGAAATCAAAGTGTCATGTTCCAAACTCTCATTTCTTCAGATATCTTCAACTTCGTAGCTTCGTGTCTACTTCATTCGGCCACATTCCCTCGCGACCACCGGACTCACTTCTTGAAAACATTTTGGACTTAAATCCAAACTCTAAAGGAATTATTGGTAAAGTTTACACTTTAATCAACTCGTATGATGTGAAACCTCTGACTCGTGTTAAATTGAAGTGGGAGGAAGAACTGGGTATGGAACTCTCTGAAGATGTATGGCAATTGATTTTAGATAATATCCATTTGTCCTTAATCTGTTTAAGACAAAGAGTTATACAATTTAAGGTTGTTCATAGACTACATTGGTCCAAGGTCAAACTTGCCAAGATCAAACCAGAACTTAACGCTAACTGTGATCGCTGTGCCACTGAACAAGGGACATTATCACACATGTTTTGGTTTCGCACAAAGCTGAGAAACTTTTGGCAATCAATTTTTAAGTTTCTTTTAGATGCATTAGGGGTTAATGATGAACCTGAGGCCACAATTGCAATATTTGGGATATCGTTACAATCTGTGAACTAACATAAGAAATATAAAAACATAATTAGCTTTGTCACACTCTTGGCTCGTAGACTAATATTGTTTAAGTGGAAGGACAAACAACCTCCAACCTTTAGATCATGACTTGCTGATCTTATATACCATCTAACATTAGAGAAAATCAGATTTTCCATAAGAGGCTGTGCCAATAAGTTTTACAGTACTTGGCAACCTGTTTTGAGTATGATCAAAGATGTTGATCCCTCACTTATTTCACAGGAGTAACTACTATTTGTTTAGTAAGTAATGTTTTGTATGTATTTATTATTGTGATTATTATTATTATTTTTTTTTTTTTTTTTATGGTGCAACAGGGTGGGTTTGTTCTTGTTTTGTTCTGTGTTTTTGGATGTAAAACACATTATTGTAATATGCTTGAAATTGTATATCTAATGGATTTCAATAAAAAAAAATACTTGGGAACAAAATATCTATATATATTTAACACTTAAACATCTATCTATTATAAAATATAGATTTTATAATAATTCTGCTAGCCTGTTTGAGCGTTTTTGTGCATTAAATGATTTTTTTTAAAACATTTGCGGAACTATTACTTAAAGTACCTTGTTCCTATCGAACACTTTTCACTGTGACTCACAACAAGCAGCGTTTTGTACATGGATAAATAAGCATCAAATTCGAGGAAACTACGTTTTACCAAAACGTTTTAAGGATTTTATTTCTGCAACTCTGTAGAAATAACTACACTGTGAAGGAATAGTTTGATGTTTACTTTTCAGCTTAGATAGCGATTGCATTTTATTTTGTTGTAGCTGTGGACTATATAGCTAAATAATGCTAACATGATGAATAACCCGCAAGCAGAGAGGAAATCCATGTATACTCAAACACGAAGTAATGAGTACAAAAGTAGCGATAAAACCAGTCCCATCAGTGTTATTTTGGTGAGCTCTGGCAGCCGGGGGAATAAACTGCTCTTTCGTTACCCTTTCCAAAGAGTCCCTGACAGCCCGTCGTCTTTGACAGGTACGAGAAACATTAGCCATTCAACCTTTTTCATGTTCAGTTCAGCCGTTACAATGAAGATCAAAATAGCCACATTTAATATATAACTAATGTTCATTCATTCTAATAATAATAAAAAACATACGCTTTGAGTGTCTGTGAGGAAATTATCAAAAGTGCGTAGTGCATTATTACTTTAAACATAAATCATAATTTTAATTCCCAAGTATGTTTTTTTACCAGCAAAGCAGAGAAGTCGATATGCTCTCAACACATCTGGAGACGGACCAGAGGATCAAGATGGTGATTCAAGGTACTTCATGGCATACTTTTTTTTTATTTTTTATTTTTTATGGATGGTGGCCATTTTTAGGCAGCTGAACTCTTCCAGGTTATAATTTGTTGCAAGAATTAGAATACACACTAAGATATTATATTGAAGAAAATCGAGTTTGATGGGTATTACTGTGAAATGCAGCAATTTGATATATTTTTGACTTAAATAAATTTGATTTGCCAAAAAACTTCATAGTCAAAACAATAACTTGGATAAGCTTGCTGCAGGCAGGGTTGCTTAATGTCCATGTGCTGCGTTCAGCCCAACTGTGTGTTGCATTTCCCTATTGTTTGCTTTCTTTCTTCTTTTTTTATGGCCCAAATCCCATTTCAGAGAACACTCTTCACTAACTGACGAACAGTTGGTTGCAGGGTAAGACCGAATCACTAAAACCACCTTGGCTATGCTTAGATCACCCCTTTTATCCCTTTCTTTTTCTTTGTTATGTCCTTAAAGGAACCCCAACCCTGATCTTAGAAAATCCATTTCTTTAAAAGTCTAATGAATTATTATTTTCCTAATTTGACTTTCAACATTTCTTTGTACTTTGAGATACTATCCAATAAATCTTATTAAAAATAATAATTGTGGGGTACATGTAAAGTTTCTTCCTTTGTTAAATCAATCTTGAAATTAGCATCTTGATTTTGATCCCTCTGATTGAAGCATGATTTACTTGAGCAGCATTGGCATGTGGCTTTCACAATCTTGATGTGCGCAGAAACTTTTTCTGCAAAGTGGACTATCTATCTTTCTACCACACAAGCTCTTGTATACATTATTATCACACTGGAGCACCATGCTTCTGACAATTGTAACATTATTTATGGCCAGACTCAAATTACAACTATTCACACCTTGTCATTCATTTAATGATACACAATTTTTAAGGTAACAGTTTGTGATACAATTTATTTTTTAGGTTCTCTGACATCATTCTTGCTACCATCCTGGCCACCAAATCTGACATGTGTGGAAAGAAGTTTGAGCTGAAGATTGACAATGTTCGCTTTGTTGGTCACCCAACACTCCTTCAGCATCCTCCTGTCATCCAGGTAACAAAAAACAGGTCTAGTGCCCCATTCTGAGCGGGTTAACATTCTCATGATAAAAGGCCATCTGATAAGAAGACTGACAGTATTACATGCACTTCACTTTGCTAGTAGCATACAACAAAATGTACATTTTCCTCTGCATGTTTCTGTCATGTAAGTCTTTTAAATTAAATTAAATTTATTTTGTGGATCTGGAAAAGGCATTCGACCATGTCCCTCGTGGTGTCCTATGGGGAGTGCTCCGGGAGTATAGGGTCCGGGGCCCTTTGCTAAGGGCTGTCCGGTCCCTTTATGAATGGAGCAGGAGCTCTGTTCGCATTGCCGGCAGTAAGTCAGATCTGTTCTCGGTGCATGTTGGACTCCGCCAGGGCTGCCCCTGTCACCGGTTCTGTTCAATATATTTATGGACAGAATTTCTAGGTGCAGTCAGGGGTCGGAAGGGGTCCGAGGACAAGGACAAGATCACGGATACAAGCAGCTGAAATCAGTTTCCCCCACAGGGTGACTGGGTGCTTTCTTAGACATGGGGTGAGGAGCTCGGCCACACAGGAGGAGCTCAGAGTAGAGCCTCTGCTCCTACACATTGAGATAGCCATCTGAGATGGCTCGAGCATCTGTTACATATGCCACCTGGGCGCGTCCCTCGGGACATGTTTCGGGCATGTTCCGTCAGAAAGAGGCCCCGGGGAAGACCCAGGACACGCTGGAGGGACAATGTCTCTCGGCCTGGCCCCAGATAAGCGGAAGGGGATGGATGGATGGATATATATATATATATTTATTTATTTATTTATTTATTTAATTTTTTTTAGAATTTTCAGTATTTTGTTTTAATTGAATTGTACTACATTTGAGTTTTGTTGTAATTATTAGTGGTGACGTACATTTAATTATTCTTACAATCATAATAGAATTTTTCACCTCTCATTATTTTTTGTAGGGTTCTAAAACCGACCCATCACCTAAAAGAGAAATGCCTACAATGATCCTGTTTAATGTGGTTTTTGCCTTAAGGGTATGTATCTATTATGACATGATTATTATGTTGTTATCCCAACTAATCAATGGTTGACCCAGTAAAAGTAATACATGATGGTGCCTCCTTTTGAATTAGCAGAAGCTGTTTCTGGGTGGGATATAGACCGTAGTAGATTAAATCTAAAAGAAAAGGAGGGGTGTCAGTGGATGATAACACTCGCTATCTGTTAGAGCATGGGAACCTCAGTGGAGCCTAATCATATGCTGCGAACAGGCGTGGCCCATGCTGAGTCACTGTTAGTCCAACACATGATTGGGTGGGACTGGGTAAAAATGCTCTGTCATGTTTTGTTATGGCCTCTGTTTATTCCTTACTTGACTGTTTGTGAATTAAATAGTGGTCATTCAAATGCTTTATTCATATTCATATTTATTCTACAATAGCATTACAGGTATTCCATGGTTATTAGAATGTTCAAGTCAATACATAACATTTTAAATTGTTTATGCCTTTTAACATTTTTAAAAATAACCTTATTTTCTATTTTTGAAAATGTTGCAATAAACGTATTAATATTTTTACGACATGTGTAACTATCTGGAGATGGCATGTCTCCTGCATATTCCATTGAAATGCAAAGTTAAAACCATAAGAGTCAGTTTTGTTTAAGTGCAAGCCCACTTACAGTAAGGACACAGACTTTCATTTTCTATTTTGGGGCTAAAAAGTTACTCTGTGCGCCTTTATTTTGGGGCTAAAAAGTTACACTGTGCACCTTTAAAGGTATATTGAAGGTCCGTCACCTGCGTGTTTCTATGGATATGTCATTGCTTTGCATGGAATGTTCCATAGTATGACATTAATCAGCTCTATCTTAGATTTTTTCAATATCAGATGGTTTTATAGCTGAAATACCGAGAAAAAATTGACTGAGTGGGGGTTGCCTCTCCACAGATCTGACCTGTAACTTGGTTGGGTTTGGTCTCCATTATGATAAAAAGGTTTAATGCCATACTGACAAAGCAATACCATCTCCATGGAGAAAAGCATTTGGCGACCCTCCACCAGAAAAGTTAAACAATTCACCTTTAACATTTACTAGTACTAAACACTCCCTAAACAGTCACTAAAGTGGAATTAAAAACATTTAGTATGAAAATACTAATGGGGCTGTGCTAAATGAGTGTATTTTAGTTCATTTGTTATTTTTGTATGTTTTTATAAAGGCTAACGCAGACCCCTCAGTCATCAGCTGTATGCACAATCTGTCCCGGCGCATCGCTATAGCCCTGCAACATGAGGAGCGCCGCTGTCAGTACCTGACCAGAGAAGCCAAACTCATGCTCTCAGTTCAAGATGAAATCACCACCATGACTGAAAGTGAGACACTCATTTTAACTTCAAGAACTTAATTGATGTTTGGACACAGTAGCTCACACATTACAATGTAATAATAATAACAAAGAGAAATAATATAAATCATAATAAATAATAATAAATTCAAAATGAGCAAGCAACAGACTGGTGTTAAATGAGGCATAATTATCCAAATGTATATGTACATGTTCAAGTAAAAATTTAAATATAAAATTATAGTAATACAAATATATCTTGGCTATATAAGAGGTGGGTAAGGAAGAAACAGTGCAAAGATGAAATAGTTATTGACATGACATAGGGTTTTCTATTACATAAGTTTTAAAATAAGATAATTTTTTATCATTTTACTGATACCTGTTTTTCTGGTCAGCAGATGGAAGTCCCCAGTCTCCTTTCAGACAAATCCTTCCAAAGTGTAAACTCGCAAGAGATCTGAAGGATGCCTATGATAGGTGTGTGAGAGGCCTGAAATTATTTGTATGGTATGCTGATCTTTACTACATACTATTAAAAAACGCTGATACTTAATGCACTTTTTTTTAGCCTTTGCACAACTGGAGTGGTGCGTCTCCATATAAATAACTGGCTGGAGGTGAGCTTTTGTTTGCCCCACAAAATTCACCGGATAGGAGGCTATTACATCCCACCAGAAGCCTTAGAAAGCAGTCTAAAAGCCATAAGGTAGTGTAATCCATTTGTTTCTTTTAATATTTTTAAATTTCCTTTAATGTGTTAGGTCTTCACACTATAATGCAGTCTAGCCCACTTTAAAGTCAAAACTATTTAATCAAACAGCAAAGCCCCTCTACAGATCTTTTAGTATTAACAAATAAAGTAATGGCTGATCTTGCTGGCAGTAATGATGTGACATTACACATGTCTGATAAAGCCCCACTCACTGGTCCCCATGTGCAGGAAGTTTTCTGACCAATTTTAAGTGATAATGACACAATCTAACCCTGCAGGATTGTATGTTTATAGTTAAGTATTACTGGCATGCTGAAATCGACATATTGATTAAATTACATACATTTGTGACATCTGCTGGTGCTATGAATACACATATTCACATAATAAGTATAGAATTTGACCCAACCATATTAAGTAGATATTATGGCTGCACTCACAAGTGTAGCTAGAGCTGTCATGGTGTGTTCATAAAAAAAAACTATAGTACAGTTATAACTGAAGACCTAATGAAGTTAATCAGATCCTTTGCAATAATGTTTAATTAATTTACACAGTCCCTGCTCAGTAAATAAATAAAATGAAATAGCCATGGTGACCACAAGATAAACACAATATTAGCAGCACAATAGCCTTTGGCCAAATTTTACTTTCCTGCCTCAATTTCTTTTACAATTTACAAAATGTAAAATGAAAAAATATGTTTTCTTTAAAGACCTTATTTTGACAATAGTGGGACTATTTTATTTAATTGTTATTTTATATTTATTTTATTTATTAATTTACTGGTATCTTGGTCCTCATGTAGCTATGTTTCAGATCTATGCAGCATAATGTGATAACCTAATATGCATGAATGATGATGACACACAGAAAACAAGATTAATAAATGCATGAATTAGTAAGAAAAGAAAGAGTAAAAGCAATTGCATTTCTAAAGTACAAAGTACGCAATGTAACTGAGCATCAGGTGGCAGTTTATGTTTGTGTTCTTCCCACTCTCTTTCTACATTTGTTATTGTATTGTGAATATGTATGTGCATGAGTATGTATGAACAGATATTTACAAAACAATACAAATCTCTTATGTCCACATTTTACCATTTTACCATGTACGTGTAAATACTGAGATCCTGAGCTGCTAACATGAGACAGTATGTGTAGGCCATACTGCCCCCTAGTGTTATCTCAATGGACTTGCACAACCTTAAATTACCCACTTGCACTTGATTTCATTAGATTGTGAGTTCTGTGGCCTCTATTTCAAAAACACTGTTACGTTTTAAAAATCTATCACTGTTTGAATTTGTGCTCTCAACAGTTTAATTTGCTGTTTGTTTTTACAGGCCTTATCATGCCCTGCTGTTGTTGGAGAGTGAAAAAGTGTTGCTAAGTCAGCTCCCTCTGGACTGTTCTCCAGCGATGGTCCGCCTCATCAAAACCTGCTCTCCTGTGAAAAACCTGCAGCAACTGGCCCAGGACGCTGACCTGGCTCTTCTCCAGGTGCACCACTCTACTACATCCTTTACTGTGAACATGACCCTATTTAGGGCTACACAACGTAATGAGACAGCATGTTACTGCCATCTTGTGGACAATGGCATTACTTTTAGACTGTGTAATATGTATGTATATCTTTATACACTCTATGGTACTGTGTGAATAATTGTCCATATGCTGTATTGTACGTAACCATAGTCAGAGACAGTTTTTTTTCATTAGAGTGCTGTAGCCTATTATCTAGTAGTAGTCCATTTTGTAATAGTTATTAATCTAGATTTTTTAGTGGCTATTTCTATTCTCTTGCTCTTGCAACACTGCAATTTCCCCATTGTGGAACAAATTAAATGAAATAAATGCTTTACATGCTTGCAATTATCTACAAAAGCATTTCTAAAACATTGTCCAGACAGACTTTAATATTTTTATATCTTTGCTTTTTTCTCAGATTTTTCAAATTGCTGCTCATTTGGTTTACTGGGGCAAAGCCATAATAATTTATCCACTATGTGAGAATAACGTCTACATGCTGTCTCCTCACGCCAACATCAGCCTGTGAGTAATGTAGTCAGCACATTTTCAACACAATAGTTTTGCTTACATTTTTCATACACTGTCCCTTATTTATTATAATCATACAATTCCATATTAAATGTTTTCATTACATGCCACTCTTGAATTTACAGATACTCTCCACTGGCAGAGCAGTTTGCCCAGCAGTTTCCTGGCCATGATTTGCCCTCAATGTTAGCAAAGTTTTCACTGCCAGTATCACTGTCTGAGTTCAGAAACCCATTGGAAGCTCCTGCACAAGAGGTAACCCTATACTCACCAACACTGACTTTAGGGCTACCTCACTCCATCTTACTCCTAGCATAGCCTGGTTTCCATATAAATTGGGAGTTTTTTTGTTGTTGTATTTTGGAATGAGACTAGCACACACAGGCACTATATTTCATTGTGACTTTATTGCTAAAATATTAAGACATTGAGTGTATTTTGTTAGCAGAATGAGCAGATGTTCTCATTGACCCATCAGATTTTGGAGCCAAGCAGTTGGTTATAAATTATTAATATGAAAGGGACATCGTCCTCCATTTTTCATGAACACAAGATCAGAGCTGCAGTGCTTTTTTGTTGAGCTATTTTAGGTCCATGGCTCTCCCATTTTGAACTCAAACTATGCATGACCCATAGTATATTGTTTCAATCATTATCCATTATTGTTATCAATTATATAACAAATTCAAGCCACGAGAGGAGAGTAATGGGACCAACAATTATCAGATTCTACAAATGCAACATGCCAAGATTGGACTAGGGCCTATGTAGCACGTTTGTCATTACTGTGTTACTTTTTATGTTATCTTATCTAGTATTTTCTCTTCATAAGATGTGACTTATAATATAAACACATCATTTGGTTCCCCTGCAGGCCAATTTAATACAGATGGTGGTGTGGATGCTCCAGCGGCGCTTGCTAATCCAGCTGCACACATATGTTTGTCTGTTGGTTCCTCCAAGTGAAGATGAGCCCAGCCTTAAAGATGAAGACCCCCTGTTGCCACCGCGAGTCGGCGGCCGCAGCCTAAGCACGCCTAGTGCTCTCAGCTTCGGATCACCCAGTATGTAGCTTTATTATTAATATTGCTTATTGTTGTATATTCCCTAATAGAACTGTTTATTTAGATCAGGCATTCATAGGTAGCTTAGGGGTCCTTGGGAGCACCATGGTAATGCTGTCACTGTTACCTTGGTGACGCTGTTACTTGTGGCCTAACTGCTGTAGCTTCAGCTCTGCCTTTAACCTATCAGATCTTTACCTTTAACCTATCTAAGTCCTATGACAGAGGTGGGTGTGTAATTTTTATGGAATTGTTTCTTTAATTGCCATGTAATATTCTGATGCAAATTAACTTCATTAACTTGATTAATTTACCTTATTGTTTATGTTAACTGTTTAACTGTTACACATAGACTGATTATATGTGTGTGTAACTTCAGTTAGTAATATGATTCAAATGTTCCTATAGATTACCAGATGCAAGGATAATGCAGATGAAAGGTAGATTAACAGACAGCAAAACAGATTGAAGACAGGACATTAAAGGCTTCAAAATACGTTCTGGTGTCTGTTTCTACTCTCTGACCGGAGTATTGTATGGATGAAGTGTCCCAGTACACATTCTGTTGTCCTCCTAGCTATCTCCAACAATGGTCCTTTGAGCCAGATTACTTCACACAGACATTAAAATGGACATAAGAACAACAGTAACAGGAGCAACAGGATGGTCGCAACAGCTCACAGTGCCCCTCCAGATCAACCAGGTCAGGGGGCCCAAGTGGATACAGCATCCAAAACCAGTCATATCATGCAGCCTACATGATTCCGCCAGTTAACAGTCAAATATATCAGCAGCTGCCTACTATGCAGCCAGGTACAGCGCCTTTCATCCCTACTTGTTATGTACAACTGTACCAAGCCTTTGCAGCAACAAGTGCTATTATGCCACACCTCTCAACAACAGCATCTATGCCAGTCCAATACCAGGCCACATCAGTTGACCCAGCTTTTCCAGTGCAACAACATCTGCCAGTTGTGACCGCCAGTACCAGTATACCAGCCCCAGGTTCCATTCACATGATTCCAAAATCTGCAGTCAACTACGACATCACCTAATGTGCCTCAGCACCATCAGCTGCAGTGCTCTCGTCCTCCTCCATCCTTACAACAGTTTAGGAAATATCTATAATGAAACACCTTGATTTTATGTCTATGTTAGCAACCGTGTAAACAGAATTCGCAGGTCATCTCAGCCCAGTCAGTGGCATTACATTGCCAGCAGTCAGAACCCCACAGACTACGCCACTTGTTCTGTCCCTGCTTACCAGCTGCCCCTAAATAACTGCCTCACAGGCCCAGACATTCTGTTTCAGACTCAGAACTGTTCCACTGTCAAATCTGACCTTGTCGAGCCTGGCACTGAAGCAGAAGTCCACAAAGTGCATTCAAAAACAAGAAAAACTTCCTAAAGCCAGTCCGTTAAAAAACCTCGACCCATTCTTGGATAAAAATGGCTCTTGCAACTAGGTGGTCGCATGGCTAACTCAAATCTGAACCAAAATGAAAAGAACCCTCTCATCATTCCTGGTCACCATCACGTTCCAGCACTTCTCATAAGGCACTACCATGAACAAACTTATCACCAAGGTCGCCTGTTCACAGAAGGAGCTGTTTGTGCTGCAGGCTGGTAGATTGTCAGAGGCAAAAGAAAGTGTAATCATCTTCAACTTCACCAATTGCAAAAGACTTTGTGCCCTTCTCAGCACACAGAAAATGTCTGACCTCCCACCAGACCATCTCTCTCTAGACTCCATTCACATGGGCATAGGGGTCTTTGGCCCATGGTTTGCCTTCAGAAAGAACCAGGGGACATGTTATTCAAAAGAAAAGATGGGCTGTGATTTTCACATGTTTAAGTGTAAGAGTAGTTCATATCATAAATGATTGAGTCCCTTGACACATCTAGTTTCATTAATACACACAGAAGTTTTCTAGCTATTAGAGGACCTGTCAAAACCATTCGGTCTGATAGAGGCACAAAGTTTGTCAGTGCATGTAAAGAACTCAAAATCCCCTCAAACATGGACAATACAGCCATACAAACCTGCTTGAAAGAACAGGGACTTATAATCCACCTCATGCTTCACATTTCAGTGGATCATGGGAAATGATGATTCCACAGAAAATATTGGATACTATGTTTTTTCAAGCTCAAGAAGACAAAGCTCACTCATGCCAGAGATGTCATCCATTATAAACGCGAGGCCCCTTGTTCCCATTTCTGTTGACCCTACCCTACCCTCTCATTCTGACACCAGCAACTCTGTTCACTCAAAAGTGGTCCCCACTTTAAGCACCAGCAGGCAACTTTGCAGTGTCAGACCTCTATAAGCATCAGTGGCGGCAGGTTCAACACCTGTCAAACACGTTCTGAGACAAGTGGAGGAAAGAATTCTTGCCCACACTTCAGCCACGCTGCAATCTGACCATCCAAATGTGACACCAGGGAGTACTGTATTGCTTAAGGACAGTCAAATACCCAGAAACCAATGGCCTCTTGGACTCATAACTCAAGTGTTTCCTTCTAAAGATGGTGGTTCGTACAGTAGAGGTTAAGGTTACCAAATCAGATGGTACAAAGGTTTTCACTAGACCAATCTCAGAGATTGTTGTAGAGTCGTTGACGAGTTATCGCCATAGTTACCATTACAGCACATAGACAATAATATTTATTTTTATCAAAGAGACTCTTGAAGATTGTCTGAAAGAACTTGCATACCACCATAGATATCTTACCTTGAGTTAAAGCCCCAGTGTCTTGTAACATCTGTGTTGAATTTGTGCAGCCAGCAGTGATGACATGACCCTGACCAGCCCCAGTATGGACAACTCCAGTGCAGAGCTGGTGACGGGAGGGGACTCACCGCTCAACAAAAGGATGACAGAAACTCTACTGTCCAGTCTGTCAGAGCACGAGAGACAGGTCATACTAAACATCCCGGCGGCACAGAATCCTGAAGATCTACGAATGTTTGCCAGGTAGTTGTTGATTTAAAACATTAACACAGCACAAAATCAGATCTTAGGTATGCATACTACAATTAAATCAGATGTAATTCCAAACCAAAACTGGAATGAACCTAGTCTAAAATAAACAGGAGTTGAACAGCACAAATCTGTAATGGTATTGCAATTTGACAATTTTTTTTCTATTTTATTTATTACATTGTTATGATAACAATTTCAAAATATGTGTAAAATACACAACCTTGCATAAAACTTTTTCTTCAAGGTCCTATATTATGCTAAATTGACTCTTGTGAGATTTAAACCATCTTAGTATGTTGTTACCTCCTCAAAAACATACTTGGAGTTATTTTTTGCTCCATTCACACGTTTGAGTAACTCTTCATTATTACTCTGTCTACATCTCTTAAGTTCAGAATGCTGTTTTCCGCCTTGTGACATCATGTAGTGGTAGTTTTTTAAGTTAACAGCTACCTTTTACCTGTAGTTCAGTTGAGAAGGAAAATTCCAGGGCTAAAATTATGAAAATGATTCTAGTGAAGGTGTATGCAGTTTAAAAACACAGAGGAGCACTTCTTGTATTACCATATAACATCATAAGATGAAACCAAGTGTTTTCTGTTTGAGAGACGAACGCAGCCTAAATATGCAGGATTTTTGTCTCAAAAATGTGTGAATGGAACAAAACACAACTCCAGATATGTTTACTTTAAGTAAGGTTTTGGTTTATTAACTTTCAAGAGTGTTGCAAATTTCAATCAGAATATAATGTTACAGTGCTTCTTGACCCATCCATTTGTGCTGCTGAACAGCAGCGACAGCTCTCATCAGCGCCACTGTCTCATGGTTGATTTGCACAGTTACTGGCTCGGTAAAACACATGCTTTTTTTTAGGCTGTTGCACTACTTCAGGGGACATCATCACCTGGAGGAGATTATGTACAATGAGAACATGAGGCGCTCACAGCTCAAGACTTTGTTTGACAAGTTTCGAAGTGTCCTTGTGGTGACCAACCATGAAGATCCCATTATTTCAATCTTTCAGTCGCCAATGGAGAAATGACGACAAAAAAGTGCTAGCTCTAGCCTTTTTTGAGATACCTGATGTTACCTTACATTTTAATTTGGGGTGTAATGATATTGGCGATATCAAGATATCGTTGTGGTCTCGTCACATTATTAAACTGTATGTCTTTAGGCAAAAATATGAATTTTCAGGCTGCTCCTGTTATGCATAGCTCAGTAAACTACATGGACCATAATCCTTTGTGGCCGCATCATCGGCCTGTGCGCCCGTTGTGGACGCACCATGACTTTTAATTCTGAGGTCTAAAAGCATTTTGGGTAGACAGCTTCACATTGAAGGCATTGAATTTTGTGATTCAAAGTGCAATGGCACATTTTTGAGATGTCCCTTACTAAGTTATGGGTCGTTCCAGATGAAATCGGCCCTTTTCAAGGAATCTCCCCTATGAGCCATTTCAGATTTGGCTGAAAAAAATTCAAAATATTTCTGAAATTATCAAATGAAAGAAGCTAAAATTTTAGATCAATCACTACAGTCATTCCTGTATTATGGCCTGTCGAAATTTTTCAGAAACCTCAATTTGTAAGCATTTTTGAAAGACCATAACTTCATGAAAAATAGAGCTAGGAAAGTGAAAATTTTTATTATTGTAGATTCTCGGTCATAGATTCTAAATCTGTTGTTGGTATCTTTATTAGAGGGGGTGCTGTGGCCCCCAAATTCTCAAATTTGGTTGCTACTCAATTTTTGTTTTAGTTTTTGAGGTCCAAGATCTATTTACTCCAAGCAGATATTTAAAAACTAACTGCTGAACCTCAATATTTGAGAGAATGACCATTTCTGACAGCAATCTCACACTATTCTTAGCTTTCAATGTGGATAGTGTGAAGTCCCAAATATGGTCACAGACCAAATTTGACCTTTTTGGCCCCTTCTCTGGACGCTCAGTTCTTCATGTGGGCACAATTAGATGCTGATAAAATTGACCAGAGAAACTTTGGAATATTCTGATTAGTTTAAAGTAATAAAAACATCTACTATTAACTTACTTCATTTCAAACAGAATTTTTTAAAATGAGCTCTCACGGGTAATTTTTGGTGGAGCTTCGGTACTTTTCCACCTGCTAGAAATGTTAAATTACCTTTAGTTGCTTGCAAATATCTGCTTGGAGTAGATATCTGCAAGCAGAGCAGAGCTTTCACAGCAGAGCTTTCAGCTTCTTAGCTCTATTTTTTATGAAGTTATGGTCTCTCAAAAATGCTTATAAATTAAGGTTTCTGGAAAAGTGGGCATGGCCCCAAAATTTCAACGTGCCATAACTCAGGAACGACTGAAGGGATTGAGCTAAAATTTTAGATTCTTTCATCTGGTAATTTTTTTCAGCCAAATCTGAGATGGCTCATAGGGGAGGGCTGCTGATTTCATATGGACGGACCCTTATTGCTTCCCCAAGCCAATTAAAAGAGATTATATTCTTAAAAGGAATTTTGAAAAGAAAGATCTTAAAATAATTAGAACAAATTATCTTTCCTTTCCAGTTCCCCCTAAAGTAAAGGAGGCACAATTTAAATTTTTTAATAAAATGTATCCAACCAATGAATTCCTAAAACAAAAATTCTAATTTGAGATGGGTAAATGCGTGTTCTGTGACTCAAAAAACAGCTTGCTCCTAGTGCGTTGATGCGGTCAGCTTCTGTCTTCTGTCGGACTTACTCTGCGACGCTACTGACTACAGTTTTATTACAATTATTTATTTGTTACTTGAATTTTGCACTTCAACTTCAAAGGCTTTTCAAGCTGTTGAAAATATCACCGATATGAATTTGACAATAAATGCTGTACCAAATGACTGGGCAAAGCATTTAATAATATTAGTCGTCTTATTATGTATAATATCGTAATATCGTGAGCCTCCCCACCATATTGTGAGCTTTCCCACGATATCGCAATAAATATCGTATCGTGAGATTCATACCATGTCAATATCGTATCGGGAGACTTGGATATCATTATGCCCCTAATTTTAAATTAACAATAATGATTTTGTATTGACATTGTCTTTATGAGCCAAATAATATTTACACTATTAAATTATTTTGTATAAATCACCCATGTCTCAAGTCTATTTCATAATTAAAAGGACCATATTACATAAAGTCTAATTATACAGCATTAATGGTTTTCCTTCATCATTAACTTGTATTTTGAATGATTCCTGCATGTTTGGGTTTGCATTGCTCTGAATGAGGTTTGAGCGATATGAACATTTCAGTTGATGATTATAAAACCAAAAAATCATAGTCATATATGTTGTGTTTTTAAAAGTTGTGTAGCCAGTTTCAACAATACAAAACATGTAAATCAAAAACCACTGCTTGCTTTAGTGAAATGCCAAAACAAACCTTTCAGTGCTGCAGTTTTGTACAGGAAGTAGATGAACCTGTTTCTATTATTAAGCCTTTTTAGTTCAGTGAACAAAATATTGAACTATAATCAAATGTATGTTATAATTTAGAACTAAACACCTCAAAAAACATAATGAAAATCTTTGAAAACTATTACTATATTTGTCCTGTTTCTCTTGTTATTACACTGTAGAAAGCAAATAGAGCATAGTGAATAATGACCATTCCAGACCCCAAACTACCTCTGTCCAGGAATCCCTAAGGTGGAGATTCAAGGACCCAGAAAAAGCAGAGATACTCAACATCAGACAAGTCGCATTGGCTTTGAAGGAAGTACAACTTTCCAGACATCTGTGAAATCACTAAGAAGACACATATTTTCATTAAAAACACAGATGCACTTTGCTCACTGGAGGCAGGGCAGTTTCATTTCAGGTTTTACTCCTTTAAAAGTACAGTTTGAAACAATTTGGTAACGGATAATTTAAACAATCCATGCGTTTCAGAGGGTGTGTTCCTCATTTGACCCTGGTGTGAGCCCAGTTTAGTCCTGAAGTAGTCTTGATTCTAGCTCTGCTCTAGACCTGGTTTAGCTCTGGGTAGTCCAGGTTAAGTTCAGTCTAATCCCAGTGTTCATGTGCTATACGTGCCATTATGAAAGATTAGCACCATTGCAACAGCAGTTACAGTAATTGAAACACATGCATACATTATACCAATAAAGGCAATTGTACAGAATCTAAATTCTTCTTTACCATTTCAGATTCAACAGTTCTTTCTGCATCTTTATTTCTTACACTGACACATGGGTGGCCTAATATGTAATATCGTAGAGGTTTCTTAGCCCATTCCCCATGTGATTCAATACCAATTCGTGGTGCTGACACAATATTGCTGATTTCTTCTGGAGCGGCACTGGGGTCTCTCTCCAGCCAAACCTCTGGGTCTGAAGCCAGGTCCCGGCGGTCAAAACAGCGCGGTATATCCAGCGCCTGGCACAGCTTAGAGGGACCGTTGCACAGTTCTTTGTCCTTCAGTTGTTTCGCTCCATCTTTGCGCTTTGCCTTCCTCAACTGTCTCATGACAGACTGACCCTGCACTGGCTCCAGGGACCTCAGCAGTACAGCGGCTCCCTCTCCTGTGCAACAAAACACAGCATCAATTCACAGTGCTTAGCCTCCCCAACTCTTTAAAATATGGAGAAATATAATTCTGTCAACTGGGCCAAAGCTTTTTGATCGAATACTCTTACTCATACAGCTCTTATAGCCTTATATCTGCCTGAAGGTAGGAGCTAACTTCACTGAAGCTACTCTGAACCTAACCCAGACATACAGTATTACTACTACCGGTACTAAAAACCTGTAAGCATCCATCAAAACCTCAGTAACATTTGGTGTGGGACAGCCAGGCAGGTGTGGTTCCCTAAGCTTAAATAAATGTGCACTTGTGCCCATTTGAATTATTCACTCTATAATAACTCACCAACTGATGCAGCTCCACTTTGCCCATGCTTTAATTCTCTGGCCATGAAGGAAAAAAAAAGGTTTTGACACTCATGCTTAAAATCATATTCCAATTTTACATCAAAATAGTGTTTGACTGAAAAACCAGAGGAGAAAGTTTAAAGTTTTGTCTAAACCTTTGACTTCCCTAGAGACTTTGTTATTACGTAATGTATTTTACTGCACAATAACAATAGGAGTGGTAATAATGAATGCCTTTACCCTCGCTGGACACATTCATGCAGAGGTAGATGCCGTAAATGGGATAGACATAGATAGTCCCTGGCTTCATATACATGGCTGTATTTCTCTCAGTGCGTTTCCCTCCAGCTGAATGAGAGGCTTTATCTTCACCTCCAAGGTATGCTTCAGTCTCCACAATCTTCGCCCGCAGCTCCACTCCATCTGCACACCTGCGGACCAACACCTGCGGGGGTAAACACACACTACTGTTTAATGCATAATCTACAACACCAACGAACTGAAACTGCACTCTCACAATTCATAATTCATATGTAGTTGGTGCTAAATAGGAGGCTATACATACATTAATATTTTAGGTTGTTAAGCAAAGCATATTCAAGTAGTGAAATCCTACATTTACAGCATATGCAATCATTTATTATTTTAGGCAAAAATTATGATGGGACAACAGTCAATCAGTATCATATTCCAAAAAAAATATTTACTTCTATTCAGTGTAGTAACTTACATAGCATTTACAATAGCAACAGCAACTGCAACAATCAAATATACCAATATACAAGATACTAAGTTTAACCTTTACCTTGCCGAAGGAATGCTTTTGCCAAACTGACACATGGTTGTTTGAAAAAATCCTCCCCTAGTCTGAGGTTTGGATCACTTTTGATAAAATAATGACTTTGTTCGATATCATTTACGACATTACTGGCCTTTTTGAGTTTGGCTGGGCAATTTCCGTGCTTATTTAATGTTTTGGCATTAACTTCTTCTGGTATTGATAGTGTTTTTCTCTTTCTCCTTGACATACCACCGTAGTATAACATGTAATCACAGCTGTAAACTAGAAATAAAAACAGAAAACGTGTAATATCTACGCTCTCTTGTGACTGGATGCTAGCGCTAACAGGAAGTAGGAATGCGCGTGTTGTCAATTTCTTAAAGGGGCGACGCACAATTTTTGACTAAGATTAAAATATGAAAGAAGACCTGTATCTATTCTTTATTAGTGCATACATGAGTATTGCGTGTTTTTCTGTGTGAATAGTATCTTTTTAAGCCTCGCTTGAAAACATTGCCTCTTATAAGAGTGTATTTACAGTTCTCATTTGCAGCCCGTGCCCTGGAAATCCAGAGCGCCAGATTGGCCCAGGGCACAGAGGTCCGCATGTGCGACTCTCTGAGGAAAAGTCAGTGTGACACGGTCAGACCACAAGCTACTGGACTGTAACTTTATAAATATTTGCTGCGCTGCGAAATTCATATTAAGAGTCACTGTCCAGATGTAGGTTTCCTCTCCTACAGGTGAAAGTCTGCGGGACTAAACTATACAGACTCTATAAAAGAATATATACGGTCTATGAACTAAACCTAATATAATTTTACAAAAACACATAATTTAAACAATATTTTAACATTCAAGTCTGGTTTTGTGCATAGGCTACAGTAGATTCTTTCATTATACAAAAGATAAGATGTTGTTTTAAAATATTAGGTCACTTGCTATGGCAAACGCGCTGTGTTTCACTGACCGGGTTGAATGTACATGTTAAATAGCAATAAATAAATGAGCAGTGTTTTAACCACCTGCACTGTAGGGCAGTGGTCTACGTCTCTGTCCCTAACGGGGTCTTTGGGTCCCCATTCCTCCTCCATGCAAATTGTAAGGATGGCCCAGTGGGACGCGAAAAGAGATGTCCTTCCCGTGGCTGCTGGAATTTTATTCTTGAGTTTTTTCAAACAAACGAATAACAGGTTTTTAAACTTGAACTTGGTAAAACGGTGAGTGGAATTCCCGCCTCACAGAGGCCACGAGTTCGAGCCAGGGGCGGTGGGTTAGTAAACTGTGGAGTTTTCATGTTTTCCCCCTAGACTGATTTAGGCTAATATTATGTAGCCAGTGCATAGCCTATTATGGTCTATGGTTATCCTATGTCTGTTTTCCTTGTCTACTTTAGCTGTAAGCCATCAGTCCATGAGGTTCAAAGTAGCCTTAGCCTACTTAAGCCTGGAAATACTTATTTATAGCCTGTTAATAATTTTATTAGTAATTTATATTCCTTGTAGGTCATCCATCTGAAAATCTACCTTTAGGGCATCTTCTGCATTACTATAAATATTTAATTATATAGTTTAAACATAATAAATATAAAACAGACCTATTATGATCAGAAATTATACTTTTGTAAATTACTAATACCGTACAGTCTTATTCTTATTGTCTAATAAAATGTTCTATATGTTCAATTCATACCACAAAAGATAATGTCCAACAGTGAATCAAATCATTGCACTGAGAATCCCCTCCCTCTCTTCTCCACAGTGCAGAGATGCCAGAGCGTGGAGTGTGCTCAGGAGGTGCGGCCCTGTGTGTGCTATGTGAGAGGGGGCAGGGAATGACACCATTTTAGTGGATCAAGGGGAACAGGATCTACTTGAGAAGCATAAAAAGTACCATAAAAATTCCTACGTTCAACATTTGTATCACTGGGATGAATGTAACTGTCCTGTTTAGTATGCTGTAACTTTATATTATGATTTTGCATTTATGGACATTCATGTGTTATTATTGTCACTTTTTCTGCACTATAATTCCTAAAGTTGAATACATCCAGCATTAATGAACAATCTATACGTGACTCACTGAGCACTGACTAACACACAGTAGTTTAAATCAGTTGTTTTCAAATGCCAAGACAACATTCAGACACAACTAAATGTGATTTTTCAATGGTAACTACATATCCACATGCTTTATTATTGTAAGGAAATCGTTAACTTTAGTCCTCTAGCTCCAACACAGATTGCACTAAAATCTGCTGATCATGTGGAGCAGTGGAGTCCTGGCATGGCTTGTGTTGACTTAGTCCTGGGCGGCTGGACCGAATGGTGAAGACTGCTGTTTGCTTTGTGGCTTTTGGTATTACCAGTCAGCAGCATTGGAAAGTATATGAGATCTAGACATCTCTTATTATTGCCCCCACTGATAATCTTCACAGCTTGGGCCAAATACATTCTGGACCACTTTCAAGTCCACTCTTCAGCAGCAGAGAGGGGACACAAAACAGGGGACAAAGGGACACCAACACCCAGTTGTTATATATTAGAAAAATATCTAATCAAGTATTAAAGTACCTGTTTAAAAGTATACTTAATGTAAAAAGTATTTCACTCACATTTTGAGATCTAATAAAGCTTTAAATGTACAGATTTTGATGAATATGTGTGCTGTATTTTGTTCAGTAGAAATAACTGAATCTGTTGCTTATTTCTAGCTGTTTTTATTTGTATATTTTGTTTGCTCAAAAAATTTACTTGCTTAAAAAAACTGCCTTTTTAGCAGGTTTCAAACAATCATGAAAAATACTTTTATTTTGGAGTTCTGTTAGAAAATGTAGAGGTGTAGAAAATACAGACACCTGCTCTTAAATGTAGTGAAGTAAAAGTTAAAAGTACCCACTTTAAAATCTACTTAAGTAAAATACACATACCTAATATTTATACTTAACTACAGTACGTAACTACTTGTACTTTTTACTGCTCAGTACGGCTCACAATCTTTAAAGGTTTGCGAGCTGTACTGAGCAGTTACAATGTTCCTGCTGCTAAAAATAACACATCTTGTAATGTCTTAAATTTCACAACAGTGACAGACCAGCTTCGCCATATTTCCTTTTACTGACCAATAAACAAACACACCAAAATAACATGTTTATTGCTTTGCTTACATAATCTGCTGCTGGTATTTGCAGAATAAGCAGTCATAAATTAACTTTATTATATCCATCCACGAAATTTTAACACAGTGACTTAATACAAGAAGAAAATGAATGTGTGTGTATATATATATATATATATATATATATATATATATATATATATATATATATATATATATATATATATATAGTTTTGACTGGCTGAATAATATATATATATATATATACATAATAAATGTATATACAGGTGAATATAGAATATATAACAATGACACACTAAACATGTTGAACACGCCTAATTTTTTTGATTTTTTGGGGTTTTTTGTTTTTGTTTCAAGAACACATCATATAAACATAAGTGTCTGTTTTTTCTTTTGTTAGATTTCAGGTGCAGTTTCAAAGGTTTCTGAATACCTGTACCTGTATTAATTATGAATGTCTGATGATTAAAGATTAATTTGCTCTTCTTGTTTGTAGCGGGGTCTTGTTCTGCAGATGACTGGACACCCGTCATGGGCAGAGGGTAGTAGAGTTCATATCCTGTGACCCCTATGAAAACATGTCTTTTACTTTCCACATTAGGAATCTATGCACCACGCCACAGGTATAAACACAGAGATGATTCCATGTGTGCACACTGCTATTGTCTGCTCCACTGAGGATGAGCCCAGCTTTAGCATAGACCACACAGGTTTGTCCTAGAAAATGACTGATGCAAAAATGTGTGGGTCAGAGAGTTCATTCTGTGTGGCAGACTACTTTGTGTTAGAGATCTCTCTTGCTCTCTCTCTTCATACCCTGGAGACAAGCGTTATATGTATTTGGAAACCATCTTTGTTTATGAAATGTGCTATAGAAATAAAGTGGATCAGACTGGATGCACAGTGACAGCATGCAGTAGTGAGAGAAATGTTTGAACTGCCAGCCTTCACGGCAATTGACAATTGCCACAGCCAATGTTATCCCTTGTTGATCCCAAATATACTCCTATAGTAGAACACAAAAAATAGTCCCACATGTCCTGAAGCAAAGGATAGATTAAAAAACAAACTAACTTTTAGACGTATCCTTAAAATGTGAGCAGGTATTCAAGGTATGCATTCTGAAGTACACAATTTAAACTCCTTAATTGGCAGAATTTGGTAATTGTTGCATGGAACATAGCCATTTTATGTTTTAATAATAATAATAATAATAAGAAGAAGAAGAAAAAGAATACCATAAAAACATAATATTTATTGATTAATTTATTTATTTTTGGTCACATGTTATTGAATCTACAAGGCACCACACACCAGACCTCAGCAGCTTCAGGCCAGTGGCTCTGAGGTCCCATCTGATGAAGACATGTGAGAGACGGGTCCCGTGCTCTCTGTCTCACCTGGAGAGGCCCGGCAGCACAGTGAGGATCCTGTTCTTTGATTTCTCCAGCGCCTGCAGCAGCATCCACCACAGCTCGAAAGGGATGAGCTTGGGAGGGCTGTTTGGACAGGCAGAAATCAT